CTTTGAGGTCTATCCTTCCAATTGGAGCCAATCAGAGCTCATCGTTCTGACGTTACCGCAGAGCGTGCGCAAGGAGCAGACGAACTTGCGCTCGGATACTTTGCCTCAGACTGTGATGGACAGTCCTGGAAATGGTATTCTCGCCAAAGACCAACACGCTGCTTAGAAGCAAGTCCGCTCTTGCCCACGCCAGGTGTGGGCACTGTGCGTGTGCAGCGACCAGCTTTGAATCAATGTCTGTGCATGCATCTCCGCTCCGACAGCAGCGCCCCCGCAGCTGCGTGACGTCAGAGCCGCGCTGCAACAATCGCCTTCTGCGCGCTGCCATCTTTGTCTGCTGGGCTGTGGAACGTCTGCTGAGCATGCGCTGTTGCTCTGCTGCGAAGTATGTCAGATGCTGCGCATACGTTCACAGCTCAGTGACTCAGCATTTTTACCCGGGTGATAAGCGATGCAAAGGTCTGGGTTGTAGAACACATTCTGAGCATGCGCAGTACTTTGTGGCTGTCGGACGCCGCGCGAGCGTCCACAGCTCAGTTACTCAGCATTTTTCGCATGGGTGATAAACACTGGAGAGTTACATCCAAGGGCACATGCCCTTGCGGTTGGGCGTTTGGAAAATGTTACTTACCTAGATGTGCGGAGCGACAATAACCCGATAGCCTCAATCAATTTTGCTATAGGGAGGGACATGTTAACGTTTAAATGTGCCACTCGGATGGCATTCTGATGGATCGGGAATTTTTGCCGCCTTCAGCCAACAGCAGTGCATCTTCCCAGAATCGGATATGCCTGAACATTTGCCACATTTTAAACTAGACGTTAAGAACTTTAAACATTTTTGTAGTGTTGCAGCAAAAAAGAATAATTTTTCTGGCGTCGAGGTTTTGTTGTTGCCTTTAAAGCTCACAGTGCACGCTTTAAACTCTAGTTGTCTTTTTTTCCCGTACGGAATCTTTGCGCTATCACCCGTAGTCTATATTCAACACGCAAAGTAAAGTCCCATCGATTTATTAAAACTTTATTTGTCTTATTCTTAAAAATCAACTGAAAATCCAGCATGCATGCATTATTCCTAGGTCACTATCAAGGAAACCCCAATTAAGCCGCATTGATTCTGTCTCTAGCTCTTTGCTCGTTAGTTTCAACACAGTTGACGGCGGCACAAAGTGTGTCAATTTTTCGCACGCTGCATACATTCGCGCATTTAATGAGGGCAACCGCAGTCGGCTCTCCCGTTGTCGGTTAAGTAAGTATTTGATAACTCGCGATGCACGATGTTTTTGCAAGCATTCCATTGCAAAACATTGCGTTGTGACGCTTAGCTCACAGAAACTCTTATGTTAAATGTACATAAAATAAATATTCTTCTTTATTCTTTATTCAAAGATTACCCCGCATTGCCCGGAGGCGTTATTGCAGTGGGGTTACAGTTTTGAAAAAAATACATCTTCATTTGTAGAGCACACCTGGTCTTCAGACAGCCTATTCCACTTTGCAAAGGTTTTAACAAAAAAAAAAAAAAATTGCATACATGTTCGTTCTGGCGTGGTACTCTCGGATTTTGAAAGCATGTTCAGTCCGCCTATGAAACATAATGTGGGAGTTTTAAATATACTTCTCTGTTAATGCAAGTTTTATTATTATATATGAGAAATAAAAGCTAAGGTCTCAACTTTTCTCGTCGGGAAGAAAGCAGTTCCCAATTCAATTCGCTTTTCATTTTAGTGCAGCTTTCCCTCCGCCCATAACGACCCAGTACAAACCTAGCAGCTCTATTTTGAATTCTTTCCAATTTATCAATCGAGGTTATGTGCGGAGGGTCCCAGACGGCGCAGGCATATTTTAAAATCGGCCTAACACATGTTAAGTACGCGGTTTTCTTTAATTCAGGTTGTGAACATTTCAAATTCCGTTGAATAAAATTGAGCGCCCTGCCAGCTTTTAGGATGACATCATCAACTTGAGCATTCCAAGAACAGTCTGATAACAGTACTTTCAATTTTTTTTTTCTCTTGGTAAAACTCAGGTGTACACACTTCTTTGGATTTAAATTCATCTGCCACTTGGAACACCAAGTATTAATACAATCCAAGTCTCGTTGCAACGTAGCAGCATCTTGTTCGTCATGTGACAGACAAAACTACATTTGTTCTATTATACTGCAATGAATCGTGTTTTTTGTTTTATTTATTTACATGTACCGTTCTTTAAAAGGGCGATTCAACGATTTTTGTACTTTGCGCAAATACCGCTTAGACCGGATCCCTGACGTTAATGACCTGTGAAACACCCGTTTATTTTTCACCACACGCAATCAATCTCAAAAGAAAAAAAAAAAAAAAAAAAAAAAAAAGGAAGAAAACGAGCAGCGTTCGCCCCCTCAACTCGCAGCCGGAACAAGCGGCCACTTGATCTGGAGCCGATTATATGCCGCCAGTGTTGATCATAGCCACGCGCTGGGGTTGCCAAGGCACAGAACACGAGCTGAGTTCCCGACATTGTTATGGTTCGTCTATTGTCGTCATTGCAGCGATTGGGGCTACTACCCGAATGCTTCTCGAGCTATCGATTATCACGAGCCCAAATCGAGTGGCCACGCAATGCTCGGGTCCAATCTATCAGCTGTATTCAAATATCGTCCCTGGATGTCACTGCGATCCCCCAGTTACATCATCAAGTTTCGCTAAGAAGAGGTTGAATAAAAACGCTCGCTCTTGTCCTTGACATTACACCGCAAGAAAGGAGTTTCTTGGCCAGTGGCGTTGCGTGCGAGTATCCTTGAGTCCCACTAGTGCCAGTAAGCTTGTGTAAAGTGAAAAACATTCCAATTAAATATCGTTGAACCGCCCCTTTGAGGAATGCAATAGTAGTGGCATAACATGGAAAGCACCCTAACCACAGTAACAACAAATGAATTTAAAAATACGAGAGAAGACGGACAGGACAAACATCTTTTGAATGAAGTCGCCTAGCAATTCAGTGCATTGTGTTAAACACTGATTCATGTTATATGTGCAGTCAGATCTCAAAAGACCAAGCACAGCACTACATCTCCCAAAGCCAACCAGAAATGAGCGGGAGTTACATATGAGCGACAAATGAAAAACACATATCACCGAAACACACACATCGCCAGAAACGAAGTACCCATAGACAGGTAAGAACTGGAAATGGGGCCTAAATTTATTAGGTGGCAAACGGGTTTTCGCTAAAGTTGGAATGTGCCTTAACGCTCGTAAGTAGACCCTTTGATTAAAGGGTAACTGCAAAGAAAAAGAAGTGTATATATTTTTAAACAGCCGAATTGGGACAAACATGTCACAAAACAATTTTTCCGCCAAAAACAAAATTTTTTACAGCAAGATTTATTGCGCCAGATTGATTTTAGTTTGCGGCCATTTAGTCCGCTTTAAATCGCGCACCACAAAGTTGGTATTGTACGTCACGTAATGGCTGCTATACGTCACGGAGTGACGTGTAACAGCCACTCCGCGCGCGTCGAAAGAGCGGGAGTTTCAAATGTGAAGAAGTTGTGACTCCGACTAAATTACGTCCTGTGGCGTAAATATTGCTAGAAAAAATTTGTTTTTTTCGCGGAAGATTTGTTTTGAAACCAGCTTGTCCCAATTAAACTGTTTAAAAAAAAAAAAACTTTTTTTTTCTTTGCAGTTACCCTTTAAGAGAAAAAGCAATCTGCTTTACCCTTGCTTTCAGGGTATCGAAGGTATAAACAAAAAATGAGGAATCAACTGCAAACACTACAAGAACCGAGAAAAAGTTATAACTAGGACTTCGGCATGATTTCTGCAAACGTCTTAACACCAGGTACCTCGTGAATATTTCTTTAGCATCATACTTAAAGTCTAGCACTGATCTTTTTTTTTTTAATTGTTTTAAATTTCTAGCATCCGCATTTCTTGCGAATCTCAAATATCACATTCAAGGTCTTGGAAATTTGCACTCTTCAAACCCTTGTAGGTTTGCAATGCAATTCTAGCAATATATTTCCTAAATAGTACTTTCAGCCACTTTTGACGGTTCTTTATTACAATATCTCTGTTTCGCACCGTGCAATTCCTAAGGCTCTTCAAGAAACAGTTGCATATGGCATTTGAATAACATTATAGAACATGTTATGCATATACATATATTCACATGGTCGTAAACCTTGCAGAAACTTCAATTTTAATTCTAAATAGCAAGTTCTGGTAATTAAATTTACACTCGTAGTGGTTTGCTTAGTTTTCCACATTCTCATTTTTGATGTCAGCAATTTGTTCGTACAGACCACGCTTTCTTTTGTTTATCAATTGCTGCCATGGTTTTCGACAATAACTAAGCGCCAGCCTGGCGCTGGTAAAAAGAAACACTTTCATTTTTATTTTTTGACATAACTGTATAGTGGTGAAATGTTAATTGACAGCGGGGTTACGCTCAAAGCTATATAATTTAATCAAAAATCAAATGCGCAAAACTACTTTTGGCGCAGTCATAGGGGATAAAAATTAAAATTCTTTCTGGTACTTTTAAAATAAAGTACAACTACTGACATCGAAGTACATTCCTCGGGTTTGTTTTAATTAATAGATTGTGTCCATCATTTTGTTAAAAGTACCTATAGGTTATTTTGAAAGTACATCGTGTTTGTAGCATCTTACCTCAAGTAGATTGCATGCCTGTGTGCTTTTTACTCGACTTTAATTACATTTTAGATTATCTGTACCCAAGACTAGCCATCTGTAGCATAAAACACAATCAAACCCTTGAGAGCAGCACTGTCAATTGATTTATTCACCAAACAACACTTCTTTTCGCCAGCTTCTTTGTGACTACGGCTCCTAGTAATTGCGAGAAAAAGTCCATGTATTTATATCCTTTTGCGCAGAAGGTGAATTACACCCGTTGAAACATGAGTGCTCTGTTTTGCTCGTGGCGGAGCCATAAAAGAGACCGGGGATGATAATGTTACGAGGGGGCGGGGTTACGTCTATTTGCAGACTTCCTGTCGAGCATCTGGAAGCACACGTTCGCGAGGCTGGGGGAGGACTGGGTCTTCCTCATTCTCCTGGGTGTCATTTCGTCCCTCATCAGTTTCTCCATGGACTATGGAATTTCCATGTTCCTCAAAAGTAGGTCCTTGAACCTTGCAATACGCTTGTGTAAAGTTATAGGTATCTTCCTCCTGAAACGAAGCGCAACGCACGTCCTCTCGGCAATCGCTGGCCGCTGAAAAAAACAACAAACAAACAAATATCGCCTGGTCCGGGAAAACATACTGAGGGCGCAGGCGAACTGGTGTAAGCATACCATTTTGTCGAAACACCTGAAAATCTTACCAACAACCAAAAGTAGAAGAGACAAGGAAAGAAATCAGTCAGGCGACGTCGTCTGACTGTCTTCAGGTGTTTTAACGAAATGGTCCGGGAATCGGTTTTAGAACCTCTCCAAGACTAGTGGAGCGCTCTGCCAACTCTGCAGCTAATCGTGTAGGAACTAGCTGTTAGTAAAGTAAACGGATGCCAACAGTTGTTCCCAGTCTTGGTCGTTCTGGCAGCGCCATCTTGGTATGGCACCAAAATGGTGACCTTAGATAAGCCTTGGCACTAAATTTCCCAGGATTTAGTGACTTTGTGCCTTACACCATGGTCAGTGCATTATTGTTCACAAGATTATCTGTTCCATGGCAAGAATGTCTAGTGAAGTTCCTGGCTGAACAAAGGTATTAAAAAGACACTGACAGGTTTTTTATGCTCGTCAGTATGTTTTTTTTTTTTTCTTTTAACGTGGCCGACAAGAGTTTATTTACCCAGACCACAATCATACTAATTCGCGTCTCGAAAATCGTATTCTTTCCGCCCGAAAACCGCCGGTCGAGAATTGGCCGGGTTTAGCCCGCTCACTCTCTTTTCCTCGATCGCGTGTTGTTCCAACTGATACATACCAAATATATTCAAAGTTGTGGGTCATCTAAAGCACATATTCAATATTACAATAAAAAAGAAAATGAACCGTATTTTTTGTGGCTTCCAAAAAGCTTCAAATGCGTTGATCGAAAAAAAAAATTGTTGCACAGATCACAGGAAGTAGACATACACGTCATTCTCAGTATGGCGATGTATTGCGGGCTAGACGACGCAATGGCGGCGCACGACGGACCAACGTTGCGACGGACGTGGGACTGCTCTTTCGGAACTGTGGTTCGTGCTACCGGCCAGTTGATCTTCGAGCACAGAACAGCAAGCGGGAGCGATATAAGTGCGAAACAATCGCACAACAGGCGGTTCAAGCAACATCCTCGTTGTCGTCGTCTGCTTCCCACGCCCGAGAAGCGGACGAACGGAAAAAAAAAAAATTGGGTAGGGAGCGATAGCCACGTGACTTCCGGCAACTCCCACCTCAGAGCCTCCATGCACGTGTTTTGGTTTCAGTTTCGAACAGTTGCGTTTTTTTTTTTTTTTTTTTTTTAATTAAAAATATACTTGACTTTAGCAAAATATTGATTGGATAGTCTTCTAACATCATACTAAATCGCCTAAAAAAAAAAGAAAATAGGGGAGATGTGAGTCTTTTTTATGAACTTAGGTCTGACTGTGTATGTGTGTGCATGTCTTGAACCTTCTCTTTATGCCCCACTCATTTGCGGCTACTTTTTTCCTTTTGCAGCAAGAAGATGGCTTCATAGAGATCTGACAGACAATTACATTCTGAAATATGTGGTGTGGGTGTTCTTCCCAGTATTATTAATATTGTTTTCATCTGGATTTGCTCATACTGTGGCTCCACAGGCAATCGGTAACTATGCATTTGGTGACCTCATATCTTAAGCGTTGTGTATTGGAACAAATCATTTAAGCTTTCATTTTTCACTCTGCTCCAGTGAAGAGCAATAATAACCACGTTTATAAACAAAGAGCAATCCATCAGCCTCAGGCTCCAGGCGAGTTGGAACTACATAGGTGTTATGTAATTGATGCCATACTTGTACAATAATTTCTGGAAATCTATTTGGCAAAATGTCGCTACAGTCGTTCACTAAAGCAAGGAAAGGAAATGTTTCTTTGGTTGCTTGAGCTTCTCTACTAACACGTCTTCGGAAAGAAAATGTTACAATGACTATTCCTTGCAATCATATTATTTCTTGCATTTACTAGATACAACTTGGAGACCATTGGCATATCGGTAGCCTACGAGGATTTGAAACAGGTTTTGGTCACTGGGACTTCTATTACTTTAGGTTTATGCTTGATAAATAACTGATGCGTTTTGTTCTTGGTTCTTCCAGGTTCTGGGATTCCAGAAATGAAGACAATTCTTCGTGGAGTTGTACTTAAGGAATACCTTACGTTCAGAGCATTAGTTGCCAAAGTGATTGGCTTGACGTGTACTTTAGGAAGTGGACTCCCCCTAGGCAAGGAGGTAACAGGTTGTTTATGAACAGCCATCCTCTTTCTTCCCTAAATTTTCTAGGTATTTGGATTCCTCGGATTTTTGTCTTTGCAACTAAATGCTGACCCCGTTCCACAGGGGCCGTTTGTCCACATTTCAAGTATGATTGCCACAGTTCTTAGTAGGATAGTGGCGTCATTCAAGGGCATTTATGAGGTGAGGCACTGTTCAACAAGTACTCACATTATTTCCTGTCTTGTACATCATTGGCCCCATGGGCAGAACCCACCTTAGATAAATCTCAAAAATCAGTTTCATATGCTCGGACACTGTAATATAGCTCAAAAATGCAACTACCATAAAATGCCGTAAGAACGCCCTCCCCCGAGAGATCGCCCATCCAGTTTTTCTGGCTAAATATCTGTAACATAAAAACTCCGAGACATCGCTCACCCCCCGATTCCCGTCGGACGTCACGCGACGTCCGACGGGAGTCGCATCACCCGCGCGATATGCGGTACCAGTACGTCTGAGTTCATACCGGGATCCCGCATTTTTGTCCGCGATCTGCGCGCGCGATATCGGCTTCAGCAACGCGAGTTGTTCCCGCGTGTATATTGCATCGTGAAATGCGAATATGCTGCGTCTGCGATCTGCGGTATCCGTTCCCGTGACATGCAAGTTCGTCGCGGATACCGCGTTTTTGTCCGCGATATCAATTCTTGCAAACAAGCGAGTTAATTGTTCCCGCGATTATATTGCATTGTGAAATGCCATTCTGCTCCGTCCGCCCCGCCATCTGCGGTATTTGTTCCCGTGATATGCGGGAGTGTAGCGAATGCCCGCGATCTGCGCGCGCGATATTAGACAGTTTTAGTATAGCGTTGCTGCCTCTTGCGTACGCAATACGCAATAGAATAGCGTACGCTAAAAATGACCTGCTCGGACCAAATTTAGCTGTGCGTTACGTTTTCGAGTGAACACCGCGCATGATCTTGGTTAGATTTGCTAGAGCTGCAGAATTACGCGTGCTTATAGCGCAACCATGCTCCTGGAAAGAAATATTGAAAATGAAAACGTGTCCAATCATTTTATTTCAAATTAAACCAAGCCGCGGCTGCCTCGTCAAGCGCGCTTTTCTGAGGGGTACAGAGGCTACGAGTAAAGGCCGATTCAGACATTTGAGTTTGAGTGCGTTTGACTGCGTTGCGTCGAGAACCGAGAGTCACCGGCACATCTGTGCTTCGTGTGAAGCGTGCAATCCAATTCAAAGAATCATCTTAGCACGCGATATAAGTAGCAGGGATGTCCTGGTTTCTTGCTGCCGCAACGCAGTCAAACGCAGTCAAACGCAACTTTCTGAACCAGGCTTAAGAGTGCGCAGCCAAATTCGATCACGGAGCCCCCGTCAATCTTCCTTTTGAAACGGCACCTTTTATCAATGCTATCGCGGAATGAAATTCATGACCTACTGATGTCCAGTACATAGCGAGAACTTCGGCGATTTCTTTTAGAGTCGCTCGTCCATCGGCGATGAACTGTGCGAATAGGCTTAGCGTTGAGCAGATCGCAGCGTTGACGCACATTCCAAGCGGCGAACATTTTCACTGTGCACTCCTTCAGCTGCACGGCGATCTGATTCGACCGCCGTAGGTCCCGGAAAGAATTGCCGAGCTGAACACCACGCAATTTCACGTAACACAGAACTTCGAAAACACCACGTCGCCTTTGCTGCGCCAGTCGAGGTAACCGCCATCTTGAAACTGGCGCTCTCGTTGGGTCCGAGATCTCTCGAGAACGTCCCGCAGAGCCCGCTAGCCCGCCACGCAAAATCCCCAGCGTTGCGTGCGTACGCAATACGCTAGCTCTTCTATTGCGTTCTGCGCACGCGCACTCCCGACCCGCAATTTTATTGCGCACGCAAGGCTTTAGCGTACGATCCACTAAAACTGTCTATTGGTTCCCGTGACAGGCAAGTTTGTAGCGGGTCCCCGCGTGGTCTATTGCACCTTGAAACTTCAGTCGGCTGCGTTCGCGATTTGCGGTATTCGTTCCCGTGAGGTGCGAGTTCTCGGCGGGTTTCCGCGGGTCCTTCGCACCGTGAAAGGCGAATCTGCTGCGTCCGCAAGCTGCGGTATCCTTTCCCGTGACACAGGAGTTCGGAGCGAACTTCCCGCGTGTTTATCGCATCGTGAAACGCGAATTTGCAGTGTCCGCGATCTGCGGTATCAATTCCCGCGTCACGTGGTTTGTAAAAAAAAAAAAACATCTCTGTGAGGCATTTTATTCGGAAAAACGAGAGAAAACTCGGAGTTATTTTTTTTTTTAATCTGTTATTTCTGTTAAATCAAACATCTGAAACGTCCATATCAACATTTATTTTACATTGGCATAGAAAAGCTTAACTGCATACTGAGATGCAGAACATTTTTTTTTTTTTGTCTTTTAGTTCTAACTTTTGGAACAATTTTTCTCCGTAATATTAAAAAAAAAAAAAAAAGAAAAGTCGCCAGCTAGTTGCATTTTTGTTCTAAATTAAAGTGTAGGAAAAAACTCAGTTTTGAGATTTATGGGAGTTGAATCCGTTGGGCCCTTGTTAAAGAACGTTTGGGAATGGGGCAATTGCCTAAATGTGCTCACACGTGGCTCTCTGTTCCCATTTTATTTCCTTTCTCAGAACGAGTCTCGCACAAGCGAAATGCTTGCAGCTGCCTGTGCCGTGGGTGTGGCGTGCACCTTTGCTGCTCCACTGGGCGGTAGGATCCCCTTTTCTGTTTCTAACATAGAATATCTAGATTCTGTTTATGGCCTGTACTTGCTTTTAAGTGTCCTTGACATGTTATGCATGATGCATTATGCTTGAGTTGAGTTTTTCTCTGCTAGTAATAATAATACTTCTTTATTTTCTTCATGCCCCAGAGCAACCTTGCAGTTTTGATGTGATAGCACAAGATAGAAAGTTTTAGAGATATAATTCATATACTTTCACAGACGATAGAAAATGGAAAAAGTTGAACTCATCAGGGGAAAGTCACAAATGGATTGCACAAGGCTAGTTCAGACTAGAAAAAGTTCACGCTTCTTAGAAAATTAAAAACAAGCACAATTCATGAAGAAATTTTCCCTAACAAAATCTCACACACAAAAAAAAAAGGAAATTTCTGAAAGGAGTGTGCAACATAAAGTTCACAAGATAGTAAATGCTTGAAAGAGTTAATTTCATTAAAGATGTCCGAACACAGACTCTAAATTGTTAAATGAGAGTTGCATGCAAATTAATGGTAATATTTTTTCTCGAGGGGAAGGATAATATAGAGAGTAGGGTCTACAAAAGTGAGCGAGTGCATGAAAATGTAGAGCTTAACAGATCAGCATCAAAGTGTCCATGAATTACTTTGTTTAGAAAGAGAATATCACGGGTGGGTCGGCGAGTAGATAGATTTTTAAGTGCAAACTTTTGAGTGGGTAGTTGTAGTCATAACATCTACTGTTGAAATACCTATCTTATATAGTACAAATAAAACATTTCTGTACACTTTCAATTTGCAACATCTAGTGGGCATGGAGTTCAAAGACATTTCTAATCAACATCTTAAAAGCCTGAGACAGGAAAATAAAAAGGGGGATGGCACACGTTTTTGTTCCTTGGTACAGAGGCAAATTTGTGTGTGTGTGTGTGTGTGGAAGGGGGGGGGGGCAAGACAAAGGAAATGACTTTTTATAGAGGAGAGAGAATACAGCAGTTTCTTTTTAGAAAGGAATGCCTTATTCTTGGTGAAACAGCAATTATCTCTAACATTTCTCTTTGCAGACCCCCCTCCCCTCCCTTCCCGAGCCAAATTTCCACTGCCCCCTCCAGGCTCGATCCATAAAACCACCCCTGCCTTGGTCTCAGGCTTTTAAGATGCTGAAAGTTCACTGGCTCACCTGTTCTGTGTTATTTCTACAATTCTATGTTTTCATGCCAGTAGCAAGACAATACCTGAGCAATGTCCCGTGCCTCTGTGTGAGAGGGGATTGCAGATAGGAAGGGTGACGTCGGGCAGCTCTGAGTCTGTATACAAACCTTAATTGGGGCAGTAAAATTACTTTACATAAATTTTTTTTTTTTTTGATTGGTATTGTGTTAATGTGGACATGCCATGGGCAGTTTGGGGGGCAGGCAGTTTCTTGCTTGTGATATTTAGTCTTTCTCTAACTTGCAGGTGTGCTTTTCAGCATTGAGGTAACATCAGTATTTTTCGCTGTGCGGAACTACTGGAGGGGTTTTTTCGCCGCTGCCTGTGGTGCTCTGGTCTGGCAGCTGCTGGGTGTGTGGCTCAAGGAACAAGGTAACTGGCAACTCATTTCCCTTTCTCATCGATCCACAAACTGACATAGAAATGCCCAGTTAATACATTGTTTAAAAGATTTGTGTTAAATTTTGAATTTTTGGAAGATTCATGCAAGTGATTTGCCAGCATGTAACTGTCAAAGAATTAGCTTTCAAAACAGTGAGTTTTGTTTATAAACAGCATTTATATGAATGCATGCTTTCAGTTTTTCTTCCTGGAAATCTTTAATTATTATTAATCCTGTTTTCTTTAAAGACCATAATATGATCAGTTTGGAAAGTCTAAAATAATATTTTCTTCCCAACTACTGTCGAGACAGGTTATAACGAAGTTGGTTATAATGAAAAAGCGGCTACAGCAAAGCGATCGCAATTTCCCATTCCCATTTGCATTTTTTCAATGCATTTGTGTCTGTTTTTAGCAAAGAAAATTGAGCGGCTCCCACGGATGTAGCAAAAAGAAATTTTGTGATAATTAAAAAAAAACAAAAAACAAAAAAAAACTTTAATTAGTAAAGTTTACAAAGTCTCACACCATCTGCACTTTGCTGCCGCGGATAAGAAGGCACCCAGAACTGGCTGCAAAAGGTGCTGGAATGGCCGCCAGCGGCAGTCTCTGCAACGTCGTCCGCCCCCTGCTCCTTATCTGGGAAGCGGCTTTACCGCAACACACGTGGAGAAGCCGTCGTGACATGCCGATAGTGGCGTTCAGGGTGCTAGTGACTACATACTGGTGGAGACGACAAAGAGAGCCTAGATTTATGAGAGGGAGCAGTAAGTACGCCTGCATTTGATTGTTGTGTGGCCAGTGTGGCGAGGAAACTGGGCGAGAAGCGGGCACGTTTGCAGAAGGTGAACGCTTTTGAGTTTTGACTCCTTGCATGCTGCAGCTCGCTTTGCAAACGCGGCCCGCAAATCACATGACCCCGATCAAGGAGTTGCCCCATCTCTTAAATCTAGGCTCTCTACCGACGACAGACAAGCTTGAGTGCGAACTCGGTGCCGTGCGCACTTCTTTGTTTGCTTCACGACCCGTGTTGGCGTCCATTCGGTGAGGTCACTCTTGCGTGAAAGTTTACTTAGCTCAATCACCGATTCAGCGAATCATCGCCACTCAACGATGGAAAGTCCCGGCACTGCCGACACCTTGATGGGGAAGATGAAGGCAATCTCCTTGAATCAAAAGTGTGCCATCCTTGATGAAGTACTCATAAACGTTAAGAATGCCGTCCACTGCAAGCGTCCTTCGCAGGCGTACTCCGCGGAGTCATCGCAGCTGTCTACACGGTCCATATGTAGCAGAATCTTTTTTCGATCATAGCTTATTGCAGTTTGCAAGAAGCGGCTCCGATCTAGCAGAGGACGCATGCCGGCAAGCTTTGACATCTTTCTGCAGGCTCAATAAACATGTGCCCATGACAACCCATGTTATCTTTTTTTTTTTTTCTGTTATTTTTACGAGTTCATATACAACGAAGAAGCGGATATAGCGAAGTAATCTCCGATTCCCGTTGACTTTGTTATAACCGGTCTCGACTGTATACTTTTGTTTTTTCTCAACCCTAATGCTTTCTTTAGTGACTGACAGTCACACACACACAACATTCAAATTGTTATTGAGAAGATCTGTTTTCCAAAGCTAACAATAGGAGTACCCTAATACCTGCACGTGGATACATCAATTCAATTGGATCAATGGAGGTGGAACGAAGGATTTGCTAGAAAAATAGAACAAAAATCTTAAGGTCCAACAAAATGTTGGACCTTAAGATGTAGCAAGGGATGGTGGTCTTTGCCATTGGCTGAGAACTTTGCTTTTCCCTCTGCAGATACAATCACAGCAGTATTCAGAACAAACTTCAGGATGGATTTTCCGTTTGATCTCATTGAATTAGTCGTTTATGCTGTGATGGGGTGAGCATTTGCACTTTTCTTTCTGTGTACATGTTTCTGTTGATCTGCTGTCTAGTGTATACGCTTAACTGGTTCTGTGGCAAACATCAGGTGGGGACTGAGAATTCCTCTTGCTAGAAGGAATGGCAAGTCACCAGGCTGGTAGCGCTGTCAAATAAATGAATAAAAAGGAAATTGATGTGAAAGACAAAAGGGGGAGTGATCAGTGATGTACAAAATTCTGCAATAGCTGAGACTGAGCATAAATGCTGCTATATTGCACCATGGGTTGGAGAGGACGAAAATGTAAAACTCTATGCAATAATGCATCACCTGAATCAAGTGGTATTTCTATGTCTCTTCGTTGTCGAAAGTAACAACCATAGGGGAAGATTCCATGCTCTTTTGACATTGCAATAATTTCTGACGCAACATTGTGATTTCTTTCTTTTTGACATCGGAGCAAATGCCTCGAAGTTCCACGAGTTTTCTCTTGTTTGCAGAGCTGCATGTGGGGTGCTGGGCGCCACCTTTGTCTACATGCACAAAAGGGTTGTTCTGTTCAACCGTAAGCACAAGCGGATGAGTGCTTTCCTACAGAGGAAGTGAGTGACTGCGCAATTTGATTTTATACCCCAAAGCATGGGTTCTCCAACTGGGTTTCCCCAGAATCTTAAATTTCCTTAACAGGCCCTGCCCCCAAGTAAAGCATATTTTTTTTTTTTTTTTTTCATTCAAGCATTATTTGAGCAGATCTGAGCTAACTCATTGATGCGTAACTAGGATCCAAACATTGCCTAACATGTGCATTATTGCTCACAAGACCTGTAAGCTATTGCACTGCTGAATTACATCACTGCCATGATTGAGAAAGGTTCCTTGTACTTTGATTGAGAGAGATTGTGATCCTTTGAAATCAAGCAGTTTGAGAACCCCTGCCCTTGAGGGTCTGATTAACATACATCATACATTAATACTAATCTGTCTGCCTACTTCCAGCCGGTTTTTGTACCCGCTAATCATAACGGTGTTCATCTCGTCTGCTACCTTCCCTGAGGGCTTGGGCCAGTTCATGGCTGCAGAGGTGAGCGGAGTTTCGGTCCTTGCTTACCATTATATGCCACATTGATTTGCCCGCTGAGTTTAGTAAGAAAACCTGAATTAGTGTTTTATTAGACACCAATTCAATTTAAAAAGAATTGGTGCAAAAACAGCGTCACACTGAGGCAAACTGAGAATGCCGAGCTTGATGGATGTCTGAAGAGCTGCTGCCTTTGGCAGCAGCTCTTCAGCAGCTTTTCTCTGGCTGCTGCCTTTGGCAGCAGCCAGAGAAAAGGCATGGCTTTCTCTAGAGAAAAGGCATGGCTTTCTCCAGAGAAAAGGCATGGCTTTCTTCCTAAAGTGAAGACTTTATATGGGAACTCTGCACGGAGCTCGCTTGCTCATGTTGGTGTTGATCACACCATAGCAGGGTCATGTCAGAGGGTGGCAGAAGCGGTGCACAGCTGTTGGTTTGACGTTGTAGCATGTGCAACCAATGGCGATGCTCTGTGCAGAGTCGAGTGGGTGGGAAGAGAATAAGTGGTGCACTAACACTCCCTCCCCCTCCCTCCCTCCCTCTTTCTTTCTCCCATGCTCTTCTCCCCACTTTGCTGGGGCTGCATAGTAAGGTAGTAACTGTGGCGTATTAGCAGAAAATTTCCGTGGTAGGGGTGGAGGTATTTCAAAGTGCCGCTCCTCGTCCAGAACCCCATCAAGTGTAGAGGGCCTAGATTGAAGAGAGGGTCCATCCCAAACCATTGGTGGCCATTTGCAATTTAACAGCGAACGCCTCCTGCGGAGATTGGGTGCAAATGTGCATGCACTTGCAACCTGGCATTCGCCCTCCTCGCCCCACACGCGCATCGACGAGGAAAGCGGGCGGAAAGACTGAGACGTTTGTAGACTGCCGACGTTTTGGGCACCTCTTTGCAGCCTGTATTGCAAATGCGACCCGTAAACCAAGTGACCCCGATTGAGCAGTTGGAAACTCTCCGCACTACAGGCTCTCTGGTGCTATCGCACCTTCATTGCATTTGACGAAATGTCTTAACCAGGCACTGACGCGCACATTGTGCCATTGTGCACGTGCAGTTGACGACGCACGAGGCTGTGCACGATCTGTTCTCCAACTTCACGTGGACGGCCAACGACCTTGGAGTGGACGAGCACATGGTGGTGAACCACTGGGGCACCACCAAGGGCAGGATCTTCCTCACCCTGAGCCTCTTTATTTTCATGAACGTGAGTGGCTCTGCGGCAGCTTGGGGCTCTGAGGATTGCCGTCGGTCGCGACTTGCACTTCTCAACCTTATTTCGAGTTTGGGGAGGTTGGCATGTCTTTAACTTGGGCTATGAGGTCTGCTTTAAGTCACTAACAGAGTGAAAGTGGTAGGGCTTCTTCATTTTTTTTCAGCTGCCTGGCCCTCCGGTATGTGCTCGTTGCCTTGAGTTATGCTTTAGCTTTGCATGGGTATCCTTATGTTCGAACTCATGAACAGAGTGCTAGAGTCTGTCCTGCTGCACGGCATGCTGAGGGCCGACGATTGAGATTTATGTTTGGAAACTGGCGGCTGAGGAGTCTAGTCATAAAATGATTTCCTTCCATAAATAGCAATTACTGGCCCTCTGTGCACTATGCAAGAGTATAGATGATGCTCATATACTTTATTAAAGAACCACCCCAAAAAAAGATGTTTTTCTTTAGTACAGTTTAGTTGAGACATGCGTGTCAAAAAATAAATTTTACGCAAAAAACAGTTTTTTTAGAGCAAAATTGTTGGCGCGAGACGTGATTTAGTTGCTAGTCACCTCCTTTCCGCTTGTTTTCTCTCAGCATTTCGGGCGCGTGGAGGAGAGGCGGATTGGCTTGGCCATCATGTTGAGGTGAAGAGAGTTAATGACCATCTCGTTGAGGTGGAAAGAGTGTATGACCATTCCGTGACATCATGGACTTTGTGCGCAGAATTTAAGATAAATATTGCGGTAAAAAATTTCTTTCTTTGCTTAAAATGTATTTTTTTGACATGCGTGACCCTTTAAGGAAAGAAAAAGGCTAGATAAGTGAATTGGTACCCTGACAACCTATCATTTGAGAAATGCATGATATTAGTACAGTGCAACATTGTTGTGTCAGAGAACATACTTCATAAGTCTACAAAGCTTTTAGTACCATCTTGTGAAGCCCAGTATTCTAATAACTTTTACATTGCCTCTCGTTATATGCACTAGCACCTCACTTTTTTGGAGGATAGTAGTTGGCAAAGAACGTGATATCCAGAGGTGTTGTCCATTTTGTGATGAGCAAAAGTCTGAAGGCTGGAATCCTGAACATCTTGGGTTGATGCATTAACGAAAACATTGCTATCGGTGCACACAACTTGTAAGACTGTGCTATAATTGAAATCGTCGAGCTGTCATTGAGTGGCAAGAGGCATGGCATAGGACATTTTTCTGGCTCGAGTATTGATTTGTCTCATACAAGGACATTATTATAATGGTCTTCCTTTGTCTTCCTGTCAGTTGTGGATGACAGCCCTAGCTGCTACCATCCCTGTGCCATTGGGACTCTTCATCCCAGTGTTCAAGATGGGTGAGTTCTGTGTTCAGAGCTTTACATGAAATCCATAATAACTTTACTGCACATATGTTGCTTTGGACAGGCCTATGTTTGTGTAAAAGTGTATTAATTTACAGGGTCTCTTAGCCAGCGACAAATTCTAGTATTGCTGTCGAGAGGTAGCTGAGCAAGTCTAGTCAGAGATATTGGATTGGATTGGAGTTGCACTCCACTTACAATGGAGTGCAACTCTTACTAGGACGTATGTCTTTTATTGGTTTGACGTACAGTAAAATCTCGTTAATTCAAACTCTCTTACTTCAAACTCGTGGATAATTCAAACTAACATGCAGGTCCCGTCCTATGTATTTCTAGGGAGGAAACTCTCGTTAATTCAAACTTTGCATTATTCAAACAAAGTTCTGGTCCCCCTCGGGTTCAAATGAACGAGATTACATTGTATAAGCCCCAAACTTTATTCTTTGCATGCAAGAATATACTCATTTGATGACATTGTTGCTGACCATTCTCCGTAAGATAAAAGTCTGTGGGAGCCTCTCAGCCTGATGCCATCATACTTACATGGCCAGAATCATCTCTATAAAATCACCCTCTTGAAGACTTATCTTTTCCATAGTTATAGAGTGGTCTTTTCCATAGTTATAGGTGGTCAGAAATCGGAGCTTAAATCTTCTAGTCGTTGCCCGATTTCTTAAATAACTTCTCAGCTCTACTTTTCTCAGCTGCATGTGAACTTGGTTTACAGTTGCTAAAAATTCTTGTACAGTCAGGCCATTGTAAGAAACTGCTCACTTATGCTAGACTTTGCAATAGAAAACAATTTTATGTCCCATCGGGTCTTAGTTGTTGGTAAACCCTGTTTTCGAGCTTGGTTAGCTTGGCAATTGACCTACCATACATCTGTTTGATCTCAGGTAGCCATTTCCAGAATACAAGACCTGATTCCTTGCCACAACAAATAAACATTGCTATAGGCACTGGCAGTTTAAAAAAAAAAAACGGGGCGTGACTTATCAAGTTTACTGCCTTCTTGCTTTGCAATTCCTTCTTCGGCATCCTTATCAGCTAAGGCTGCAATGTCATTGGCTACGCAGAAATATTGGGATGCATGGGACTGGCCACGCCCGCGTTTCTCGAGCTGTTGGGGATCGTAATCGAGCTGCATTGACCAGCATGGCACCCATTCCAGGTGCTGCTTTTGGGAGGCTCATCGGCGAAACGATGGCCGTGTTGTTTCCTGAGGGCATTCGCATGGGAGAAAACATCAACAAGGTCATCCCCGGGGGCTATGCTGTTGCCGGCAAGTTGTCGTTTGCGCAGTCTGCACAGTTTTGATGCCTCTCGGCTGACCTGCTGGACACTGAGCTGACCCAATGTGCACTATAGGTGCTGCCGCAATGGCAGGGGCTGCAACGCGAACCATCTCGACTGCCGTGATTGCGTTTGAGATGACCGGGCAGATGTCTCACATTCTTCCCGTCATGGTGAGTGCTTTCTTTGCTGTTTGCCCGCCTGTTTTTGCTCTTTCATTTTTGTTCTGTTTTAACGGTGATGGGCTTGGGAAATCATTTTTCTCTCGTGAAATAGATTATAATGTAGTGTTTGCATGGGAAAATGTTAGGTGGATGTGAGTGATGAAATATCTGCTAATTGCAGTCGCCGACCGATTTTTCGGACTTGTTTGATGTTTCGGACCTAAAGGTGGAACCGTGACCTACACGGTAGTAATAATGCATATTCACTACCACCAATGTTTCGGGCAGCTTGAAGTCGGAAAGTTAAACGTTTCAGACAAAATCGTTGAGAGCGATCAGCGGGAAACACCATTGAGAAGCCACCATTTTAGATTCCATGTTGGCTGCACATGGATTGGCTTAGTTTGGCAGTGCTACTTGAGTAGTGCTAAGTACTACTGCTAAGTGATGCTATGCTACGGCTTTTTTTTTCTCTAACTGCGCATCATTATCATGATCACTGTTACCATTTTGCTTTGTTCATTTGCCATTCTGCATTCGTTGACTTGCACCTCTCATAAAATCGCTTTTCAATCAATCAGTCTCGTCTTGGTGAATCGTCTTTTCGGACTAAGCTGGCTTGGATGTCATGGTCCCATATGTTATTCCGCCGCCATGAAGTGTTGGTAACGCGGAAAGTGCTCGACCATAACGCGGCAACGATTCTCAAGCTAATAGAAAGTGGCCGAATGCAAGCGGAGGCGGAACCTAAAGCAAGGTGCTTAGGTGTAACCTGAAGCAAAGCACTATTGACGGCTTTTTTTAAGCTTGCCTAGACGGTAATAAAGGCAAGCTTTTAATCTGCGATTTTTCACACTTCTTTATTATTTGGACGTTTTTTCGGTCCCTGCGAAGTCCGAAAAATCTGTCGGTAACTGTAGATTGTGCACATGTTTACCCATAAAATGTAGATGTGCACAATTTATGTAGACGTGTACAATTTCGGTGCTCGTCCTATTTAACCCCTATCCTGTGTCTTCATCTTTTGCGTGCTGCTTACCCTTTCTAGTTAGTATTAACCAACTCGCACACATTGTCACCTTGGCAGCTTGAACAGCATGACTGCTTCGATTATTTTGTATACAATTTCTCATTTGTTGAATTTTTTTAAAGTAAATTCCGCCACCGAGCAGTGTGAGCAGTGTTTGACATTATCAGCCACATTCCTTCAGCCTTTCAAAATATCGAGACTTTTTTACTCGCTTTTGAACCATATTTTGAGTCTGTTTATACATTTTCTTAGGTCTGCTGCGGGGGGTACCATTACCTCTAAAGAAGAAAATACCTTTTTATGTTGCCTAATAGTACAAAATGTGTAGTCATTATAAAAGTTACATGCATCCTATTGGTCTAAAAAGTGATTCCGTAGCGAGTGCTTCTTTTTTTGTTTTTCAGATAGCGGTGCTGATATCGAACGCCGTGTCCCAGATGCTGCAGCCTTCGGTCTACGACCTTATAATCAAGCTCAAGAAGCTCCCGTACTTGCCGCCCATCCTTTCCACCTCTTCCGAGTGAGTTCCTAGTTTTGCCGTACATAATTCTTCGGGAAGGAAATAAAGAGTTGGCAGAGGCTCAAATTGTCAAAACAACAATCAGTCTCGGAAGATTTTTTGATGGTATTCAGCCAAACCATCTATTTGCAGCTGTTCTTCATCAAAGCGTGTAGGTGGCCTTTAGCGTAGTGGTCACCTTTTGTCGACTTCAAATTGCGAGCTTAAGAGCCTTGTACCTGACGTAACTGACCTTGTATTGCAGGGCCCACAACATCTACGTGGAAGACATCATGGTTCGAGACGTGGTCTTCATCTGGCAGGGAGCGAGCTACAAGGACCTCAAGAACTTGCTTCGTACCAACAAGCGCCTCAACTGTTTTCCCCTCGTCGAGTCCCCAGGTAAGGTTTTCTTGGTTGAGCCAAGTTGACTTTGTGTTAACTCTTTGCTGCAAACTTTAAAAATAATCACGCAATTATGGTTTGTTGTAGGTTTAGAATAGGAGGACAAGTCTCTCCCTCGAAACTCTCTGCTCACCATGATTGGTGGCTCCCTTCTGTCCACTTGCCTCCTCTCCAGCATTCGCTCTGCTAAAATGTAAAAGAGTGGGGGGCTTTGTGGGAGGGACTTGCAAAGCTGTTATAAACCTACAACAGACTCTAATGTATTTTGTTTGTGCCTTAAATTAAACTTAAAAAGACATCAAATAAGAAAGCCGGAGTAATTTCTACAAATAACGAAACTTGAGGAGTAAGCCATCAGAAATCCGGCATACTGCCCTTCCTAGCTAAAATTTTGTTAAAAATTGTAAAAAAACAAAAACAAATAGACAGTGGAAGGTCTAGCAGCCTGTCGACTGGAGGTCTGTAGCTTGCACACCAATAGACTGATCTCACTAAGCGTTCCACGAATGTGTGATGCTGCCATAATTGTAGTCCTCGGGAGGCAAGCAACAAAGGACAGCTTGTGCTGTCTCGTGCTTTGCTCGTGCAGACCTGCAGAGGAGTTGTTGCACATGTAGAGGGACTGCAGTTCCCACGAGGAATGCTGGCGGCGGCGGCGTAATGCAACTGGCTGATGAGATTGGTCTGTTGAGTGTGACTAGGGCTTCGTTTCGTCTTGCACGGTTGCTCCGGTTGCAATATTTCGTCTGCAAACAAAACACTCTTTCGACCCAGACTCGATGATCCTGCTGGGCTCCATACCCCGCCTGGAGCTGCTCCGGCTGATGGAACTTCAGCTTGGCCGGTGGCGCCGCCTGCAGGAGGTTGCTCGCAGGCGCTCCATGGACATGACCGCCCACAAGAGCCCCCTGGAGCAGCGGAGGCAGTCACGCTTCGAGGTGGTCCCAGTCACCAACAGCACTCGGGTACGGAGGGAGCGCTTGAATCTTCTCCTATCGCTCGCAGAGAGCGCACGGGGGCTGTGGTAGAGAAGGCAGAAAAGTTTGTTTATAAGCTCAGTTTCAGAATGACTTGAAAAACGGCGTCAACTATAGCCTTGTGAAACCAATAGATCTTTCCGGGAAGTCCCACAAAACTTCTCGTCAACCCCACATTGCATTGCGCGGTGAGAGAAATTGTGGGGCTGTTCCAGTGTACGCTCTGTTCGGCTCGTACACTTTGCACGTCCTGGAAGTGGCGCGATTCCTTCTTTCTTGCTAGTCTGGGTTCACAACACGAAGAAAACAGAGGGCATGCATCACAGAGCTGATACGTACCCTGCTTTGTTATTGTCCTGCTTTCTTTGCATTCTGAAATTGCAAAATTCTAAACAAACATGAACCACTTCTATTTCCGGTATGGTCCGGTATGAACCACTTCTTCTATTTCCGGTATGGTGTACTGGAGCGTTGGTGTGAGGCACATGACAACACGCCACTGAAATGCACTCCTGCTGTGCACAGGTTGTAGCATGCCTCGCTATGTTGCTCTGGTTGGCTCACAGCAGTTGTGGCATCTGCTGTTTTGCCAGGTTGCACTAAAACAAGGCATGGGATCTGACGAATGTCGTTGAGAAAGCCTTCTTTTCAAAGTGAATGAAGGCAGGATTATCTTGTTGCAATGGATAATCCATTCACTTGCTCTTCTTAGAGGTGAAATGGAGGACATGCATTATAATGGTGCATACAGTCTAAAAAAAAATAAAAAAAAAAAAAGCTTTTGCAGTTAGGTGTGGCACTGGTCGGAGTACTGAAGCTTCAGTATGGTAATCTCACGAATAAGACAGGCATCGTTCAGTTTCCCACTGTCAGCTACCGTTTTATGATCCCTTCAATTGACTTCCTACACCAGACTGACTTAATCAACGACAATAAACATACAATGATAAGCAGCGCACAAAGAATGCCGCAGAAACGGACACACGAGGCAAACAGGTGCCGCGCGTGTTCCTTCCCCAGTTTGTCCAGTCTTTTTGTGCCCCGTTTTTTGTTACGTTTAATGATAACCAACCTGCCCATACTGACCACCTTAGTGGTGATAATAAACCTCGAGGTAATGCTCACACTTGCACAGTCTAAATTTGCTTCCACCTCTCGATCTACACGTTTGGGCTTCCGTCGCCCTCTGCTCACGACCCTCGGCTTTGCAGCCATCCCCGAAGTCCTCGCCGCCGCCGTCACCTCCCCTGACACCCAAGTCACCCAAGAAGTCCATCTTGAAGGACTACGGGATGCAGTCTCCATACTCCACCATCACTTCTCAAGGTGAGCCTTGTGGGGGCGAGGCGATACATCCGACGCAGGTTGTGTAAAGGCTGGTTCGCACATTTGTATTTGAGTAGGATCGACTGTGTTGAGACTCCCCGTGACCGCTTATGGTCAGCTAATGCTCTGGTGCCATCTATTGGGTAGCCTTGGAACATCTACAATCTTTGCACAAAGTGTCTCCCCCCGCCCCGGCATTGTTTTGCTCTGCAAAAATAAAGTATGCGTTGGCAGACGCTCATTCCACTTCCAAATGTTGCACCAGCGGTTTGAGCCAGATGCCAAAGTTTTAGAACCATGACCGTCGTCTCGTTCAAAAGTCAAAAGTTACACGCAATATTCTTAAGGTCTTTAACTTATTTTTTTTTTTATTTTTTATTTATGGTGCTGAAGTTTAGCATACAGATGTATTTCTCAGTGGTGATTTCAAATACACAAATAGTTTTCAGATAGCTTTACTAAATCCTGAGTTACCAATAAATTTGTAATTTTAATTAGATCCTTCTTATGGGCCGTTAGCGTAAAATTCTTCAGAATACATAAGAAATTTTGATAGGATTGCATTCACCAGGACATGCTTTGTATGGTGATGCTGTTTTTTTTTTTTGCTTTATGTGTCGTAAAATAATTTTAATTAATATGGTCTCAAGAAGATACAGTGCAATCCACTTATAATGATACCGCATATAATGATGTCCTGTTTATAACAATCAGTTTCTAGAGATTTTAGACTAGAAACGCTCAGTTTCTAGGCCAGATACAACAATAATCGGTTATGACGATTCAATTTTCTGGTTTTCTAATTATTGTTATGAGTGGATTGCACTGTATAGCCTCCCATTTTGTGCAACTTGATTTCAAATGCTTTTTACCAATGTAATACCATTAAATCGGGCTTAAAAAAGCATCGCCACACAAAACATGTCTTGGTGAATGCAATTCTATAAAAATTTCTGATATATTTCTGATATATTTTGAAGAATTTTATGCTACCAACCCGTAAGGAGGACCTAATTAAAATTACAAATTTGTCGATAACTGGGGATCTATTAAAGCTATCTGAAAACTAATTGCGTATTTAAAATAACCACTGAGAAATACATCAGTATATAAATATCAACACAATAAATTAAAAATAATAATTAAAGACCAGCATTTTTTTTAAAGGGCCCCTGAAAAGAAAAGAAAATGTTTTTTTTTAAACAGTCTGGTTGGGACACGCGCGTCAGAAAATAAATTTTATGCGAAAATTTTTTTTTAGAGCATTATTCACGGCAAGAGATTTATTTGAAATTTTGCGTGCAAAGTCCATGACTTTACTATGTGGTCATTTGCGCTTTCGGCTTCAACGAGATGGTCATTTGCGCTTTCGGCTTCAACGAGATGGTCATTTGCTCTCTCCACCTCAACGTGAAGGCAAAGTCAAACCATTTCTCCTCCATGGCCCGAAATGACGAGAGAGAAAACAAGTGGAAAGAAGGTGACAACCAACTAGATTGTGTCTCGCGTTGTTAATATTGCTCTAAACAAATTTTTTTCCGCGTAAAATTAAATTTTTTGGCACGCGTGTCCCTACTACACTTAAAAAAACAAACATCTTTTTATTTTCAAGGGCCTTTTAAGTTTTCAATGGGAAATTGGCGGCCGACGCGGGGGAGCTCTTGAATACCGTATTTATACAAGTGATAGCCGCACTATTTATGAACAAGGCCCTTGCCTTGTTCATAAATAAATTACTGCAAAGCACGTATACAGCCAATCATCGCATTGCCCATAAATAACATAGCGAATAACCAGATCGAGAACAAGATTCTTCATACAAATGCAATCTTCACAGATGGTATCTTTGCGCGAAGGCGTTATCTCTGTCCTGTAAACTGCTGGGGTCATGTTGTCGTTCGCGGTGATTCACAATCCGCGTGCTCCTGGGAAAAGCGAATCCTCAGGTTTTCTTCATAAACAGTGCGGCTGTTACTCGAGTAAATACGGTACATGGTTGAGCTGAATGGCGCCGGTTACCAAAACTGGGCCTCGTTTTCCCGTAAAAGTTTTCGGAAAATCGCTTGCAACTTTTGAATGGGATAACGGTTCTGAAATTTTGCCATCTAGCGCTACGTTTGGGCGGAGAATAAGTGTTCGGCAATGCATAGATTATTTTCGCATGAAAAATGGGTAAATTTCTTGGGGGGACACGCTGGGTAGGCATCATTCTTTCATTGTCTGTTTGAAATAATTTTGACATCTAAGGGACAATTTTTTATAGGTAGTGCGTATATTTTGATCTTGCAAATATTGCAAAACCTTGAGTCTACATTCGTGGAAAGACCTTACAAAAAGGTGGGTGGTCTTCTGCAAGGAAGAAAATCTTAATGTCCTGCTCTCCTTGAGCGTAGCAAAGGAAGGAAACAGGCTAAGAATGGCATGACACTAAGAAGGGAAGGGATTAAAACGTTGCGGGGAAAGAAGGGAGGTGGTTTGGAAAAAAAAGGATCAAGTACTAGGTGTTCTGACTGTATTCTTGGCGGATCTTAAACTGCCAGAGAAGAAACCTGAGACTTTTAAAGCAATAGCTTTATAGGCCCAACTGTGCTCAAGACCACGTAATCAAGGTCACGTAACGCCCGTGACTGAAGGGCTCGTGGCTGAAGTGACGGTGGCTGAAGCATGGCTCCGCTCACATAAGCTCGTAAGCGCTGATAGATGAAGCTGACGTGACCTGAAACCCTTGATGTCGTCCTTGACGTCATCCTTGAGGCCGTCCTAGAAGTCGTTCTTGACGTCGTTCTAGACATTTTAGTTGTCGTCCTTAAGGTCATCCTAGACACTGTCCTTGACGTCGTCCTTGAGGTTCTTGAGGTTTTTCTAGGGGTTGTCCTAGACGTCGTCCTAGATGCCGTCCTTGACATTCTTGATGTCGTTCTTGACATCGTCCTCGATGTGTGTATCGCATATTACAACCATTGCATCACCGCACCATTTCCTTTCCTAATTGTTTTCACTATGTTCCTGTAAAGCTACCGTATTTCATTGTGTTTGGTTGAATGAACAAAGCTGCATCAAGTCAGTCATGTGTCTGCTCACATGACTGACTTGTTCATGGACATAAACACAGATGAACATGTACACATGGACATAACTATGAATTTGTACACATGCTCATGCACATGGACATTTCCGTTTGTGGGCACATATGGAACCTGTTTTTGCTAATGGAGTGTTGAAAAGTTGTCATAGCACCCTTCACTAATCATTTTATGTGAAAGCACCATTCACTGCAATATGAATGGAGCTATCCATAAAGTTCTGGTTTTCCAAGGAATTTCATAGCTGTTTTTTTAAGTGTCTTGAAGCTTGTATTTTGACTGGTGCAGAACTAAAAGTATTTAAAGGAATTATTTTGGTTAGTTTTAGTTTAGATTTGACCCATGTAGGATAAAGAAAGCTCTTCGAATTATTCATAGCTATGCCAACCATAAGATTCTCTATAGTCCATTTAGGAAAAGAACAGCTTGTAATAGGGTGAGCTTTAGCAAATAGTATTATTAATTTGGCATTGCCTTTGAAGCTGCAAAGCAACTACATTCTACTGCCAGGTTTTCGAACCTAATTTTTTGTAAACTTATATTTTTTAGATTAATTAATGTCATATGAACATAAATGTTTCTATGAAAATTAAAAGGAACATTTCTGGTGGTCATCTGCAGTGATGCAATAAAATGTCACTGAGCAGAGACTTTATATTTTTATGCTCTAAAAATTATTCATAACTTTGAACATTATGTCATGACTGCTTTGCCCGGCGCGAATTGCGTTGCAGACTCCAGGTTACGACAGGCATTTGAAGTGATCTTCAGAAAATCCCTTACCCTTCAGGACGTCAACCCCGACAAGGTGAGTGGTTTTTGTGGAATGTTTCTCCCATTGCACGAGCGACTGGCTGCGGGCTGCGGGTGAATGCTAAGATTCTTACTTTTCTCGTAAGCTGCCTCATCTGGAATACTACTTGTGAGTATGCTGCCGCAACTTTTTATTCCTTGTTGATGTAAAGACTGTTGACGCAAAGCTGTGCTAAGGTGATGGTTAAGCCCTGATTGCACTTTGGAGGTTTGCAGGAGGATGGGGTTTTCAGTTTGTATTTGCCAAGAAATGTACTCTCATTTGCTGCATTACCCAAGACTTGTGGTTCAAAACCGTTCAAGTCATGGGAGCTTTGTGACTTTTTTATTGTTTTGGATACCCTCCTCATTTGTCTGAAAACAGATTGGGTGCTTTTGAAGGTCACGTTAAAATATTTTTTAGCGCAACTGAAGATAATTTTTTTCAGGGGACAAGGTGGTACTGCCTGAGACAAATACAATATTCATGGAACTCGATTGAGGGTCCTTGGATAACCTAGTTAGCTTTGGCCATCTTGAAAGAGAGGAGGAGGGTCTAGTTAAATCACTCTGTCGTGTTAGCTCCAAACTGAAAAAAGGCCATGCGACTCTCTGTGAGAGTTTGAACAATGCCATTTAAGGAACAAATCTGCTGGATGTATTTTTCCACAGCTTTAGACTTCTCGTTGCATAACCATGTTTCTCTGCAGTTTTGAGCAGCATTATTTGAAAGTCACTTCTCACTTATTAGGGCTGCATACAGTTTTCAGAGCCCATGGTACTTATATGTTTTTAAAAGTGCCCGAGGATGTACAGTGGAATCTCATTAATACGATTCTGCATAATACGTTTTTCAGTACAATAGGTTTTTTGTACTTTGATACGGCTAATACAATAATATTTTCACTTGGGATCGGAAAATATGACTGCGGGAATGGTTTCTCCTGGGAAAATATACCTGTACGTTCAAGTTACTAGCTCGGTCAGCACCGCGGCCCGCAGCGCCGAAAAAGTTGCAAGTCGCGACCATCATATTGCGACTGCCACAGCTGCAGCCACTATGGCTGGAGAGTCACAGTTAGGGCTAGGGTGTTTTATTATGGCCTCCAATGTATCTAGTCAAGCAGCATCGTGCACCTTCAAGCGAAAGGTAGAGCAGGTTTTCAAGCATGTGACCACAAAAAGTAAGGGTAGAGAGCCTAGATTGAATAGAGGGCATATCTTAAACCATCGGAAGCATTTGCAATTTAATGACGGACAGCTCCTGCGGCGATCGGTAGCAAGTGCGCATGCGCTGCATTTTCACAGGGCGAGAAGAAAAGCTGGAGGAAAGGCGTCGACATTTGCAGATGATCAACGCTTTTGTCTTTTCGTCACAGCTCGTATTGCAAGTGTGGCCCATAAACCACGTGACCCTGATTGAGCAGTTAGAAACTCTGTGCGGTCGTGAGAACACGCCTTTATTGCGCAACTCGTTTTACGCGCCTTCCCCTTTGTTCTCTGGTTAGATCGTAAACAGGCGTGCCGTTCTCTGGTGCTCCCTGCTCTCGTGGTATCGAAATGTCAAGGAAACGCAAGCCGCTGACTTTGAAGGAAAAACTGGACATTATTTGCAAGATCAGAGAATCGTGTAGATCTGGCACGCAAACTTGGTTTGCTGCTTTCAATGCTCAACACTATTCGTCGGCAAGCGGGAAGAAATTCACAAGAAGCTGCAAGTCTTTGGCGTTGGCGTAATGCAAAAACAAGTGGTGTGCAGCATGGACAGATGGAAGAGATCCTTCTAGCTTGGTTGAAGGATATATGAGCGGCAGGTGGGAACGTCGACGGGAATGTTTTACGTGAGAAGGGCGATGAGATTGCACTCTCCTTGGGCATCGATGGCTTCCAAGCATCAGGTGGATGTCTGCATCGGTTCATGGCACGACACGGTTTGTCCTACAAGACAGTTTCTGGCGAAAGAAAGAACGCAGTCGCAGCGGTTGTTTCTGACTGTATGTCAACTTTGTCAGTGCTGATTTTGCAATACCGGCCGTGTTTAAGGCAGACGAAGCAGGCGTCTTCATCAACCTCCAGCCCGAGAAAAGTCAGCATGAAGGGCGAGATGCGCTAAGGAGGAAAGAAAAGCAAGGAAAAAGTGACAGTCCTTTTCTGTGGCAATGCAGATAGAATTGAGGAAAATTCTACTGTTTCTGGAAAAACGGGCCGCACACCCGATCGACGTCGGCTGGTTTTAGAATGCTAAAGTGATTTTCTTACGACCCAACACCACCAGCTACTTGCAGCCCCTGGACGTGGGCATTATCAGAAACATGAAATTTCATTTCCTAAGCTGCTGGTAAGGTGGCTTTTAGTCAAGACCGAACAAGAAGACGCCAACCTCAAGATTGATCTTGATGCCATCCACTTTTTGACGATGCTTTGGGATCGTGTGAAATTGGAAGTCATCGCAAACTGCTTCAAGAAATGCGGATTTTTTGGTGCATGCGATGATGCAGAGCGTCGAGGAATACAACGGCGACTACTGTGTGCTTGAGATCCCAGACTGAGATCACTTGAATATGGACGAGTTGCGCTCTGTGCAAGAAATCATAGCGGATGCCATCAGGGGACCGCTGAAGACGACGATGACGAAGACACGCAAGGGCTCAGAGACTGCGGTGATCGTCGTGCGCTAACTGCAGGCGACACGTTTGAAGCGTTGGACGCTCTTCGGGCTTTCGTTGCCAATGCTGAGCAGAGCGACCAAACTGCGGCTATTTTGTTTTTTTTACTTTCAGAAGAACTTGTTTATGAACATTGAAAAGGAGAAAGTCCCGTGCAAAGCAACATACTATATTAAGGTTTGCATAATAAAAGAAGATCTTTCACCAGGTATGCATTTTTATGGCCTTTTGGAGCATGTTTGGCTAATACGATTTTTGGGTAATATGGCCCTCGGTTTGTCTCGGTTCCCGGGAAAATCGTATTAACGAGATTCCACTGTATTGAACTTCCCTTTGAACCACTCGTCTTCATATAAAGTGCATATGAAACAGCATGGTGAAAACTTTGACGACGGACTCATATCTGCATAATGAATTTCATCTGGAATAAAAATGGAGCTTAGAAATCTGAATTGCTTTTTTTCCAGGACCTTAGTGCACCGAACACTCCCACAAGCACCAAGCGGGTGCAGTTGGTAAGGGGCTCTTTTTAAATGAAACAGTGTAATAAATTTAAAACATTTATCTCGTTTTACATTGTTGCGTTTGCAAAAAAGTTCTTTATGATTTTGTTGTGCAATTTTATGTGTGGTACTCCTAAGAAAATAAATAATGAGAAGTATGCACACTGATAAGTGCAAAAATCCAAGTGTGATTTGCTTAGCATGTTGGACAGATTCTGTGCAGTTTGGCTGTGCTATCAACAAAACACATTGCTTCTTGCATCGTGTGTACTATTGGCATGTATGCTTGCACGCGTGCTTGTATGCATGCATGCTTAAACACATGCATGTTGCATTCCTCGATACAGTACTATACATAAATACTACTATGACAAACTAATTCTTTCTTTTTCACATTGATTCGTTTCTCGCCACTTATTAGTGGTGACGACAGTTTGGTTGATGTTTTTGTTTTGTTTTATTGCAGCCCCGTGAGCGGATCATAGACATGTCCCCGGAGGAGGTAGGCCACTCACATCCGACGTACACACTTCTATATCCAAGTGCCCGCTTAAATATAGGCTCAAAACTGGCTCACACTTTTGCACTTCAACTGCTTGCAACCGTTTGCGGCGAGAGAACACAGTTTGTCTGGAGCATTGATCTGCAGATATGTTTTCAAAGTTATTTTTTTACACATCATTGTTTCACCATAGGCTATAATTAATTTTGACAATATTATAAAAACATTTTTCATCAATTACGGTAGTAACAACAATGTTAGCACGTCGGTTTGATCTCACATATGCTGCAAAGCCTTTGTTGTTTATTTCGAAGTGAAGGGAAGAAGGGGGGGGGGGGGGGAGCCAGGCACAAAGCATTCGGTCTAGTTATACAGTAGGCTCGCGATAATTCAAATTTGGATATTTCGTACTTCTGGTTAATTCATACAAATTTCAAAATTTTGGTTGTCCCGTTATGTTTTAAATGTAATCATAAGCCGCTTAATTTGAACGGTGTTTTCGTGTAAATCATACTTTTTGTTTGCGCAGCCCCGTTGAGTGCGCTTCTTTCCGAGCACACGTGCACTGCAGAGGGGCAACACCCGCGGAGCTTGCTTCCGCGGGTGTTGCTTCTCTGCAGTGTACTGGTGCTAGGTGGGAAGCACACTCAATGGAGCTCAAGCAGGGTACCATAATAAAGGGCACCACACGGAAATTTCCATAGCATCTTGCACGGACGCTGTGACGTGGCGGCATGGCATAGATCCAAGTTGCTATGGGAATTGCCGTGCGGTGCCCATTTTCATTGCTCATGTGTCTCCTATTTAAAGTTCATATCAGACAACTTCTTGGCCTGATAAACAAACTGAATTTTGTTTTGGGTTGTCAAGTGCTGTCTTAACAGTCCTTGATAAACAACATTTCTGAGGGACTTATGTTATACATTTCACAAATGTTCCATGCGTGACATACCTGCTTATGATCAGTAGGGCTATGTAGGGGAAATCATCAAATATCTGCTTTGTATGTGTAGTCATTCATATGACATATCATAATGTTATCTTGCATCATAATTAGATTAATTTCTGATAATTCAAAGAAAATTCGTGGCTTCCTGGAGTTTGAATTATGAGTTCACTGTACTCGGATCGGAGGCATTTCAAGGGCTTCCCAATAGATGGTGCCAGTGTATTACTGTGTTCTCCCATCGCGTCTATCACAATCAAATGCTGATGTGTAAACCGGCCTCCAAAGTTTTCATAACAAACGCTCAACTTCCTTTGGATAAATTTATCCTTAAGAGACGGGATTGGTTTGCCAGCTGTTTCTGTGGTGCCGGGTATGAAAAGTAGTGTCAATATGGGTCTCATCAGTTTTATAGATCTGGCTGCCACGAGATGAACGTAACGTCACGAAAGAGCATCACGAAAAACCGTCGCATGATAGCCAAATTTAGCAGATGCGCTAAATAGTGAGTCCTGCTAATTATCATTAATGATACAGTAGGCTCGCGATAATTCAAACTCGGATATTTCATACTTCCGGTTAATTCAAAAATATTAAAATTTTGCTTGTCCCGCTATGTTTTTAATGTATTTATGAGCCGCTTAATTTGAACGGCGTTTTCGCTTAATTCATACTTTTTGTTCTCGCGGCCTCGTTGAGTGCGCTTCTTTCCGAGCACTGGTGCGTTACAGAGAAGCAACACCCGCGGAGCGTGCTTTCGCGAGTGTTGTTTCTCCGCGGCGCACCGGTGCTCGGTGAGAAGCGCACTCAACGGGGCTCAAGCGGGCACACTAGAGCTCTGAAAACGGGCACCACGCAAACATTTCCAAAGTAACTTGCGCGGACGCTGTCACGTGGCGCTGTCCGCGCAAGTTATGAAAACTGCCGCGCGATGCCAGTTTTCATTGCTCATGTGTTCCTTGCTTAATAGTACACTTTAGACAACCTCTTGGCCTGATGAAATAAGTTAATTTTGTTTTGAGTTGTGATCTGCTGTTTAAACAGTCCACGATAAACAACATTTTAAGGGATAAATAAACTTGTCATACATTTCACAAATGTTTTATGTAGGGCATACCTGCTTATGATCAGTAGGCCTTTGAGAGAAAATCACTAAATATCTGTTTTGTATGTGTAGTCATTCGTATGACATATCATAATTTTATCTTGTATTATATTTAGATGAATTTCTGATAATTCCAACTTGCGATAATTTAAACAAAATTCATGGCTTGTTGGAGTTTGAATTAATGAGTCTAGTGTATTCCCGTATCCTCGCAATACCCGATGTACACTAAATGCGTTTTACACACTGTAGTCCGCACCCGGTGTTCTGGACGTTCACAAAGACTAAGTTCAGTTCTTTCTCCAATGTGTTATACCTGTACTTGCTTATAATTAGGCCTATGTAGAGGAAACTGGCAAAAATCTGCTTTGTATGTGTAACTATCCATGTATCAAATCATAATGTTGTCTAGTATCATATTTAGATGAATTTCTGATAATTTAAACTTCTGATTATTCAAACTAAAATGTGACTTCCTAGAGTTTGAATTAATGAGTCTACTGTAATTCATTATAACGAGAGAAAGATTACACATGTCCTGCACACTTTGTCTCCAGACTTCATTCATTGGATTAAGGTCCCTTTTTTTTTCTTATCTTTCTGATACCTTTTATTGGAAACTTGCATGGTTATGGAGATTTTTGGCTGTGTATTTTGGAATGAAGCATTGAAAAATTGCGTAAGATGGCGATGTTGTCCTCCTAGCAATTGTCTTGGGAGGAAGATCAATTGGCCCAGCCGATTGACTACACTCACTGTCACATTGATCCTGCCCCCTTCCAACTGGTCGAAAGGACGACGCTACTTAAGGTGGGAGAACTTTGTTTTACGTTTCTGTTTGTGTACTTTTGTATTTTTGGCAGGGCTGTGAACCTAGACCCCCTGTGTTCTGTTATTCCTTCAGGTACATTCCATATTCTCCATGCTTGGCCTGCAACATGCCTACGTAACTACCATAGGGAGGCTCATAGGTGTGGTGGCTCTCAAAGAGGTAGGCACCATCTTGTTTGCACATATAAAAAAAAAACACTCGTCATGCACACTTTTGACATACCCAATGGACAAATTTGCACTGAATCAATTCTCCTAGAGATCCGGCAAGAGGTATATGTGCACCAAAGAGAACAGAATTTAAGCTGAACTCTGATAATGCCATGAGCAGCTGTCCAACGTATGTTTCACTTGTTGCAGCTCGAAACATCTGCATTGTCAACAATGCCCCTACTTGCGCTAGCACAAAGAGCGGCCTGCCTGGGAGGAGTGCTTCCCCTCAGGCACAGTTGTAATCCACAGAAGTGGTGGAGAAGTACTTCCTATTGACAGATTCAACACATATTAAGACTGCATTTATTTGTAACATGCCTCACTTTGAAAAGCTTCAATGCGAGCTGAAACCTCGTAACACCTTTTCTTGACCCCGTATGCCACCATTCTCGGCAATAGACCTTTCCGGGAAATTTTGGCAGATCTCGCAGCAAGGGAATTGCGGGGCCGTTTCGACGTACGCTTGGGCCAACTTGAATGCTTTGTGTAGTCTTGTGGCAGCACAATTCATTCTCTGGTATCATTAGCAGCTTGGAACATACAAAAAATAAAGTTAACACAAAAGAAATCGGCACATATTGCGCTTTCTTTTCCTTCCACCTCTACGTCCCAAAACAACAAAACGTTACACCAATGTCGGCTGTCTTTGACTAACGGATAGCCTCGCAGGCTGTACATTGCAACGTCACAATCAGTCAAGCAAACGGTGGGGATGCCTTATATTTCCGGAAAAGTCTATGCAGAGAGCAACTTGTCTGCTTCTTGCGCAGGAGCTGCAGTGACGTCAGAACGACGCCGAGTTTTGATTGGCTTTGTTTTAAAAGACAGTGGGTAGACCTCAAAGCAAGTTGCCTTGAGGTCTACCCACTATCCTTCAATCGGAGCCAATCAGGGCTCGACTTTCTGACGTCACCACAACTCCTGCAAAAGAAGCAGACGAACTTGCGCTCTGCATTGGGGGATTGAGACGCTATCACACAGAAGTTTGTTCTGTTGCCTGCTTCATGAGAGGCCTTTAAGAGAGCTTAACAGGATGGCTCCCTTTGTTCTACTCTCCCAGCTAAGGAAAGCCATAGAAAAGATGAACAGCGGAGGGTTCAACAAGCCCGTGGGTGCCCCCGGCAGCGAGCTCCCCAACGGCATTGTCGGGGGCGAAGCGCCGTCCGAGACGCAGTCAGAGTCAGAAGAGACTGCGGCAGAGTCGTCCTCGCGCTCCAAGAAGCGCAAGAAGTCCGCCAAGTCCAACAACAAAGGCTCGCCCGTCTGACAAAGACCGAGAAGAGACCTTGCGAGGGAACACACCCCGTGGTGCCTCGTTGTGAGAGTGTGCGTGCGCGTGTGACGGCTGCATCCCCATCATGTGTGATCGTGGTGCGAGTGGGCCCCTCTACCCTCCAACCCCTTTAAAAAAAAGAGAGAAAGACTGGCGCATGAAAGAAGCGAGAATGCAAAGCGAACATGTTGTTGCCCTCATTTTTCACGCTCAACTTTTACATGTGTTTTTCTTTCCCGTTTTTTGTTTGTTTTTAGTGTGGCAATTTTTGGATGCCAGATTGTTTTTGGTCTTGTTATTTGTTAAACCTTTTTTTATTGTAAAGATACTTTTTTTTTTCGTTTTAATCTGTGCGCCATGTGGCACCACAACAAGAAACGAAGGAGTTGTAAATTTGCCTTTTTTCTTCTTAGGAACGGTAGCTTGTGGTGGGAGTTCCCACGGCACGGACAAAGAAAAATAAAGGAAAAAGTAGGACAAGTCATGCAACCAATGTCGGAGCCTCATTTGTTGCTGCAAAACCTGTAGCTAGTCTTGCCTCGCAAGTTATGTACAGTGCTATTGAAGGCACAAAACCATAGCTCTGCAGAATGTTTGACCAGCAGGGGTACCCATGCAAGGAATGCACGAGTTCCGATACCACAACAGGTCGGAGAACGCTTCAGATGGGTCAGTCATTAGTTGCGAGATCCGGCCACCACACGCTCTGGGGTCAAGCACTGAAAATGTGCTCAGTGTTATCTGAGCTTCCAGCTCGGGAAAACGCCGGGGTGCGAGCTTAGATCCTTGACAGCTGGCCCTGTGGTCTAGTTTGAGCAGGGGAAGCAGCCTCCTGAATTAAGAGTTAAATTTCTTGGCCCCCTTTGTGTTTCTCTTCAGTAATGTGGATGTCTAAGAGCCAGTCAATTAAGGAAGAGTAGTGTCGGTGTCCAGGAACCAATAAACAAACAGTAGAGTGGATGTCTAGGAACCAAGCCATAAAGACAGTAGTGTGTGTGTGTCTAGGAACCAATCAATTAACTAGCGATAGTTTTATGGAAGCCAATCAAACAGTAGTGTGGGTGTCTAGGAACCAATCAATAAACAAAAAATCCAGTGAGGGAACCAACAGTAGTGTGGCTGTCTAGGAACCAATTGATACACTACTGCAGATGTCTAGGAACCGATCAATTGACAAAGTGTGTGGACATCTAGGAACCAACCAATTAACAAATTGTGGATGTCTAGAAATCGATGAATTAACGAAAAGCTTGCATTGACATACTACATATGCATTACGGAACTCGAGGCCAGTAGTTACCCCAAGAGCAAGAAAAGTTTTTTCAGGTGCCGTAGTAAACGCCATTGCTTTTGTAGTAATTTACTCACGGCAGACTGCCACGAAACAAGTTGGGAACATCACTCCACCTTTTCTCGAGGGTTCTGTGCGCAGGGAGTTTGGTTACAAGGATGTTATTGGTCACTGTATTTTGATAGCAAAGTCTCCTTTACCTTCAGAAAATACATTTCCTCACCTAAGTTGAGTAATCGAGTACAATTTCGTGCTTCAAGAGTGTGGAGACTTAAAATAATCAAATTTCTATATTTGTAAGTTCTAGACCAGTAGTAACATACAAGAAAAATAAATCATTTGCTAGGCTGATTCTACAAGAATTGGAGGTGACCCATTTGGCCCATACCCTCTCCAAAGGGTTATGTTTGAGGTAGCGAAATGACTGTCCCTTAATTTTTCTTACTCTGCTATCAACATCTGGGAAACAAAGGGATAAACCCAATTCTGTTCAACTACCTTATTTACTCGCATAATGAACTCACTATTTCTCAAAAAGGTGACATATTTAGGAGGTGCGTTCATTACGCAAGGGGTAAAAATTTTGCATTTACACACTTCGTGCAAATGTCATTTTAAGTGCAAATATGACACGACAGGGTAATGAGGCACGTCCCCACTGACGGCTGCGCACCCGGGGCTGGTCGTGGGCGCGCCACAGTAACCATGCTCTATAAGTTGTGAGCCTTTTTTAGGGTGCTTTCGGCATGCCTTTTGCGGAAGGAAAAGCGTCCTACGAAGCTCGCTTAGCACGAAGAGCGACACAACCGTTTTTAGGCCTAACCACTTTCATGATTTCACTGTCTGAAAGCGGACCACAGACGATGGCGTGTTTATTGACATCAATGCATTCGGTGGACGAAGCATGTCCGGAGCTGGGCAATTCCTCGACCCCAGCTTCGTTAGGTGTGCACACCGCTCGGTTCCACAGTTGATCACTTTCGCAACTACGCACTTGCAGCCATTACGAGAGCGGCGGCAAAAGAAAATTGGTTTGGTGGCTAGCTAAGTTGGACGCAGTTCGAGACTCGCGGAGCTCGGAGGTACGTGCATTACACGAGTGGAAAAAAGGTAAAAATATTGATGCTCTTTGGGGGGCGGGGGTTGCGTTCATTATGCAAGTGCCTCCATTATGCTAGTAAATACGGTGTTAGCACCCTATGCAAATAGTGACTGGAAATCGCCAGTTGTGTATTTTTGTTTTCCTTCCCACTTGAAGAAGTTCATCCTTTACACATATTTACAAGAAAAAACAAACAAACAAATAAAAGCAATCTATCTGCACGTCTTGGAGCATACTAGCTTTATGCCTTCTGTTCAATAGCTGCATGTTTGCAGATTTTGTCAGTGTGCAAGCTGTGGACACTGTCCAACCCCAGCACGCCCTTCTACTAGTGCCAGTGCCCACCCCTTTTTGTGAACTGCAGAATGTGCCGGGGTACACGCAATCCAGATAAATCCTAACGGCCCAAGTGATCAACCCATTTGATCAGATTTACCTTCTCGTCTCCGGTGTGCAATCACCAAGTATTCTTGGTGGGTTCCTGATTCACAGTTGGGTCTCGTTTATCAAAACTGATTTCATGGGGCCTGACGTGCTTGGGCAAGTACCGTGTCTTAGGCAGTGCCAAGCCTCTCAAGTGGCACTGGAGGTGTGCACTGCTGTATGATTGGCTATTACATGTAGAAAATCGTCACTGAGTATAGTACCCTCAACAGCAAAACCTCTAATTTTTAAGATGTAATAGTAATAACCACCCAGACTAATAACTCTGGCATGCCTTACAGTCCCGATAAATTTGTATCTCTTGGTATATCCGGAACTAGGTGGCTGATATAATAGGATTTTATGCCTGTGGCAAATTAGACTTCACAGCACACAAAAGGACTCTCACGATAGTATCCAGGACAAAATACAGCATACACGCCGCACCAGGGCCGTACCCAGACAAAAATTTCGGGGGGGGGGGGGGGGGGGGGGGCGTTTCGGGGACGACGGCGGCCATTTTGAAAGTGTCTATCGTCTTATTTTCGCCTATGAATCATGTGCATCGGTGGCATATAATTAGGGTGTGTACTTTCCGGTGTTTATTTGTGAGAAAAATCGGCGGATGTTTTTCGGTGTTTATTTATTTTCAAAACACCGGTGTATTTCGGTGGAACGCCTCACGACGAGGCTAAAAACGGTGATTATCGGTAAAATAAAAAGCGATTAATCACAGACAGAGAGTTCCAATTTTATTCACATAGTTCATACACTTCTTCTCTAGGAAGCAACTATTTCTCACACTTGGTTATTATAGTAGATGCGAGCATACTTTCATGCTTGCATCTACACGCAAGGAACGTGCTGCCGTCATGGCAGCACGTTTCTTGCGGTTCGCAACCCGCAATTATGAAAACGCACGCTCCTGTACGACACGGACGTTGGCAGTGTCTTCCAGGAACCACAGCAACCTTTGAATACATGGCTTGCACCAACATCACTTGGCCAGACACAATGAGGAAGAGGCACGTGAGAGCCTACCCTCAACTGTGTTAATTTTTCCACAAAAGGGTGCCATGGGAGACACAATAGGGGAAAGGCGTATGAGAGCTTAGCTTCCACTGCGTTCACTAGACGCTTTTGACTCCCAGAAAGGAGGGCGGACTGGCGCCACCTGCAAGCCCTGTATAAACACTGGAAGAATGCGGGATCCACAAGATAACACGTTTGACGAACCTCTAAGGGGAAGGGGTTTCGCTAGGTCGCGGAAACTAGCAACGCCCGGTGTTTTTCGGTTTTAACCAAGGCGAAAATATCCAACCACCGGTGTTTTTCGGTTTTAACCGATTTTATATTTTCGGCACCGACGGATGTTTATCGGTGTTTTTCGGTTAAAACCGGAGAATGCACAGCCTACATATAATGGAGAGTTACAGCAAACCGGAGAACCGGTCCCGGTTTGGTACCCGGTAGCCCACCGGCGCCACTGCGCGTGCGCAGAGGTGGAGATTAAAATCGGCTGGCTGCCAGTGCACCGACCAGGGCCATACCCAGAAAAAGATTTCGGGGGGGGGGGGGGGGGGGGGGTCAGAACCCCCCTCCCCCCTGGTTACGGCCTTGCGCCGCACAGAACTCTCCACTCTGTTTTGTATTTCGTCCGTTTTTCTCTCTATCAGGCCAATACACACAATTGTCCGCAATTATCTCTTTGTTGCCAGGTAACCTAAATCTGTCTGACAGGGTGAGAGATAAAGTACTAACACACTTATCGTCAAGCCTAACGTTATGTTTGGCTTCAATGCTTTCCCTGGTCATTTGGTTATCATGCCTGCTTAGGACGGTGCAACAATGTAGACGTGCCGCACACCCGCCATTCCGGCAGTGAAGTCCTAGATGTACACAGTCTGCGTTGACGACGTTGTGTTTGCGGAGTCGATCGTTAAGACACCGTCTGGTCTGCCCGATGTTTCGTTTTGTCACAACGTGCCCACACAAAAACCGGCGGAAAAAAACATCGTACGGTTTGTACAGTGCACGAAAAAAAAAAAAAAAAAAAACGCTGAAGGAAAGATGGAAAAAGAAACGCATAAAGACCTCTGATCTTGGTGTAGCTGGAGCAGCGTCTCCTTTGTACGTAAATGAACACTTGACAAAACGAACGAGATGTGGGAGCAGCCTACGCTCGAAAGCGCAAGGTAGGATGGAAATTCGTCTGGACGTCGGAAGGGAGGGTATACGCGCGAAAAAACGAAACATTAGCGGATATCAGAATCACTGACTCGGAGGACGTAGCCAAAATGACAAGGTAGTCTCGATCTATCGATGCCACTAACTTCAAGCACAATCTTTTATTTTCAGTGGCTGAAACACATCCGATAGAATGCAGATATTTTGACAAAACATAGTTTAATTTTTCTTTTAGTAGTTCACAAAAATGTTTTCTGAAATTTACTTCAATACAAGGAGTATCAGCAACAAACGATACGACTTGGAAATATTTCTTGATTCTTTGAATGTTCGTTTTGACGCATTACTTTTTTTTCGGAAACTTGGGTTTCAGATCATGCTGAGCCACCTTACTTTAGTGATTATAAATGTGCCAGTTTGGGTCGACAAAGTAAAAGAGGAGGGGGCGTTGCCATCTATTTGAAAAAGGATATGTCATGGTATGTTGTTGAGGATTATTCCACGATTACAGCTGACGTCGAGTGCCTTGTCTTACAAGCCGAAACTGTTGCTATTGTGGTTATTTATAGACCCCCTGCTAGCAGCAGACAAGTTTTTCTCTGCTTTTTAGAAGATTTGTTAAATTTTCTTTGTTCGCTCCCCAAACCATTTTTTATTATGGGCGATACAAACATTAACTTACTCAAATGTCATAGCTGTGCAATCGAGTTCAATAATTTGTTATCTACTCCTACCGACGAATAAACGACGAATCACCGGTCAGAGTGAATTAATCACTGGTCAGAGGATGGCTGCCTGACGCATACCCTTGCATAATAGCCACAGTTATATTTTAAAGATTTTCCTGCAGTGTAAATATAAACAATCGCAACGTTTCCCACTTTTTGTTTTCCTCTTTTTTTTATACATTAAGCTTGTGCGTGCTCCATACCACTTTGAATGTGTGTTTTCCGCCTGAGTGCGCGGCTGCGCTGCGGCGAAGCGAGTCGTGAGATCGCGGTGTCAGCTCCGCGGGTGTTGCTTCTCTGTCGTGTAGTGGTGCTTGAGGAGAAGCGCACTCACACTTTTTAAGCGAATATCAAATAGCGTAATTCGAGCATTCGCGCAGGCCTACTCTTCGCACATAGTACTTCAACATAAAAAAAAAAAAAAACTATTTTTTTTTTTTTTGTTTAGTTTTTAGTGGCATCGTCAAGAATGCCACGTGCGTAACACTCTCGGTTTCCTTTTCGAGGACAGCTCCCACTTGGTGCAGACATGGCGCAAATTGTGCATAAATACAACCTTTAAAGCAACATGTAGCGGGTTATTCGTTCTGGTGCAGTTTGGCGGAAATGACGCAGCAGTTCTTCTACTGGAAACATGCACCCGCAACGGGTGCGGACACAACGTAGAAAAACCGGCCGCTTGCTTACCAGCGTAGTTGACTAAACGGAAATTCCACGTCGGCCCAGGAAATCCGACACTCTCGGACTCTTTGAAGAGCGCGGAAAATGAGTACGGGAAAGCACCGGCGGTTTGGTTTGTGGTTTCTTCCACCACGGACCCCTAAAAGCTCGCATGGTACCGTGGAGATCCCTACGGCGTTATGACGCCCCGTTGACGTCCCAGGGTCATCTCGACCATCAGTGTAGTGTTGGAGCGTGCTTGTGGGCGATGCTGCGGTTAGGGGGCTCTTTGTTTCGTGCTGGTGGCGGCGAGACTTCGCCTTGTTGGCTGACGACAGGTACGTCTCGAATCCGGTAAAAATGCACGGCACCGCGTCTTGGTTTAGCGTAGGTTTCTTTGGGACGTGGAGCAGAACAGGTCCCTTGTGCTCGGTTCGATATTCTGTTGAATCTCTGTCGTCCGGAAAATGGTTGGCCCAAACTCCGTCCGAGCTGAGGAGGTCGCGCTGCAAGCGCGGGATATCTCGGCTCCTTGCAGCTAGACGTTTGCAATTAGCGATAAAGTGCTTCTTCACGTCGTTGCCTGGCCGACAGTATGGGACGCAGGAGACGCGGCTCTTGCCAAATTTCAAGTGCTAAAGGGCAAAATCTCAACGATAATTAATCGCATCGGAGCCTTGAAGCATTGCTGTAAGTTCGTGCAAAGCCGCCAGGCGGCTTTGGTTCGTGATTGAAAGTTTGAAGTTGGCATCAGACTTCGGATTGAAGTGGATTGGACTTCGGTGGCCCTTATGTGGCACATGACATTGAAAATTGCCGATCGTAAATAGAATGGGATATAGTTTTGTACGTGACGATGCTTCACCTATTAAAAAAAAAAGATGTAACTACGCAAATGATTTTTTTTATTTGCTTACAGCAACTACGTATACAAAACAAATAAATGATGGACTCAATTTCCAGTTTCGGTTTTACCTTCAAGCGTGTGACAGGACATCACGACGACGGACAAGTTTTCACCGGCAGCTGAAAACTTGTTTGATGATAATATAAGAAGAACTGCTCGCCTTGGTTGGTACCGCATGTCACGATGATGTTACTGTGCGCATGAAGTTTCATATGTGAAGGGAGTAATCAAATGGAGGATGAATACATTTTTAAAATGTGTTGCGCCAGATATTCTTTTTTTTTTTTTTAATCCGAAAACATTAACTATCCCATGGAGCCAGCCGACGTCATCAGTTTGAAGCGCGCCAAACGGCACCTTAAATCCTTTCTCCAGGTGGAGCCAGCTCCCAGCTATGAAACCACGCGCAAAGCCCCGATCCCAAAGGAGCGGAGTAAAGCTGATGCATTTAGTCTTCGGTCCCATTGGCTGGCGCGCGTCGACGAGGCTCCCATTGGCCGCTGCGCGCGTCAGTTCCAACGACCGCCGCCCCATGGCGCTGCGTGTCCGTGCCGCGAGCGCGGAAACACAGCGCTCGCGGCACGGATGCTTTCGCATTCACAACTGGTAAGAAGTGCTTAGTTGTACCTCGAGCCCTTTTTTTAAACATTTTATGGATTTTACTGGGTTCCTATATTATCCGATTTTGAAACTGGGTACAGAACATACAGAAGGAGCGCATCAAGTTCCAACTACCAACGCTAGGAGGCGATGGGGCAAATCAAGCAGCGCCAACTTCGACACGTCAAACATTATTCATCGACCTACGCGACCTACGCGCGTGCGTTTATTCATATTACGTAGCTCTAGATCGTGAGCACGTCGACATCGTCTATGCACTGTCGTGGGTGACACTTGAAGGGCTCCTTGTGGGCGAGGTAAAAAATTTAAACGGTACAAAACAAAAACATGATATTTAATAAATACAAAACTTGAAAGTATAAACCAGCGAGGACGTGGACAAGAACCGGACGTCCTCGTCCTCGCTTGTTTTGTTTCTATGAACCAACAGGCTCGTTTTTCATTGATATTTAATATATTTGTGAAGCAGACCGCGTCTTCTTGTGATGTGACTCCCTAAACAAGTAATGAAAACAATAAGTGAACCATTTTGTTTTAGTTACTGAGCCAAATAAACGCCCAGCAAGCTCGGTTTATTGTGACTCTTTTCATCGAATGTTCGCTGGCAAGCTCGTAGTCAAAACGGTACCACGTTACGGTCACTGCCTTTATGAATATCAAATAAAATGAGAGATATTCGCTTATTTTGTTGCGCCTTCTTTTTTCCGGGACGCTTTTTCTTTTGAAAGTTAACATTTTTATTCCCGTATTACCTAGCGTATATTTAGTGGTTCCAGGCCTGATTCTCCGGGATTCGAAATATTAAAGTGAAGCCTCGTTCGCGGAAGGGTTGCCTTAAAAACAGACGGTGTGCCGGCTTTTGTTGTAAACCTAGTTGGACTGCACATTACGAAACATAGGTGCGCTGGCGAAATTATTAGTAGCACAAGGTTTTCACGCGACGACCTTTGTTTTATAAATGTTCGGGAGCTCCATTTCATCGGCTGAGGTCACTGTGGCCGAAGGTGAAAATAAATAAATAAATGCATCGCAATAGGCGAGTGTATTTGTCGCTTGTTACATGCACGTGGGCCCGTTGTAATGTTTTGCAAACAGGAACTAATTTCACTGGACCCGCCAGAGGAACACAAAAAGTCCACGAGACCTTGTCTGTATTTGCGAGGAGACTGGGGTATACAGGTGCAAAACTATATACTTAGTACTTGCATCGCTTGCGAGGATTTCCCGCAAAGAATTTTAGGGCTCTACCACTGTCACGAGCGGCTCAACGCAAAGTCAAACCGGCGACAGCTCAAAAGGACGGAAACGAAGCGTACACTGTTTTCCGAGTTCCGCGGGCACAATTCCGTTCTGGTCGTGTGAACAAAGACGGCGAGACAGACGTTATGTTGTAACACACTATGACACGTATAGTTGAGGTACGCCTGCGCGAAACATTTTTTAACACCGTGCCCCGAAAGCATCCACACCCACATTCAGCAAACTGTGAACACAAAGAAAAGAAAACGCCTGTGTTCCGAGTCCCCGAAGTGCTGTGTTCGATTGCTCTTAAAGACCGTGCAACCGCGAGGGTAAACTTTAGAAGCTGTGCCCTTCTCCAAACTTTTCGTATTGCGTCTCTGCCAAGCCGAAAACAGCGTGTCAAGGTGCACATATCAGTGTCTCCACCAGCTTCCCACGAAATAATCTAGGGCTGACTCCTGCCGGTCTCACCTTCAATCCACACAATCAAAATATGTCGCTCATGGTTAGAGGTGTGCATCTGGCAGAGTACGCCGTCTTCGGAATCCTGATGGGTGCCAACCTGGCCGTCGGCTTTTACTTCGCCCTGAATCGTCGCAGCCGTCGCATGAACACCGACGAAGCGTTCCTGGGAAGTCGTACCTTAGGAATTGTCCCGTTGTCCTTATCCATCTTGGCCACGCAAGTGTCAGCCATCGGCGTCGTCGGGTTCACGGCTCACTTCTACACGTACGGTCTGCACTTGGTATGGTCCCTGGTACCCCTGCTGTTCCTGGTGCCAGTCATCTCGAGGATCGTGGTTCCAGTCTTCTACAACTTGAAGATCACTTCTGTGTTTGAGGTGAGAACCTTGTCGCGGAAAGCGTAAACAATGGGTTATATAAATGGAGTATAGTCGGCACAATTAGATTAACTTCCGAATTGCCACAGCCCTTTCACGTACAGCCTCTTCTTAAAAAAAAAAAAAAAAAAAAAAGAAATGGTAAATGACATAACCCGAGGCATTGACTCGCACCTGCGGCTGTACGCTAACGACTCCATTTTATGCCGGGAAATCACATCAGACTAAGACATATTAGTACTTCAAAGCGATTCAGATAAAATTTGCTTGTGGTGTTCACGATGCAGAATGACTGAATGTCTCAAAGTGTTGTCATGTTAAGGTCCACAACAAAACGTAATTATTATCAGTCAGTGTACACTATACACGGAAAAATTTTAAACGTTGAAAGATAGGTTAAATATCTTGGAGTACATTTTTCTTATGATTTCAGTTGTTTAGCACACGTAATTTATGTAACAAGAAAACCTAGTGGAACCTTGGGCTGTCTAGAGAGAAACTTCTCGAGGGCCCCGCCTTTTTTTAAGAAAGACACCATTTTTTCGCTTGCGGAAAACCTATCCTCGAATATGCTTGTGTTGCATGGTATCCACCCCAACAGTTCCTGATAGAAAAAATTAAAAGAATCCAAAGCCGTGCAGCTAGATTTGTTACAAATAACCATAATATTCAAAATAATGTCTCAAAAAAAGAAAAAAAGATGTGCAATGAAAAGCACTTGCTGATAGGCGTAAGCATTTTCGCCTAAAATATATCTAAAAAACTGAAAAATCGCAATATCGGTTAAAATTGTTTTATGTGTCGCGCAGAGTAGATCAGGAACTAAAAGGTCTCGAGTACCACATCAAATTCTGATTTGTCTTTGACTTTTTCCCCCACGAACAATAAAGGAAGGGAACAGTTTGGCGAGTGAAAATCTGTCCTTAAAAAGATACAGATGCTTCTCTTTTTTCTTTTTTTTTCACAACTTCAGCGAGTTAGATAGTATGCCCTTTGCTACACCTTATCTACTGCTTCTCTGTAAAACCCTCGTGCAATTTATGAGCTGGGTTTATTTTGTTATTTTTGAACGTGAATTATATGTGTGCCTCCCTACTGTAATGACCTTTGGGCGCTGTAGGTATAATAAAAATAATAATACAAAAAGTTGGGCATGATGCTTAGTAGAACAAGGAACGAACCTTTTGGCCGGGTCTCCGTGGTGCAGTGCGGAAATTAATTACCTGGCATGTGGGAGTGGGGAAACATAATCCCTTTCAGGTCGCGAACGAAGGAGCGGTGTTTACACGCAAGGTCACAAGGGGATTGAAAGCTTATTCATAGGTTTGGTTTTGCATTCTTTTTTATCTCAAGACATAAAGACCAACCTACTAAAGACAAAACGATTTTAAAGCGTTTTCTGGAAACGAAATGGCACGTGAGTTATATCTAATTAATCACGATACCACGTGAATCAAATGGATTGTTGGACCTTTGAAGGGTCCGCATACATCGCTTTTTAGCGTATCGAGTTAAGATCTAGTGCACATAAGGGTCCGAAGACTCTGCATTTCGTGTATCCTCATTGCTTGTCACGCGTTTAGAATGTAAGCATTTTTGGGCGCACAAAACGCAACCAAACCCAGTTTTAAGTCCAGCCAGTCCAGTGCTGTGAACGTACCGCGTGACTATGCATCGCTGCGCTCCTTCTGAACATCACGTGACACTCGCAGGGCGATGGATTTGTACCGATCGCTCGTTGCGTCTGCTGCGCGTGGTAGTGATTGGTTGTTCGTCAGAAATCTCTTGTGTTTATGTATTTCAAATATTTTTTCTTTATAATTTCAGTATCTTCGTTTGCGATTTGGCAACAAAATGGGAATCATTGCGTGCCTCATCAACTTTGTCATTAGTGTAAGTACCTCAACATGTATTGGGTTTGGAGTTAATTTGCTCCAGGCTATGGACGTCCGCAGTTCTAGATCAGTTACCTAAGTGAAGCATTGACGTTCGGATTTCGGAAAAATATAAATATTAAAAAAAATCCCCTATAACTCGTTTTTTTTTTTGTCATTTCATATGCCAGTCGAATAACAGAACTCAAACCTATATTGATGAAAAAGCGAGTTTTATTGTCGTTCTGTTATGCTGTAGAGACCGCTCACAAGCCGAACGGTCATACACGAAAAGGATCACTCCATCTATCGTACTGTCTTTAAATTATTTACTAGAACAAGGCCAAGGAAAAAGGGAGGGGGATTATGTTGTCGATCAAGGTGGTAAACATGCTGGGACACCTTTTTGGAGAAGTGATTTTGTTTTGTTCTTCTACAGATGGTGCTAGGAGCAGTGAGTACTTTTGTTGCCGGAGTGGCCATCTCAACAGGTAAGTATACTGTCACATTCTTCCAAGTGTGGGCGCTAAAATAAAAGTATTTTTAGAAATTATTAAATATAAAAAAAAGAACGGGTGGATAGTAGCATTTCAGTCGTTTTAGTATAGTACGGTCTATGAAAAGTTTACATCCGAGATTTCAAAAAGTGTGAAAATTCCTTAGCCATCTATTAAATTTTCTTAATATATTGGCGTATATTTGGGTAATCAATCAACTACTATAATAAATCTACATATATTTAAATGTTTTTTTCAATAATTTATAATTTTAATGCTTCACATTTGACCAAAAAGTCACAGAAATTTAATTCTTGTGGCATCAGGTATAGCAGAAATAGGATCATCACGACTACCCTCCGAATAATTTCTAGGGTTCATTCCTTAGATCTACTGAAAGAAGTAAGCGCAACGCGCCTGCCCTATTTGTCCGTTTTATTGTGTAAAATATCCCGTTAAATTAATCTCACTAAGGCCGCCAATCGACAAATTGGCAAATTTGTCGAGCGGTGGTCACGTCACGAAGGAAAGAAGAATAAAAGTGGCAGTATATTTACGCTGATACGTCTTGGGCACTGTATAGAAATAATTGACCCCCCCCCCCCCCTTTTCAAAAAAAAAAAAAAATGACCAGCTTTTTTTTTTTTTTATTTAGCATTTTTAGATTCTATTAGAGTAGCCACGTGACCCCCATTAGCGTTCCTGGCTATAAGTGTATAAAATTTGTACGACTCTTAAGCTATTATTCGAGCTAAAAAGCATGCTCAACATTAAAACGTATATTCCAGTGAGAAAGTTCCGAACTCCCTTAAAACCACGTGCCCGGAGAGATTAAGAACATTTCTCACATTATGCCTCTAACATTTTTCGACGAATGCTTCTATTATACTAGCTGGTTACATCTATCAAATGCCGGTGGGCTTGCTATGCTCTGTTCACCCCTAAGCTAACAGTGCGGTGGGAGCTATGGGCTCGCCGGGCCAATCAATCGCCTCCCTTTAACCACCTGACCCCACCCTATGCACGGGGGTAGGGGTGGGAGCGTGGCCACGTGGTGAAAATAAGTCATGACTGGTCCTACCAGCACATAGCCTCCCCAGCAATATAGCTTGCGAACAAAAAATAGTGTTGAGAGGCAAAATTGGAATCCGGAACTTTTTCACTGCCGCTGCAACTTGTATCCAAAAACATTTCTCAAAAACAAACAAACAAATAAAAACATTTAGCACGACATAAAAACATTACAATTCGTGCACATTAGATAACAGATACACCAAAATAAAGCGATTTGTGGTGTAACCGCTTCTGTATTTCTTGTTAAAAATAAAACGGTCGTTTTACTTCCCAGAGCTTGGTGTTCAGTAAGTGCCCCCTAGTCTCCTGTTCTCCGGCACGCATAAAAAGAAAACAAAAAGAAAACAGAGTTCTTATGATTTTGCGCGCTCGTCATCTGAAACGCTCATGCACGCTGCTGCGTCGTCGCCAGTCACTAACGAACGCGTCAACCCGTTCTAGCTTTCCACTTTCCATCGTTCTGGAGTATCCTTGCTACCGGCACTGCCTGCACAATCTATACGGCTTTCGTAAGTCACCTCTACGGTTTTGCTTCCATCGTAAATATTTTTCTAAAGAATTGGTAATTTTTTTTTCCACTGTGTCCGAAGGTCTTTACAAAACAAGCAAATAACAAGAGATAATTTGTTGCTTTTCAGGGAGGCTTCCGCGGAGTCATCTGGACAGACACGATGCAAGCTATCCTCATTCTCGTTTGTCCTCTAACCGTTGTCATCAAGATCATCTACGACTCCTCCTATGGTCCTGATGCGAATCTTCGTCGACCTATAGACGACGTCGATATCCAGCCGTACTTTCTCGAGTAAGTTCAGACTGTGGTACCTGGAACGTCCGTCTCCGAATGGCGTGTTTACCGCGACCTCATTTTTGGTACCCCGAGCCCCGTCCGATGATCTTAAAGGCCTCATGCTGTCGCCTGCCGCGACCCTGGCGAAGCCACATCAGCGGAGGTGATGTGGCCCCGCAAGTATGCGTGGACTGCCAAGCTCCGCAGCTTGGCAGTTCACGCAAGCTTCAGCAGCCAGGAGTGGGACGCCGTGACGACTGCGAAACTCTTGTTCGTTCGTACTCTTTGCCGGAAGATCTACGACCAACCACCAGGGCCGCGACATTCGACAGCGTGACAGGCTGGCTTCTGTGACGACATTCTTTGCCACTTGGGGACCTCTTTCGATGCATCGACACACCAGTCGGAGACGCGTTCCAGCTGCAAAAGTTCAGACAGAGAGCAGCTTTGACAGACAGGTTGGCTGCATGACATTGATGGGGACTGCAGGGCCAGCCTTGATCTGACCAAGGAGGAAAACGCCTGGGCTTGCATCTTTGGCTCCATCGCTCCCAGCATGTACCGTATGGGCGTGGGGCAGATGATTGTGCAGCGGTACGCAGCAGCCAAGTCTCTCCAGGAGGCCCAAAGGTATACCAAAGCCCGTCGCACTAGTCTTTATTAAACCATTCAAGCGCTCTATTTATACTTTTTGACTGTGCTGTTGGCGCAGAGACTGATTGCTGCAGTCCTTACCCCGGTGGAAGAAAACAGAGGTGTCGGAACAAGACGAGTAAAGGGGTCGATGTTTCATTCGGGCTACGCGCATCTCCCGGCGGGGATCTGTCGGGTTGGGGCTGGGCGTTTAGGTGCGGTCGCGCATCTCGCGGACACGGAAACGTTTGGGCAAATAACAACGGTTCCTCGAGCTCCTGTCACGCTGCGCCATCTCACGGGCTTTGTCAAAAATGAAAGCGAATTTTCGACACACTTAATCCGTGGCGCGAGTCGGCGCCGTTGAGACACCTCTCTCTTCTTTTCTACCGTGGTCCAACTACTATCGGGGTGCTGCGCACTACACGACCAAAAATTGTGACGAGACTCGTGGCACTACATCAGGGTCGCACTGCTGTGGCAACACCACCTAAAATAATGAAATCCCATGTACTAGTATATTGACGCCATAACAGTGGGATCCAGCGTAGACTACAGATTGGAAGCTGCGTGAGCTGTCGGCTGGGTCTCATGTCCAGTCAGTCAGTGCGTCGATAAGCGCTCGGTGTCGGGCTCTGGCTCATTGCTCAATGGCTGACTTTGCTTTATCCGAGTATGATGACATCACGTAGGGGTAGGGGAGGGTGTTCACAGGATTTCAGGAATCTAGTTGTTGGCTGTGTACCGACAAATGCACGACGGTTCCCGTGAGTCGTGACAGGTGCCCCTCAGAAACTTCGTTACGACAGTGTGAATAAAGAATCCAAATGATAAAATTTAGGTCTCTGGGATTAGCAATGAAATCCCTGGCGATCTGGCGGCTAGGTTGGTGTCGAACCGACTACCGCATTTTCTTTCCAGCCTTAACTGTTTGCTCATAGTCGAATAGTGAACGCGTCTAGACTTTCCTGATAAATCCACGTTTTGCAAATATAAAGCTGCAGGTAAATGAATTTGGTTATCCGGGCCAAAATAAATACAGCCCTGATGTATAATGCCGTATTTTGTTGTGCTGTACTTCGATACTTTTATTGCTGTTTTTGGAGGAACAAGTGAATTTTCCTTACATTACTTTTTCCCCTTTAACAGCAACTAGACAGTAACAAGTAACCCTTTAATCGCTGGAGTAGATATCTCTCTCCTCCCTTTGATTATGCTCAAGGACCCAGCACGTGTACTACGTGACATAGTTAACGCAAACATAACATCTGCATTTTTTTTAACCCAAACTTATATCTGGAGCAAAATGCAATTTCTTTTAATTCCTCGAAAACAACAACAAAAAGCAGCCACCGATTATTTATTTACGTTAAATCTGTGGCAACGTCTACTCCATAAAAAAAGATAAAATATATATATATATATATATATATATTTTTTTTATAAAGCAGGTATTTTAATAAAGAAAGATGACAACCCGGCCAATATATGCCCGTGAACCACACCCAAAAAATCTGGAGCGTCTATATTTTCCGCGAACGATTTGGGAGATCCGATAGTGAATTTTAGTATTGCCTAAACTGGGCAGCAAACGCAAGCAATGCGCGTTTGCGTTAGCGTTCCGTGTTCCACACTGCGCATGGCGACAACGCGCATGCGCAGCTTGGGGGTACGCTATGCTGACGTAAACGTGGAGGGCTTGCGTGTGCTCCTACACGCAATACTAAAACCCGAATGGTTGCAATCTGCAGAGGGAGCTCGAGGAATGACGATGTCGACAACGCGATTAGACCTAAAAAATTGAAGCTCAGTCTTCGATGCGGCACAGAGCATAACGAAAAGGTCGTGCTCAGCCAACCCCTCCAGAAATCATCGAGGCCCGCAAACGGACCTCTTCTCCCTCCATGGAACGTCTTCACAGTCGGATAGCGCCAAGCTCAGCAATTGGACCCGAGCCCGACGACCGAACATCCTTCGACGCGTTGATTGGACACGAGGACCAGCCGAACGCTGACGTAGCACTCGTATCCAATCTGCGTCTTCGCTCGATCTGACCGTGATGACGTCAAAATTCTAGTGCGCGCAGGTTTTGATTACTGTTGTAATTAAGGTAGTGCCGCAGTACGGACTGTTTTAATAAGTTCTAAGCACACTTTCAACCTCGACATTTGCCAAGCTTGCGATGTACATTGCAGCCATTGCTCCAAACTTCCAGACGCTTAAAAAAACAAAACAAAAAGAAGCGCACTTCATTGTTTTTTTTTCTCACTTTCCTTTTTTCTTTTCTACAGCACGGTGTATTTGGGCAGCACTCTGTTCTTCGTGTCCTTCGCGCTCCTGAGCGTGGTGGGCATGTCGCTCATCTACTGGTACAGAGACTGCGACCCCTTCCTTCTTGGTGCCATAAGCAGAGTCGACCAGGTAACCCTCGCTCGTGAGCTAAAGCCGCAGCCAAGCTGTTCACACATCACACCAAAGACAGTCCGCAGACATGGCCGAAACATACGTATATGAACGAAGCAAACACGCCTCGAAAAGGCTCGTGTCGTGTCAGCACATAATTGTGTCATACATGTGCGCAGGGACACCGCGTCTTTTGTGGTAAGCTGAGTGACTGCGGTTTCAGGAACGAGATACCATTATCCTGCAATCGCTGATATGGACGAGCGAAGGCTGGTTCGGACGTTGGCGTTTCATCGGCACCGACTGCCTGTCGATTTCTTGCGTTCTAATCTATTACGACCTGTTGCCGTGGATCTCGGTTCCGACATCGACCGTCCCGAATTGTACGCCGTCAAAACGGTCGGTCGCACGCAGAGGCAAATGCCTGAACCAGTCTCTCAACTCACTTTAGCCGTAGCATCAGGAAATCTTTCGAGCGTGAGCATTTGAAGTTTCTTTATTACCTGTGGTTTCTTGCGCTTTTATAGTCTTTTCCGCGAAAGTTTGAAACTACTGAACACCTAACCATCAGTTGCTTTTTTTTTTTTTTCTCGCGGTCTTTAAAATATGGAAGGCTGTAACTATTGTAGTGAAACGTGCCCACACGGTTCATGTTCCTACTTAGGTGACAACTTTTGCTCTTTGAAATTAAGCCTCGAGTAAAATATAAAAAGAAAAATGCCGATATTATATTCGCGTTTATTGCTTCTCACGGTCTGTATAACCTTCCCCACAACACACGCCGAATACCCCCCAGTTACGATCCGCGGTAAAAATGCTCTACCATTAGGGAGTTGCAGTAGATCGTTTTTTCTCCTCCGCTACGGTATCCCCGAAGAAAACGCCGCAGCTGCGCATGCGCGCCGTCAGCCTTGTCTGCATAGTTCAAGGTCTTGTGGCGGATTAGGGAGCGCTATCCGGGTGCTTAGCGGGCTGCGGGAACGGTCTACTACAGTTCCCTAATGACAACACGCTACGATGCTTTCCTCCTCGGAAATTCGCTAACGCAGTGTACCCTGGGGCAGTGACCGTGTGCGGTTCCTTATGATTCTGTACAGTTTTAATTGTTTTTTTCTCAAACATTTGTAGTAAGTCACGAGTAGTAGTTTTTTCACTTGTTCGGGCTTCCCACTTTTGTATAGCCCCCCCCCCCCCCCCCCCCCACACACACACACACACGTATCATAGACAAACAACAACAAAACCCATAAAAACGAGCGGGTTCCGCGAATTATAAAAAGTGAATTAACCATCACTCAAATGTTTTTTTTTTTTTTTTTAAGATTGCTATTTCAAAATGATTCTAAACCGTAGTAATTCAAAAGCAAACGAAAAATTTTTAGTTCATAATTCAACTCATCAGGATAGAAGGCTCCTTGAGAAATGCATGTCTATTGAAGCCTCTAGTGTTGTCGCTACTTTATTTCTGTTAAAATAACAAACAACAGTGCACCTCATTTTTCTTTGTGAATGTGTTCCGACCCCGCGGACATGGAGGGGGAGACCGCAACTCCGACGGGGGGCCAGTTGTGTTTATACCTCTGGCAAGGAGGGGTGCTCAGACAGGAGAGGAGGGCGATCGTTCGCTGAGCGTCTGCTGCCGCGGGGCCTCGACCACCCCCGCGGGCTCTGGCCGTTGGCCGGGAAGACACTCAGCTTCCAGGCACCGATGGAAGACGTTCGCGTCGGAAACCTTTCTATGTACTCTTTGTCATTGTTTTAACTTTATCTAACCGTAATAAAGTCTTTGTTTTATTCGTACTTTAAAAACGTTGACTTCTTGGACCATCAAGTTAACATTTCGGACGTCCTTAATAAGATTATTTGCTAAAACATTAATGTCGTAATCCCCTTTATCATCTCCCAGTACGTGGCCGCTTTAAAATAATGTTTTCGAAAAAGGCTGTTGGGGGTGTGTGCTCGGAAATCGTTTTTCTACACGACTTTCGTGTAGCGAAGGTTTTCTTCGATTTCTCATTCCCTATAGTCACATTTTGTTCTTCGTGCGTGTTTTGCACATTTCCTAGTCCTCTTTTATTGGTGGATATAAGCATTGGTATGCGAATGACAGCATCGCAGGTTCAGAATGACTCAACGAATTCGACCTTCTTGCAGCTGGTTCCATACTACGTTGGAACGAGGCTTTCGGGCTTCCCTGGCTTTTCCGGACTCTTTCTGACTGGCGTCGTTAGCGCTACCCTCAGGTAAATATGCGCACTCAAGGCCCGTTCACACTCTTGCAACCGAGTACGACCGAGAGAGACCAGACCGGTTTTTAAGCCTCTTGCGATCTCTTAGGACCAGCTCCGCTGCCGCGCATCTGGTCCTAAGAAGTCGCAAAAGGCTTAAAAACCGGTCTGGTCTCTCCAGGTCGTACACGGTTGCAGGAGTGTGAACGGCGCTTTAGGCTGTGGCGTTATTGTTACAGAAGATGGTGTTGTTCGTAGGAACTGGGGCGAAAGGTGCATGCATTGCCACACCAATGCCCCGAAAAACTGAGGGAGAGGAGGACACGAGAGCACGCCGGGACGTCAGAACGCCGAGCTCTGATTGGAGAGATTTGTGGGTAGACGCCAAGCTAGCTGCCTTTGTCCCCACTGCACTTGTCGAACGTGTTAGAACGCGGAACGCCGGCGTCCCTATAACGTATTTGGACGTCCGGTGTTTGGTTTTCGCATTCGAACGCGTTCGACGGGTGTAGAGAAAACAAAGATAGCCTTTGTCCGGCACCTGTAGATGGTCCGCCTCGGGTAAACTTTCAACCTAGGAAAATTGGGTAGTCAGCAAAGATACTATATTGTATGTTGCGACATTTTAGAAGTGAAGTCGAGGAAGTACTTGTGGTGACTTGCCCATTTTTTCGACGCCACACGCCATGACGCAAGTCAGACTCCTGAACCGAGGAGCCTACTGCGCATCTGGGACTCTCCGATGCAGTGGCGTAGCCCGGGGGGGGGGGGGGGGGGGGGGGGGGAGGGAGGGTTATGGGACTTTGGCCTTCCACGAAATCCAGCCGACTATAATATGCCCATGTATTTTGACCCCCCCCCCCCCTCCCCTCTCCCCAAAAAAATTCCTGGCTACGCCACCGCTCGGATGGTGTTGGATATCGCTCCTCGGTTCAGTAGTCTGACACATGCGTGGCGTCGTAGAAACAGGCAAGTCACGACAGGATCCATCGGTGAATGAATGAATGAATCAATCAATTAAGCAACGAATCAATCAGTCAGTCGGTCAATGAATGAATGAATGAATGAATCAACCATCAATGAATCAAACAATAAATGAATGAATGAATGAATCAATCAATTACTCATCAAACATATCAGGCGCACCGGTTCTCAGTTTCCGATGGAACTGCGTGACGTTGCGCCGACAAAGAATGACTTAAACTCCAAATGATTCGGTTCGTCTTTGCGAGTACCTCACCTGAAGAGATCGTGTTAAGTATTATAGTGGCAATCACACTGCCTGTATTTCCTCATGAACTTATGCAGCACGGTCTCTTCAGCCATCAACTCGTTGGCAGCCACTTTTTACATCGACGTTTTGTTGCCATACCTGTCATTCAGCGAGGACCAAGCCAACATTGTCACCAAGGCACTAGGTAAGCAGCAATGACATGAACCAAGCATAAACAGCAGAGGTAAAACGACAGCATTGTTCTGGTGGAACTACTGAAATGGCTTTGTATTAAAGTTAGGCAAAGAAAAAGAAAGGCAAAAGAGAAAATTAAAAGAAGATCCAATGGTGGATCTTTAAGCCGGGATCACGCTGGTCTTACATCAAACTAAAGACAGTCTGCAAACATGAGTCAACGCAATATCCGTTGCTCGAATTCCGCGTGCCAAGTTTCCTCCTTTAACTCATTGCCATGCGGCATTCGAAGCACGGATCTCGCGGTGGCTCGCGTTCAAATTTATATGCAGACTGCCTTTTGTATGATGTATAAGCCGTTTGATCGCGACCTTAGAAAATGCGTTGGCATGACAATTGGGAAACGCTCGATACGTCCCCTCTTGGGAAACGCTAACGCTGACCCCTTCACTTTTCTGTTTTGGCTTTCTCTTTCGCTTTCTCTAATTTTTGCTGCCTCTTTTTGGCCTCGTGACGGCGTCAGTGTTAGCGTTTCCCAAAGGGGAACGTGTGTGGCTTTTCCCAAGGGTCACGCTAACGCATTCCCTAAAAATACACCAATTAACCTTCTTTTAATTTTTTTTTTCGGCCTCTGTCGCAAGCAGACTCGCGTCGGCTTGCCGCATCTTGCGCCGCATTTCGGCCTGCCAAGCTAGGCGCCGCTTCCGCTCCTTTGTTTCGTTCGCCCGCCTCGCACGCTTAGCAGCGGCATCCCTGCCAGACGCTGCTGCAAGTTCAGACTTGCCCCAGCATCCGCGCGCGCTCGTTGGCTCCCGCCCCGTGACGTCGACTCCCTCTCGACTCCCGCGTCACGCGCCCATTGACTTCCTCCTTCTGCATCGTCGCCTCCCTCTCGCCTTTGTCCTTCACTACTCTCCTCTCTACGCGGCACGCTTCCCTTTGCCGTTTTGTCCGCACACGGACGCCTTCAGCTCTTCATTGTCATGTAAATACAAATGCTAACGCATTAATATAAAAAAAAAAACACACACATACAAAACGAAAACAGCAATATACGAAGGGGAAAGTAACGCAGGTGAACAGGCGTCCAGTGGCACCATGGAGTCCCCTCTAGTCGCGTTCAGGCCGCTACTACATCATACCAAGAAGACTATCTTCAAGAACTGTCTGAGGCATATGTTCCTTCCTTGTATGAAGGTCACATTGGTCATACAAAAGGCAGTCTGCAGATATGTCCGAAGCATACAAATAGAGCAAACATGCTTATAGAACGTGCTTCAGGTGTGTCCGCAGAAAACTGTGTAATCGTGCCTGCAGCGAACTCCGTGCCCTTTGTCTGATATATGGGGGGCAATGTTACTGGAGAGACACTTTTCGGAGGCTGGGCAGTGTGTACCACGTGACCATTAGCATCATTATCATCGTTTTGGTTTGTTGATTTTCTTCTGATTTTGGGTCCTCTAGCGCCATCCGTTGGAAGTGAGCATGACTGTCTTCCGAAACTTGGCAGTTCAATTAATGGCGTGAACCGCCTCCTTATCAGCGGTGCATTTTCTTGTTTCAGTTTAGTAAATTGTGTTTCTTGGTTTGATTTTCCAAATTTAGAAGAAAGCACTTGTTTCTTTTGTTTGGATTCGTTTTGATAGCGAGATCGTGAAAAAAATCGTCAAATTTTTAGTTGCTGTTGGCTATCAGCCGAAGGATAGATCGCCGTAAGCACCGGCAAGTACCTGCCTGTACCCTGTGATGAGTACGTTCGATTTACCTGCACCAGCCTGCGCTGGTGCAAGAAGGTGTAGCGCGGTGGGTTTACCAATTCTGGGTATGTTCCACCTCTTGGAGCCCGCTGCATTCACTGAAGCACGGTGCACGATCGCTCGACCCTTTTCTCGTGACTGAAGTGAGCGATGACATAGATGACAGCAACAAACCACCAAACCTTTTCCATCTGAATTGCCTGCGGATTTGGAAAGTCGCCACGGTGCGTTGGCTGACTCGTTTGAACCTTTCCCGAACCTTGGAGACTCGGGCAACGGTGCTTGCGATGTTCAGAAGACCGCGTCGTAAATTGCCGGCAGGTGCCCTTGTGCACCTGCCGGCACTATGAAGGTGAACACCTTACCTGGTTTCTTGTCTGTTTTACAGCTCCCTAAAGCTCAAATGGTACGTGGCTTGGTGTCTAAACTTTGCGTTCTAGCTTTCTTCTAGAACAAAGCTTGTTCCAAAACTTGCAGGAGCGTCAAAAACAAGAAGAGGGCTGTTCACCTTCATATCGCTCACGGGTGTACAGGTCATCCCATAATCACTATCACTAGTCGCAGTACCGCGGGTCTCCATGGCTGTTGCCTTTCTGCGGCGCCGCGGCTCTACTGAGCTAAATAAAGATTGTTTTTAATATTGCGAAGATATGATCCACTTTATTCTCGAGTATCTGCCGCGGCGTCGTGTTAAGTGGATGTATACCCTCGGTGCCGATCCTTACGATTGCTATAGCCTTTTTACATACGAAGTCTTACATATATCTAAATGAAAACTGTAGCATTGCAGCCGAGAGTGAGAGTTGGTTTTGCAACGGGACATGGTTCAAATTCTTGCTGTTGTTTATATACAGGCGTATATTCATGTAACCTCAAGCGCAGGAGATTAGCTTTTTTTTTTTTTTTTTTTTTACACTGGACTGTTGTCATTAGAAATATTATTTCAACAACTAAAAAAAAAAAAAAAAACGCGACAATTGGTCACGGGAATAAACTACCGAGTTTCGGAAAATAGTGCTGCTTTACTGCAACAAAGAGCGCTAGAGCAAAAAAAGAAATCAAATGACAGCGGACAATTTAAAACGATGATGATGGTCACGTGGTACAGATTGCCCAGTCTCCGAAAAGTGCCTCTCGGTTTACTGCGACTTTATAATTGCAGTGGATTAACGTATTTTTGGAGACAGCGAGCTGTTCCAATTGAGAAATTAATTTGGTTTCGTCGTCTATGCATTGTTCGCTGGGTACCTCGACGTACAGTGCTCCTCTCCACGAGATGGTCCGTTCTTGGCACTTTTCGTGCTATTCTTGCGCTTTCCGGTCGAACTACGTAGTAAAGTTTTGACTCCCCAATCACGACCCAGGCCGGGGAGGAGAAGACATTTCAGCTGCTGCGTTTTCCAATTTAGTTTTGAAAAGCCGGCATTTGGGTAACCAAATTGCACGGTTAAGTTTGAGGTACACTGTACGCTTCTTTGGTTAATAATTCCTGCAGCCAGTGTGAGCTCTCACAACGTCAATTTCGCGAATGAAGATTCTCGGAAGTTAGGGTCCTCATCTCTTGGACGGTCTAACATGACTTATCTCTGACGGCAGAAAGAATATTAATGGAGACATTGAGTATCGAATAAAAATAGTATATTTCCTGCAAGTTTGTCAAGGAATTAGCAAACACTATCTACAGAAAAAAAAAAAAAGACTTTACAGTAGATGGTTTTAATATATGGTCCGCACTTCTTTTCAGCATTTGGGTTTGGAGCATCCATGACACTCCTTGCGATCATCGTTCCTTACCTGGACTCGGCAGTAAGGGTAAGTAAGCCCTTTATTCATAATAGTTGCAATCAGAGGGGCAAGGCCCATGCTTGCGAAACATATATGTGACAGTCTCAGTTGCCAGGATGATAAAATGGAATGAGCAGGACAGGGAATTACACAGCGAAAAGATCGTAGCTTGTATAGCCCTATATGTATATTATATGTAATCACTTCGAGACGTTTGTAACACGACAAAAAGCACAAGAGTGAGTGAGTGGAAACATGTCTTTACACTGTGAGGAGAGGATTGGCTGGCTTGGCCGAGTTATCATGAGACCAGTGTGTATGGGGGTACTGTAAAAAATATTAGCTTTGATTCGGAATTTCATTAAACTATGTCCGAGTTCGGTCAGCTACTGCAGGAAAATAGTTGACGTATTTTATGCAAACCGCCTATCATATGGCTTCGACGAGTTGGATTAAAATGACTTGCCGTCGCGGGATGCGTGTTGTGAAACCTCTGTAAGAAAGGAACGATGCTTGCATTATGTTCATTGGACGTTTTTGGCAGCTGTTTACCATCCTCCAAAGCAGCGCTGCGGGCCCCTTTGTCGGACTTTATATCCTGGCGCTGGCGTTTCCATGGGCCAACAGTAAGGTGAGTAGTGGCGCGCTCTGCTTCAAATAGTCCGATTTATAGAAAGGGTATAATACAATACTATCGAATACAATACAATACGATAAATTTAATGCTTAATCAAATTCAAGGGGAGGCCGGGCAAAAAAAGCTTTAAATAAGCTTTTTTTTCCCGGCCTCCCCTTCAGCAACAACTTGGCGGGTCCCGGCCCCCTACAGTGGCACTCAATCAGCAGCTTTTGCGCGTGCACCACTGTACAATGTGAGAACGATAACAATATCCCGGTAATAAAAATGTTACAGGGCGCGGTGACTTCAACGATTCTGGTCTTGGCGCTGCAACTCTGGGCCTTGACCGGAAAATTCAGCAACGGCCCGAGGCCGCCGAAGATGGCCGTCACACTGGACAGCTGCCCGGCGAATTTCACTTTGGCGGACGGCAACGCCACTCTGGCTTGGACGACGGACGACCAAAGGTGGTTCAGATAGGATCTTTAGACATTTAAAGAATGAGAAAAACATGAAGGTTCTTCGGTTGTCCCTCCTCCAGGGCGAGCTTCCCCCCTTCGATAACGCCCCGGCGTCTCACGAGCCTCGAGCATGCACGAGCCGCCAAAGAATGGCGGAAGGCAACAAGGGCGTGCTGGAGGTTGGGCATCAGAAAGAGACACACTGACGTCCTTATCCCACCAGTCGTAGAGTTGTTTGATTTGGCATCTATGTTAGCAAGTGACCGCAATAGCGCGTCGAAAAGCTTAATCAGCTTGTGTTTATGATTTCCTGCGCAATGCAATGGTGCGTGGCCTTTTTTCTCATTAAAAATGTTAGGAAACATTGCGACACAACCTTTTTTCTGAAGTATATCTCGGAACAACAACGTAGCACGATGTTTGGTCACATTTTTAATGAGAAGGAGGCTATGGCACGATTGTAATTTTGGGGTTTCTAGAATGTTCAGGGCGATTACGTTGAGTTTGCGCCATAAAAGAAATATATAATTTCAAATTCAACTTTAGTGCCATATTAAATGTCTTATGTTCGTTAGATTATAATGTATCAAATGCCGCACCTTCTACTGCGCGCTACTTAGACTTAGAAAAACATCTTGTTATTCAACGGTATTTATGTTTCATTTCAATCTATTTTTTCAAGACTGCATCGTCGATTTGTGCTTGCCTTCGATTGGCTAGAAGGGTTCAACGACTGCTTCGTGAAAGCAAAGTAAAAGCTCAGGTTCTCAAGCACAGATGATGATGAATGAATGCAAGAACAAATTGTCTTTCACCTGGAAGGAAGCGGAACTCGCGCTCTCTAGGTGACTTCTGGCCGCTGAAAAACTCCGCCTGGTCCGGGATTCCGGGGTCTTGCGGGATCGAATTCTGAACGAGGCGGAGTTATAGACTGGAGTGGTTGGGAGTTACCCGTCGATCCGCGCTGCTCAGAACGTTGTTGGGGTATTATTGTTCACTGTATAAATTGCAGACTGCCGTCCTTTGCAGGGGCGAAAATGTTTTTCCGCTCTATATGCTGTCCGCCTACTGGGGAGGATTCTTCAGCATGGTTGTGACCGTTGTTGTCGGACTTTTAATAAGCGTGATGACTGGTAAGCCCCTCGGTACCTTCTGAACAGTAGATGGTGAAAAGACTCCGTTGTCAAACAGGCATTCGCCACACATGCACACGCATATACACAGTAGGCGAGAGAGAGGGGTTATAGAAACGTAGCCCTGATTACAAGATCCAGGGGGAAGGATGTAAGCAGGAATGGAATAAGATCAGCAAGGCAGGATTAGATAAGCTAATGAGTACGGGCTATCATGACACAATTACGATACACTTAGCGTGCAACATCAACGCCCTGTTTGTCTCACGATAAAATTCTAAGAACGCACAAAAAACATTGTTTCTTACTTTGTATTTATATGACTCTATAGCTTGATAAAATAGCTTAATAAATCCTAAAGCCTGGGTCACACTACTCATACATCATGCTAGAGTCACTAAATCAGCTGCGCTTACAGAGTATCGGCACCCTGTTCCCTGACGTTGTTGTGGCCGCCTCCATTTTGGTGTTTGTGCAGAGCAGACGCAACTGCCGATCGTCATGATTCAAAACTGCGACTACCTCTACATTAGATTCGGTGTTCGGAAGCTCATGTGATATTGCTTTGCTCTGTCGGGAACTGTTTAAACATTTGTGCAGGATGGAAAAGCGTTTCTTGTGATTTCAGATAGACCTTCAGATAACTGGCAACCACGATTTTAAGACACAATATGGGCAAGTGTCGTTACTCTGAGGTGTAGTTTATTTTGTGGCGCTACATCATACCAAAGCCAGTCTGCAAACACAAATCACCGCAATATCAGTGGTTCGAATGCCGCGTGCCGAGTTTTCTTCGTATAGTTATTATAATGTACGCTAGAGGTTCAACAGGAGCTAGTGTCTATGCGACTTCCGTGACGCAGATTGAAGCAGACAGCAACCAGTCTACTTTTGCGGTGCTCCTGTGCATTCCTATTGGAAAACGCGCGAGCGTTTTGTTTGAAGGGTTAAAAGGCGCGAACTGAAACAGGACGGAAAAATACCCACGTACGGCACGGACAAGCGCCAACTTCCAACTGATTTAATGTAACACCAATCATCGTCAAACGGTCGATTCCCATCACATTTCAAGCAACAAGATAAAGGTTCCTACCACTCATCACACGCAGCCATCAAGAAACACAACTTATTTGTTCAGCAGATGAAGGGATGGCATACCTACACATTTGGCTGTCGCGTTTTGTATACAGACAGCTTCAATTACTTCCCTTTCCATTTTCTCATTCCCTCTCTTAAGAAGCCTTGCGCGCTCTAACAGTGGTTCACACCTATATCGTTTGCAGTGCTCCGCAAGTTGCCCACCCGAATTATTGCGTATGACAAGCTTGTGTTCCCGCGCTCTTTCACTAAAACATCGGTCGGTCTGACCAATGTAAACTTAGCCGCAACTAAAAGGAATCTCATATACCAGCTTTGTGACGCATTCGGTGTATCTTGTTACATGTTTTTTGAGCATCTATTTTTATGCAAATGTGTGTAATAAGTCGGTGTTTTTGTTTTACCGATATAAAAGTGGCACTGCCGATGTTTTTCTGCATTTATAGGCTTGACGGATACAGTGCAAAACATGCAAATACATTATGGAAAGAAGCAAGCGAAACGGCATCATAGGAAGTGAAGGCTCAGAATAGTAGACATATGTAAAAATTGTCGCGTAGTTGTTAGGGATTTTTAGTCGCATATCCTTGAGAATACTGGTGTACTGTTAACGGTGCCTATATTTCTATCAAGGCATCTGAATACACCATGTCAGGGGCAAACTAGAAATAAGCACAGGATGATTAATTAGATTTCAGGTGCCTATTTTGTTTATCATCGATGCGTTGGAGTAAGATGTCGCTTGCATTAACTGCAACTCTTTGGGTAAATACCAATATATATATATATATATATAAAAACTTTTATATAAAGACTAACACTTGATTTCAGTCGGTAAATCTGGTGGAACTTTGCAAAATGTTAATCTATTCCTGTGCAGTTCGATCGACGAAGTCGCAGCAAACGGGACTAGTCAATTGATTTAATTCAATTTAGATACAGAACTAATAGAAAAATCTAATATTGTAGGTGGAGGACAACAAGCGGGCAGGCACATCGGTTTTACCAGCGATGTCTTCATTTGGTTCTGGAAGAGACTGAAGCTCCTTCCTGATTCCGATGCAGTAAGTATAGCGTAGATTACGACATACGAGCTGAAGTAATAAAATTACCAGTTAATCCATTACCGTTTTTTTTTCTTCCATAACTTTCTAGACTCTATAGTAGGTTTCTGTTGGAGGAATCGGAAGATTAATTTGTTAAGGCAATAGAATTATTAAGATGGCACTTTACCTCCACAAACCAGCTCCCTTAAAGCCAGAATTTGAAGAATGAGACAATTCATTACTCTCCAAAGAAATAAATGGCTTGTGCAAAAAAGACAAAGAAATAAGAGATGAGGAATTAAGCATCGACAATTATAATGAGAGCTCGGGGTAACACGTGTTGCGCTCACTGGCATAATGCAAGCAAAAAAAGAAAAAGAGATTATTATCCATTATAATTGCATGTCTAGTTCAATCATTACTCGGAACAGTAACACTCACTTTGAAAAGAAAATAGTAATCCAGGATTATGGCCAAATAATTTTGTGATCGAGAGGGATACAGTTCTAACAGATTACATTTGTATAACATTTAGAAAACTCTGTTGTCACGTTGCCTTTGTACCGTATTGGTCTCCTCATTTATTGAACGTAGCTACACTCTTAAAAAAGCCCATGCGTCTTCTTTCCCGCATAACACTCGGAGAGCCAATCACCGCAACTTAAGGAAGCAGCTCAGCGAGTGACGATGCCGAAACATATGTTTAAACCAAAAAACGCAGTCTGAGTTGTGACATTAAGCAATGCAAGCGTGACGTTTTTCATTGCTTAATGTCTCAACTCAGACTGCGTTTTTTGGTCTAAACATATGTTTCGGCATTGTCATTCGCTGAGCTGCCTCCGTAAGTAGCGGTGATTGGCGCTTCGAGGGTTGTGCGTGAAAGTAGACACACAGACTTTTTTTAGAGTGTACAATAAATGTTTATAATTTAACTGGGTATATACTATTACATGGATTCCGCAAAATCTGGGCTCACTTTTTTTTTAACTTTATGCTAGAAAGTTTTAACCCGAAAATACAGTCTGCGCATAATTTTTTTTTTCTCAGCGTTGCCCCTGCGGGCGCATTTTATTTCCGGACAAAAGGTTTTTGTTAATTTCTTGTGTTTTGTTTTTGTAAATGAGTGTTATTGGAATTCTGTGTTCGTTCGAGGCAAGAATGAACACAACGCCATTTTGTTCAGAATATTAGTTTTCTCTTGAAGAGGTTTTGCCAGCGAAAACCCGTCGTGGTCTTTTCATTCTAACATGCTTGTTCCTGGCTAAGCGTTGAAGTCACTGTGCCAATCAGTTCTAGAGTCAATGACAGCAGTCACTGACTCTAGTCAATGACTGTGAGAAATTCTATCTTTCTGACCTATTTTTTGACCCAGGTAACGCCACATTCTCCCATTTCACTGTCGACGTGAGATGGGAGAAAATTCTACCAAGATAATTTCACGGTAATTCTAAAGTGCCTTTATTTCCAGTTGAACAGGGAAGGCATAAAAAAGATGCAAAATGTAGTATTTTTTCGTTTAAATGCGGTACACTTGCCTAGATAAAAACTCATCAGGAGGCAAAGTGCTGGAGCCTCTGGCATTTGCCAAATGTCCAACACGCGCTCCAGAAATTTGTTTACTTTGGACAAATGATAAACCTTAAAAAATAATTTAATTACACTGATGAAGACTGCCACGTGGCGTGGCAGTGCCTGGGGAACCCAAAAGGGTAAATGACTCTGCAATATAATCTTAACACTCACTGCCAGTACGCGCATGGTAACAAGGGTGGGAACAGACATTTACAAATCCCTAGTCAACCGGCAGAAAGGGCAGATTCAAAACACAAGAGACACAAATTATTGCATTGTGTTCGCAGTTTCATATTCCAGCTATGTAACATTGTAACATTTTGCTGATCTATATTTTCCCCGATTTTATTTTTAAAATCCGCTATCCTGTAGTTGAGCAACGTGTACTCTTGGTTCTTACAGAATTCAAACTCGGAGGAAGGCAAGACCGGGACAGTACAACTCAACGACATCATAGACATCAGCTCTAACTGGTAGACACCCTCAGACGAAATTGTCATCTGAGCAGATCTGGACGAATCCCGATGACAGTCACATTGTAATCCTAAGGGACGGGTAATGGCAACAACATTTGCTGTGGATGCTGAGTTTCAATGAACCCTGCGGTAGAAATCATCGCTCGTTATCAAGTTAAAGGTTCAGTTGTCAAGGTGTGCTTAAGGGGCAGTACAAGTAAACTGATATAGAATTATGATGTGGGTTTGTGGGTTCTGAATCGATGATGGGGTGATGCGCTCATGCGCAGTAACAGTTACCGAGTACACTGCCAGTCAGAGCCCGCAGGTTAGGGTTAGTAGACTGCCTTCGGCTGTCGTTTCCAGGTTTTCCCATCGAACCGTTCTCCAGTGCGACAATAAATTAGGCAAATAAGGTACAGCAATTCAAACATAAACAAATAACATGGTCACATCTAGGAAGAACATAATTTTATTGACAATTTTTGAGGAAGCACATTGCAATAAACGGTTCTGAGGTCGCTGCCATTTTTTTTTTTGCGTGACGTAGCATATTTTGTCTGAGACTTTGTCCTCCAGTCACCTTCTTCTTTCTCTTCCACGGTTGATGTTTATAGGTTTCCCGCCCCAGTCTCGGGTAACTCATCAAGATGGTAAACACGTTGTTCGTTGTGTTGTTATTATTTCACTTTATCTGCTTGCATCTGGTGAATAGAAAATCTGCCCTCCTTAAAATTCCGCATGAATCGAATGCGTCCCATAGACCAACGCGATGCTGACGTCACACCGCTGCGGTGGCGCTGATGTTGGCACGGCGCATGCGCAGGTCCGCATCTGGTTTCTGCGGGCGCGCGGTGCCCGCACCTGGTGTGGGCAAGTATGAACTTGCCCGCACCGAATAATATGGAGGATATTATATGTAGACAAGAAATGAAGAATTGACTCGGTTGGCAGGGATGATACAAAGCAGCACGGCTGTCAAGAGGCCTTCAACTTGCATTTAATAATTGAAGACGAGTTGCGTAGTATCGTCCAGTCAACATTGCCGAAATTCGGTAGTTACGCTGTTAGCCTTGAGCAATCAAAGCTACCACTAAAGCTCAATAATATTTTTAAAAAAAGAAAGAGAAAAGATGAAGAACGTTGACTATAGTGTTGAACATCTGGGCGTGTAATGCATTGACATAACAATGTATATAAATGAAAGAGGGAATCCCGCTGGTCAGACGTGAGTCAGTGAGAAAGCCATAGTTAATGACATCTTAAGAAACGCAAGGCGTGCAGAGGCCCGAACATCTTTACATCGGTCTGGAGCAAATGAGCTCATTAAGGCATCAGGCCATAATTACACAAAAGAACGAATCACGTGATTATTATAAGCCACACCCAGTGTTTCTGAAGTTGTCGGTGACTGAAGCGAGTTCAAGTGAGAGAATTTCCTGTCAATGATGCGGAACTCGATGCTCCAAGAGCTTTATTGAGGGATTGTACACCCAACATCGATTTCTGAAAAGAATGGAAGTAGATTGATGGCTAAGAGCGATCCATGGATTTGCATTTAATCGTAAAGGGCAGCTTACGTACGTCAGATCTCCGTGTCAACGCTGACGAATTCCGACTGTCCAGTCTTCTGCGTTGAGCAAACTCACGCACCTTTGAAAAACCATTGGTACCTATACACACACAAAAAAAGCGAGGAACGTTAATTAGCGCCTTAATTGAGTAAGGTAATAATTCGTGGCGTAATTAATGTCTTATACTCAGTTGAAAGCCGCAGAATCACCCAAATAAAAAAATAAAAAAACGGAGAATAAGACCGTTTCCTTCAGAAACCGTAAAACGTCTTCTAGAATAAAAACCCTATGATTTCTGGGCGATAATATGATTGGGGTATAATTAAAAAGGACCAGGTATTAAATTCTGATTCTTAATAATTCTATATACACATATAGCTTAGTTGCAGCCAAACAGACTAGCACAATCAAACTTATGGACTTGAAGCTTGAAGTACGCCACGAAATGAAAAAAAAAAAAGACAAAAAAGAATAACGACTGAATATTTGTTGTTCTTGAAAACAAATTTTGATGAAGTTATTGAAACAGTCGTTATTATCCTTTGACAAAGCAAACAGCACACAGAGAGGTTGAACCTCGAAGGTACGCTAAAATTGTACCGGGGTAGTGAGTGAAAATGAAACAAACGTTTCTGGCCAGCATAAAAAAAAAAAAAAGAAACTACGCATAGCAGAAAGCAGAAACTACGTCGGCATATAACCCTAGTGGTGGGAATAAGGTGCTAAAATTTGAGAACATGATGTTACTTGGGCCAAAAATAGGCCGGAAAGAGCGAATTCCTCTAATGAGCCGACGCCCACCAGGCCCAATAATTCGTGAAATCAAGAGATGGTGTTGTGGGCATACTTGTTCCCGTTACTTGAAAAATGTAATGGATTGCAATTACAAATTACCGAGGCTCAAATGTAATAGATTACTGTTACAAATCACTTTTGCTGAAAATTAACGGATTCCTTTACTCGTTACGTTACAAATTACTTTCACATTACTTTTCCCGTACGCTTATCAAGAAAACAATCAAAACAATGTTGATGTTTTCAAAAATGTTCTGCAACACTACTTTTCATTGCCCGTACGCCCGGATTATGATAGTCCTTGTAAAATATAATGCATTTAAGAGAAAGGATGTAGGTGCACACCGTACACCTGTAAGCTGACAAAGCAGAGAAAGCTGCAATCACACCACACACCCTCAATCCATTCCTCTAGCTTACGGCGACCGTAGATGACCCCTGAAATTCTACAGACAGAGCTAAAGGTACGCAGGCTCAGTTGCTGGGCCTACCTCCACTAGGTGACTCGGAGCTAAGGAACGGATCTACGAAAGTGCCGGACGCTTTTCAGCCGTGCCTCCAGAGCAGGGGACTCAAACACGCAGCCGGCGACTCGCTGGGACGTAGCCCGCAGGCAACCGGCTAGGCGTCCCGGTTCTCATGCGCTGGAAATGGCATGCACCATAGTGATCTCATCTCGCAGATTCATTTTCGCTCGAAAAGTAGCTGTGCTCTTTTAACACATTCACATAGTTTATACTTATCTGTGTTCATTTGCCCTTTGTTTCGCTTGATTCGGTGCTTCCCATCTTTTAGTAATGTAAAACAATTACGGTACTGGTAAAAGCGCGAACTATTCGTTGAAGGATGCATAGATGCTGCGCGAACTGTCGATCAGCAGGATTAGCTGCCAAAGATAAAGCTACGAGCTCGGGATTAGAGCCTTCAAAGTATTTGTTCAAAGTTTTGTAATAAAATGCGTCAGGACAGCAAGAACTGTCCAATTAACTGAATGATTTTTAGAGACATATTGAGTGTGGTTAATTTCTGAGTGCATTGAGCAACGGAAACGACAGTGCAATTGCTCTCTTGTTCCATTAAAACTGCTAGCACGTTGGCGGGGTGGTGCCATTTCAATTCTTGATATCAGATGACGTGAGGCCCCAAAGTAGTCATATAAACCGATCAAATTGAAACATGTCACTGGCAAAACTGTGAGTTACAAAAAAGCATAGAGGACGAAGTCTTTTCTCTTTGAAATCGTCTGACATGTGTTCTGATGGGCGGAGAGGCGTATTAGGCATCCCTTCATTTGCCCGGACGGCGCTCGTTACTTAAAAAAGGTCTATTAGCTGCAGTCCCGAGTAGAAACACGCACCGGGGTCTTGGCCGTGCGCACAAACCGGACGTTGTGCACGGCGTGCACGAGGCACAGCTTGACCATTTGGATGGCGAACCTCATCCCCACGCAGTTCCTCGGACCGGCGCCGAAAGGCAGGTACGAGTACGGCCGAATGGAACCCACGTTTTCGTCGCTGAACCTGCGTACGGTAAGACAACGTGAGACGCGCACTGTGTTCCGTTCGAGTTTAACGGGTTTTTCGTCGAGAAAATGGGAGGCGAAGCTGATCTACGTAAATATTCTGAAAGAAAGCCCACCTCCAAAAGCTCGCCCGCCACACATTTTTTTTTTTATCTCCCCAACGTGGTTGGGCGCTCACATGGTCACGCGATCCCAACGACAAGACCACGTCACGTGACGTGACTGATGCCACAATGTGACACTGGCGTCACATGACAGCAGTCATGAAACTGACCACGTCATGTGACGTCACGCGGCGTCAGCGACGTCACATGACGCTGGGACGTCAGGTGTCTCCGCGTCACATGATGTGATGTCCCGTGACACAACGACATGATGCCGTGATGTGACGGGATCAAACTGTGTTTGGTCGCGTCATAGCAACCAATAGGATATAGTAAGCAAAAGGATAGCAACAGCTTGTTGTTCTCTAATCAGCACGGTTTTGGTAAGAACCTTTCTCGTATTACCCATCTGTTTGAACTTACCGATGATCTACATACTAGTCTGCATTCTTCCAAGCAAACAGACGCAATCTTTATATAATTTTCAAAAGCCTTCGACCGGGTCCCCCGTAGCAGATCAATATCCAAGCTCACAAATCTAAACGTTATCAGTAACGTTGTCTCCTGGATTCAAGCTTTCCTGTCACATCGTGTTCAATCTGTGATCGTCGATAATGCCACTTCCCTTCCTCTGATTCTCATCTCTGGCGTCCCTTAGGGTTCTGTTCTAGGTCCGCTATTTTTCCTAATTAATATAAATGACATTGTCTCTTCATTATAGTCTACATTCTAGTTATAACCTTGTGCTCTATCAAAATATTTCTTCCATTTATGATCGCATAACATTGCAACACGATCTAGAAGCCATTAACAACTTGGTGTCATTCATGGCTCATGACCGTCAACTCGGATAATTCTAAAAAAATGTCATTCTCAAGATCACAAAAGAAAGTGTTTTTCATATTCTATTCTATTTGGCGACATTGAGCGGGTGAACACATTTAAATATTTAGGGGTGTACCTTTCTGAAGATTTATCATGGAAAATTCACGTGAACTACATCCGTTCTAAAGCTAACAAAACATTCGGATTTTAAGAAGGCATATTTTTCTCGCGAACTCCCTTGTTAAATGTTTAGCTTATATTAGGCTAGTCAGAACTAAGCTGGGTTATGCTTCAGCAATATGGAACCCTCATCGAAGCTATTTAATTAACCTATTGGAAGCAGTGCAAAACCATGCTACTCGTTTTATCACTCGAAACTACTTCTGGAGTAGCATCTATTCTTTTAAACAATCCATATCATACAAACTCTCGACAGTCCAAGAAGAAGAGACCGGTTCTCTTTCTTGCACATATTGTACTACCGAAGTCATCGGGGGCTTGGCACTGGAAGGATGTCCAGCTCACCCTTATGTTTTCTGCAGATATGCCTTTTCACCGTGGAAGCGAGCTTTTCGCCCTCACCTTCGGAATCCATGCCGATATCTTCACCAACTTCGACAGCGGACCGGGAAAGCAATTTCCCGGATTTCCAACGACTACGCTTTCACCAGCTCGGCATCTGGCAACAAGGGACGACTGACGCAACAGGATGGCTACAAGAACAACAACCGCCCTCGCATCACTCGGGGCTTGGCACTGGAAGGATGTCCAGCTCACCCTTATGTTTTCTGCAGATATGCCTTTTCACCGTGGAAGCGAGCTTTTCGCCCTCACCTTCGGAATCCATGCCGATATCTTCACCAACTTCGACAGCGGACCGGGAAAGCAATTTCCCGGATTTCCAACGACTACGCTTTCACCAGCTCGGCATCTGGCAACAAGGGACGACTGACGCAACAGGATGGCTACAAGAACAACAACCGCCCTCGCATCACTCGGGGCTTGGCACTGGAAGGATGTCCAGCTCACCCTTATGTTTTCTGCAGATATGCCTTTTCACCGTGGAAGCGAGCTTTTCGCCCTCACCTTCGGAATCCATGCCGATATCTTCACCAACTTCGACAGCGGACCGGGAAAGCAATTTCCCGGATTTCCAACGACTACGCTTTCACCAGCTCGGCATCTGGCAACAAGGGACGACTGACGCAACAGGATGGCTACAAGAACAACAACCGCCCTCGCATCACTCGGGGCTTGGCACTGGAAGGATGTCCAGCTCACCCTTATGTTTTCTGCAGGTTAGTTACTTATCATGTTCAAAATACCGGTTTAGGAAAGTTTCATTGTTTGAGGTGCCATGCCCCATGGTCTTGCATACTGTACTCTGTTTTGTGTTTCACAATACGTGGAGTGTTCTTGCTGTTATTCAATCACTTTTAATGAGCGCGGGAGATATTGAAGCCAATCCCGGCCCCGACGGGGCTGAAACGTCATCTGTTGCTACCTCGAGTAGGGTACCGGGAGCAGACAGTGAAGTCATTGCTTTTTTGACTAGACTAGAAGCCGGGCAGAAGAAGCTTCTGCAGGTCACTCACGACATTCAGTTAAAACAAAAGAAAGCTGATGACGCGCTCGCCGCGATTGACACAAGGATGGCTAAAATAGAACAGGAACTTGTGATGGTGCATGAGCTAAAAACTGACGTGGAACAACTTAAAGTTGCTGCGAGTGAAAATTCGGCACTTACGACACAAATTTCCAGATCTCAAGATGACCTTGAGAATAGACTACGAAGAAATAATTTGCTCTTTTTTGGCTTGGCCGATAAGCCAACAGAAACATGGCATGAGTCTGAACTTGCGGTACTGAAGCTCGTTTCTGAGTCACTGCAAGTACCTTTAGAGCCGAGTTTGATCGACGGGGCGCACCGTTTAGGTAAATTCCAAAACGGGAAGCAAAGGCCGATTATAGTATGCTTCAACCAGTTCAAAGTTAAAGAGGCGATTCTTTTAAGTGCTCCTAAACTAAAAGGCCAATCAGTTTCTATTAGTGAGGACTACTCCCAAAAAGTAGTCTACGCTCGAAAGCGCCTGATTGAGTATGCAAAAAATACGAATGCCACGTTCAGGCTGCGCTTCGATAAGATGTTTGTTGGGAACAAGTGCTTTATTTATGATGATGTCAGCAACAGTGTAATAGAGTGTACGCGATGACAGACTAAACCTGCATCTCATCCACCTCGGCCTTCTGACTGTCATCGAAATAAAACGATATCTCTTAACTCTACCTCTAACTTTTCGTTTTTGCTGTGTAATTTTCGTAGTATCTTGTCTAAACAAGATGACGTTTGTTCAGTCATTGACACGTGTAGTCCGCATATAATCCTCGGAACCGAAACTTGGTTATCAGAGGACATAGATAATGAGGAGCTTGCTTTTTCTGGCGAATACAATATCTTCCGTAAAGACAGAATTCATTCGAGAGGCGGCGGGGTCATGATCGCAGTAAAAAACGTCCTCTCATCCGACGTCCTTAAAATCGCATCTGAACTTGAGATAATTTGGGTTCGTGTGAAATTAGTATGCTCCTACATTATCATTGGAGTGTGTTATCGACCACCATCATTCTCTGGGCAGTTCTGTGATAAACTTAACGAGTGCATAAACTGTGTAGTCAGTAGTTATCCCAGATGCCCAGTAGTGTTGGCCGGAGACTTTAACTATCCAGGGATCAACTGGAGTGACTGTTCGCTTCGAGCAGGCTGCCGTGATTCATCTGAGTGCCGAGATTTTTTGGCAGTCACTCAGTCGTACAACCTTACTCAAATTGTTTTAGATCCTACACGAGGTGATTCTGTTCTTGATTTGCTCTTTTCATCACACCCTGAATGTATGTCTGCTTGTCATATATTAGAAACCATTAGCGACCATAACGCTGTTCTTATCAACTCTACATTCTCGCCGGCTAAGCGGAATATCATTAGAAAAACATTCCTAAACTTTTCCAAGGTGGACGCCAATAAACTGCAATTCTCTTTTGACTCATTCTCAAGCGAGTACCTGCAATTCTTCGACACTCGCTCTGTATCTGAGAACTGGGCGCTACTGAAGGATAAAATAACCGAAATTGTTAAGGAGTGTGTTCCGGTAGTTTTCATTAATAAGAACTTAAAGAGTCCTTGGTTTAATAACTATCATAAAAAACTTTTAAACAGGAAGAAACGGTTATTTTCTTTAGCCAAGTCAAGAGACACTCCTGACTTGTGGTCTAAATATAACGAAAGTGCAAAAACTTACAGGTTAGAGATAAAGAAGAGTAGATTCAAATTTTTGAATCGCGACCTGGCTAACATGTTACTTACTAATGCAAGGAAGTTCTGGCAAGCGGTCTCGCCTAGCAAGCATAACCCCTCACCCATTCTCCACGATAGTAGTGGAACCATTTTGTCACCTCATGACTCATCAACCATATTTAACTCGTTCTTTAGTTCCGTGTTCACGGATGAGTCATTGCCATTACCGCAGACGTTGTGCCGTGCCAGCACGAGCATGGATGACATAACATTTACACCAAACGGAGTAGCAAACGTCATCGAACGTTTGCGTGCAAATTCGGCTTGCGGGGACGATAACATCACCTCTAACTTTCTCAAAATAACGAAAGACAAAATATCAATTATCTTGTGCCGCCTTTTTCAAGCTTCACTTGATTTGTCTGAATTACCGCTCGATTGGAAAGTTGCAAAAGTCATCCCTGTACATAAGCATGGAAACCGCAATGACCCTTCAAATTACAGACCCATCTCTCTGACAAGCATACCATGTAAAATATTCGAACATGTCATCTACTCTCAAGTCATGGACTATCTTAACAACTTTAGCTATCTTCACCCTCAACAACACGGCTTTCGCAAACATCTTTCCTGTGATACTCAGTTATTTGAATTCGTAACAGATCTCCACGATAACTTTAACGACTCTTATACTACTGACGCAATTTTCATTGATTTCGCTAAAGCCTTTGATACTGTCCCTCATCAACGCTTACTTCTAAAACTTTCTCAATTAAACATAAATGACAAAATCGTCAGTTGGATCTCATCATTTCTCACCAATCGTAAGCAGTATGTATGTATAGATGACACGTCCTCGCCCGCCATTACAGTTAAATCCGGAGTTCCACAGGGCAGCGTCTTAGGTCCACTTTTGTTTCTCATCTACATAAACGACTTACCTTCACTAATCTCGTCATCAGTAAGGCTTTTTGCTGATGACTGTGTACTGTACCGCCGAATTTCTCATCCTAGCGATTCGGAACTCCTTCAACGCGACATCGACATCTTGGGTGAATGGTGCTTAACATGGCAAATGAACATAAATGTTACTAAAACCAAGCTCGTTTCTTTTAATTCCTCAAAACACCACAATCCCTCGTACTCAATTTTTTGCGATCCTATTTTATCTACTCATTCATACAAGTACTTAGGTATCACTTTTACCGATGATCTAACCTGGAATGCCCATATCGAAAACATCGTTAATACATCATTAAGAACTCTGGGATTTCTGAGAAGGCATTTATACCTTGCTCAACAGGACGTGAAACTTACTGCATATAAAACCCTCGTTAGATCGAAACTTGAATTTGCTAGCACCATATGGGCTCCTCATCAACTTTACCTCATTAATAGACTAGAATCAGTCCAGAATAAGGCCGTCCGCTTCATTCATCGAAACTACAGTACGAAAATCAGTGTCTCCCAACTAAAGGTTCTTTCTAATTTAACTTCTCTTGAATCACGTCGGACAGTCGCTCGCCTTACTCTTTTTCATAAGTTTTATTACAACATGCCATCATTCATGCTCACTCACTGTAAGCCTGCCTCATACATTTCTTTGCGTCATGATCATTCCTTAAAAATTGCACCTATGTTCGGTCGCACTAATAGATACAAATACTCTCCTCTTGCTCTGTCCATTAAAAATTGGAATTCTCTCCCTAACGACATAGTCACTGAACAGAACGAAATAATATTCCGCGAAAAAACTTCGGCTTTGGTTCCATGATATGTTTTCCGCGCCATGTCTGCTTGTGTTTACTATAAATTGCACACTGTGTTCCCAGTTCTGCTGTGCCCGGTTTGTGTAAACTTTGTTCCGAATCCTGTATAGTTCGTTCTTTGTTTTTGCTTGTTGTTAATTTTTCACCTCAGTTAGTTCTTTGATTGCCATTCCATCTTGCATTTGATTGTATTTTTCTACCCCCCCCCCCCCCCTCATGTAATACGTTCGAACGAACGTCTTTGAGGCGAATAAAACTTGAACTTGAACTTGAACTTGAACCCGCTAATTATTTCGCTAAATCGGGAACTTCGTAAAATCGAGGAAGGGAGACTTCGCGCGTAGGCTGCGCGGGGAATCGAAATTTGTTCATTAAATCGGGAAATTCATAAAATCGTGTTTTGTACAATCGAGGTTCAACTGTATAACCCGCGGTTTTCTCGAACTTCAATTTCTACGGCCCACCATATTTCCTCTCGCCTCGATCACCCCTGCAAAGTGGAGCCCATTTTTTGCAAATCCAACACATTTAAATGCTCACTCCTTTCATTATGCATATCACATCAAAATAGCCTGCCCTCAAGCTTGCCAAATAGTAGTAACAAATACTTTTTGCATGAGATTTCTAAAATGCTTGGATAATGTTTTTATTATGATATACCCTGGCGATGATGTTTCTTAAACTTGTCATCTTTTAAAAAAAATGCAGTGTTTTTTTATTATAAAATTATGAATTAGACCCCTCCCCTTTCCCCCTATGTATGGCCTTCCTCAAGAGGGCTAAGGTAATGAAATTAAATGACATAGCAGTACCAACCGCGCGACCGTTGTATGTGTCGTACCTTCTGCGGTCAAAATACGGACGACGCTGTTCGTATCTGTTGCACGCGCGACGAGTTCACAAAAGCTTGCAGAACACCTCGCTCTGCTAATAAAACATCTGCACACTGTGTGTCTCTCGATTTAGCCCCTATTATAAGAAAACCTTTTTGTTCGTATTTCTAAAAATAATGTGATAAATTCAAGCCGCCCGTCGGCCTCTTGGGTTGCATTTGCTGAGCACTCTATCGGTCAATTGTTTGCCACGTTCGATTTTGTTCCCGACGTGATCGACTATTAAATGACCGCCACCAGAGCGCTTCTCTTACCTTTCCGGGTCAAACTCGGAGGGATCCGGGAAATTCAGGGGATCGTGGTGCAACGCGTAGACGGGGATGCCGACAACGGAGCCTTTGGGCAGCCGGATGCCAGTACCTTCCATGACGTAGTCTCGGGTCGCTGTTCTGTCCACCCTGCAAGGACCAAACGCAAAGGCGCTCGAGTAAAATGAAGATGCGTGGCTTGGGCCATTAGGAACTTCCGTCGAAATCCATAGCGCGTGTTTCTGAATGTCTCAATTCGGTGCCAGGAGTACGGGAATTACCGTATTTGCGCGAGTAATTCCCGCACTTCTTATATAAACGAGGCCTTTGTTGTGTCTACTTGCCTGCAGAACACACATGCAACCAATCATCGTGCTCTCCATGAAAAACAATGCAGCGAATAACGACGTCGAGAACACGATTATTCCTCAAAATGCGATCTGACCAGATAACATTTTCGCGCGAAGAAGTTATCTGTGTCCCGTAAACCGCTGCCATTTTTCTGCCCATCGTCGCAGTGATTTGCTATCCCCGTGCTCCGCGGGAAAGCAGACCCACAGGCTTTGTTCATAAACAGCGCGCCTATTTATTCGAACAAATGCGGTACGTTGCTGCGGTCCGTTTGTAGAAGACATGAAAGCACCCCATAACTACAAATACAGCAACAACAACAACAACCGATGTATGTTGTTTGTTTACGTGGTTTGAATAAGGAGTATTCACTGGGCGCCATATTTGTGGGTGCTGTCTAGAGCGCATGCTCAGAACGAGCCCTCATTAGTAGGCTGCTAAGACCGGCAATCTTGAGGGTGCGGAATGCACGTTACAAAAGTACTGTGGAAGCTCGCCATCCGCAAGCGCTCAGCAGTCGCGCACACAGCTATGGCCGCCAGTGAATACTTCCTATAAGAAAGTCTGAAGCGACTCATTTTTATTGTCTATTATGCTTGCATGCTCTGGTCTGCAATTGGTTCTTCGGCAATCTTATCGGCTGATGCAGCAGTCTCATTGGCTGGGATAATTAACTGATCGAGACTCGCGGCACGCCCTGGTTTTCTTAATTAAGTTATCGGTGACTCTAATGAATGCAAGGAGCAGCACCAGTGAGAAGGCGAACCTATTTTACTGCAGGCATAAATAAAGATATGGAGGTCTGAATTTAATTTATATTTTCTGGGTGCTTCTACGGAGATACATTCCAGCGTTAAATGTTTGTCAATCTACTTAAAATTTTGTTTAGTGACGCGAAAGTCTCAGTCGGTATACTAAACTGGTTATAATTGAAAATATGCGGGTGAGTGAACCGTATACTTGATCAAATGAGAAAACGCGAATACCAGTCGAACGCTCACACGACGCTTGTCTTATCGCTGATTGAACCCTGAGTGCCAGCCGAGCGCTGACGCAAGGCTCGGCTCATCGCTGATTTGACCAAGAGTGCCAGCCGGACGTCTTACTCGAGTAGATCCGAGTTACTCCCGCGAGTCACATCATGTGATCGAACATAGAGCGACGCCAGCGACGCGCTTTACTCCTAGACCTAGTAACATGCGAAACGAGCGAGTGGACTTTTGCCGAGCGCGCGCTACTCCCCCTCACACACGCGCGCGCGCACGCACACGCACACGCACACGCACACGCACACACACGCAAACACACACACGCACACACACACACACACACACACACACACACACACGTGTGCGCGCGCACACACACACACATTTTGGTGCGTTTCCTGAATATGTTAGTTCACGAGAAAACCGCACAGCGGTGGAACCAGTGGCGTATTCAAGGGGGGGGGGGGGGGGGGGGGGTTCGGGGGTCGAAAACTTTCTGCCCCAAAATGCCGGAGCTACCCCCCCCCGGTGCCCATTGGTCCCGCTCGCTACCCTGCTCACGCAGTCGGTCTTGCACGGGGCACGGAGCAAAGGGGGAGCGCGGACTATCTCCAATTTATATGCTTTCCGAAGGAATGTTTGTGGGGTGCAAAATGATTAAATAAATAAAATAGTCAATATTTCTTCATTCATGCTTATTTGATGAGATGTGGAACTTGCTTTCAGATATATAGAGAGCGTATATTCCGAAACATTTGTGTGGTGAAAGATGGCAATTTCAAGGCAAAGTATAACAAACTATCCTCACTGAAATACATAGTTAAATAAAACTAAAGTGGACATAATACAACGCACACATGGTGATAATATAAAACAATGTCAGTGATATAAGGAATATTAAATTAATAGTAAAAACAATTGCTCTCTAAGCAACGCGTGGCACTGCGCTCAGGCACACCTTGTTTACTGATCAGAAATACGTACTTTGGACTCGACATTTCCGCGAATTAAAAAGTAACTGGGACTAGGTATTTCAGAAGCAATTTACAGTCTCTCTTGATCATTTCATTTATGCCAAGCGCCTACATATTAAGATGCAGCCACATGCGTTCACGGCCAAGAATATCTAGGATGTCCACCGCTTGAACTTCAATATCGCGGGGGACATTCAAAAGCCCTAGACCAAGCAGTCGCTTATTTGTAGTGGACGCTCTCGGGTATGTTTTCAACCGTCGTAGTGAAGAGAACAAGCGCTCAGCTTCCGCCGTTGCTACGCGCAGAGTCGCTAGGATCTTGAGGAGTCGATAGAAGTTTGGGAATAGGGCCTGCGGACAGTGGGCGACCGCCTGTAGCGCAGACGTGACGGGCGTTTCGTGTTTCTCACACTTTCGCTGGACGCCTAAAATTTCCCAATTTCTGGTGAAGTTTTCATGGTCGCTCATGGATGCGATGAAGTCCGTCTTGCTTTCTGCTTTGCATGTCTAGGTGGCATCTGATGCAATTCGTTATTAGATTAATACTTTCGTAGCACGGAACATCAGGAACTCCGAAAAGCCTTCATATAATTTCACTACGCACAGGCGTAAGGATATTCAAGCTCGTTTCCACGTGTTCGTCGTGTAATTTGCTTGTTTATGGGTGGTGTGTGGTGTCATTTCTCCGAGTGTCGGAACGACGAATTCGGACTGACGAGTTCTCATCGCCCCGAGGATATACCGCTGCTGCCTTTGGACCACACTGCAAGATAAAGCGGCCTAGCAAAAATAAGTCTTTCTTTTCCTACGGCATCTTGTTCTGTAGCACGCATTTGCTAAACCCTTAATAGATAATAGATTTTGGTTTTGTGATTGTTCATAATCACCCTCGCCCTATATATATAGGCCCCTAGTGTTTGTGCGAGGACGGTTGCTCTAATTTTTCAGCGTCGAGATTTTGTTTGCTGCTTAATTTCTTGTGACAGTATAGCCTGCCGGTAACAGCCAGGTGGCGCCAGTAGAGTGAGAGCTCAGGGACGCCTTCTTCGGAGGTCGATACAGGGCAGAGCAAAAAAGCTGAGTATAGTAGTTTGACGTCATGCCCGGTTTTCGTCAAAATAGAGTGTTTTGTACCTATTTGTTACCTTGACATCTTCACTTCGCGCACTCCTCCGGAGTGTGCTCCCAGCTCGTTCCTCCGAAGTCAACACAACTGTCATAGTTAGTAAAAGACGGCCCGTGCCAGACGTTTGCAAAGCGACGTAGATGTTAACATATCGCCGCGGGGCGTTTTTCGCGGCCTCGGAGATGCAGGAGCGAGCCGACATTAAAAGTTTTAACTACGAGAGTGTCAACAAGAGCCACGTAAATAGCTGTGCACACTCGGAGCGGACGCGCGCGTTTGATTGAAGTACTTCGGGACCAATCTTTTACGATTACCACTCGATAATGACGTGACACGGTTAACTCAGCTTAACTGCTGTTACGCGGCACCACAGATACCGGTCTATACTCTCGGACAGCTATTCCATAAGAAGGGAAGAGCGTCGTGCACTGCCTCGATGGATGATCAAGATGCTCAAGCGCACGTTCGCCCATAGCTTTGTCTGCATAGCCGCAGAGTGTTGTCGGCAAATATTGTGCACCTACTGTGGCTTAGCGTAATTGCAGTTAAATGTGCCCGTGAAACAAGGGTATAACAAGGGTCATACAATGCGTCTCAAACACGGTTTTCAATATGTGCGACTTGACAAGCTCACCTACTTGCTTACTTTGTCTTCGAAAGAGTGATACGATATGTTCGGCGGTGGAACATCATTAAAGCTTTTACACACACGCAAAAGAATAATAACGTACCTTAACGCTGGAGGGTACATGCGCAGTGTTTCTGATACGACGCAGTGCAAGTATTTGAGCTTGGACACCGCGTCGAGGCTTGGTTCTGGACCCTGTACAAGGAAATTGAATGATTTACGTTATATAAAGCAAGTGATTTAAAAAATAAATATAATATATCCCTACATTGCGGCCTAGGGGTGTATATCTTATGTGTTCTTTAAGCGTTACGTGTCATGCTGGGATTAGAATCAAGTATGTAGGCATGCTTAAAGCAAGTATCATAGTCATGAAGAGATTATTACTGAAAAGAAACCCACAATTGCAGTTAGCTCGCCGGCTCTTGTTTCACAGTGAACGTATGATTACTGATTTATTTTTGGGCGAAATATTTTACCTGACGACATAAGTCTTAGAAAGCTGCCGAGGTATTAGGATCTTAAAAATTTTGGTATAGACAAAACAAAAGAACCAATCATTTTAATTTTATGTTCGTCTTTATACAGCAAAGGTCGGTCTGCCTTTGAGATGAGGCGATATAGCAATAATGTTGTGTGTATGCTTACACAGCCTGAAGTTAGCCTGAACGAGGGACTTGTCTCTCAGCTGTAGATGAGTAATTAAGCCAGTGCGGCATAACCGCTAGCCTGGGGTCTAACGTGCACCAGGCAGTGCGGTACACCACCGGACGCCGGTACGATAATCATCCAGATCGAAACGGGCAGGGGTGGGGATTCAGCCCGGGATCCCTGGGTTCTGCAGTGCGAGCTTTCGCTCCACGTGCTCCGAGCTGGTGTACGCTTGCCCGCAATCACGTAATGCGCAGGCCTTGCCTTTTTAGTTGGTATGGCGCTAGGACGAGCGGACGCAAAGAAGCACGCATCTGCCGCTTTGCCGTGTATACTCTCGTCAAAAAAACGTGTCTGCCCCTTGGGAAGGATCGGGAACTCACTGGCAATGACGTAACACGTCATCACGACGGCCTTGTCTTTTAGGAAATGTTGCATGTGAACTCACATGTTTCGCGAAACAGTCGTCGACCTCTTGTCTCAGCCTGTCTTGAATGTCGGGACACACGGCCAGCTGGTACACGGCGAAGGCGATCGTGGTCGACGTTGTTTCCAGACCAGCCGTGAAGAACAACACACACTGCGCCAAGGCTTCGTCTTCTGTCAGGGCTGAAAGTTACCGATCGCGGCACTCGGTTAGCTCGAACGGGCCATCGGCCGATTTGTTTTATCGTTTTTCGATCCCAGATTGAAGGTTGCGACAACAACTATCATATGCGGAGTGCACGTCGTCTGCTTTTTGCACATGAGTTGCAGTGACGTCAGAACGACGCCGAGCTCTGATTGGCTTTGATTGAAAGGATAATGGGTAGATCTCAATGCTAGATGTCTTGAGGTCTACCCACTATATTTTTTCAATCAGTCAATAAGGGCTCGGCGTTCTTACATCATCGGAACCCCTATGCAAGAAGCAGACGAACCTACGCTTTGCATATTCACTGGCGGCTCAACTTCACACTGCTCGTACATTGTACAAAAAGCAACATAATGACATAATTATAGGAGGGCACACTTCACAGATGTTTGAAGCAGGATTTGTTTTGTGCACCTGTAGGCTTTAAACATGTCCGCAGACCGTTTCTGTATGGCCAATGTGACAGGACCGTCATGCAAAGCAGAAATACACTTCATAGTCTGCAGACGGTCTTTTGTATGGTGTATGAGCAGAGGGTGATCTCGGCTTGCTTAAGAAGTGCAGGGCGTGGTTAGTGTCGAACATCATATTATCGTGCGTCGGCCAATGATTCATATGAGACCTAAGCGGTAATGGTATGTGGTTAGAAGCATCCTGTATGTGTAAAACGTAAGAAAACGAAATGATAATGCATATGTTGGTTTTGTACTCATAATATACCGTTATGTACATTTACAAACCAGAAATGCAAATATAACGTCTAGAGGTACCGAGTACCGTAGAGGTGTAGAGGAATACAAAAAGAAATTAAGTATAACTTTAAAAATAGACACAAAATAATTTAGGACTTTCCTGGCGGTAACGTTTCACAGATGGAAGTCGGAAACAATGAGGTATCTACAGGAAGAAAGCCAATTTCGTCGCTATGTAGAAAAGTAAAGTATATTCAACGAAGTGTCAGAATTTAGTTGACATTTGTTAGAGGCTTAATTCGCAATGAAGAATAAAAATTCTTGCCTCTAGAGTCCCGACTAAAACTAAAATCACGAATGAGGTTTCTGATCTTTGTAGGAGGGAGTATTTCTTGACCGGTATCCAGAGGTGGCCCTGCCTATTGTTGTTAGTAAGTAAGGTACGTTGTTGGGCTAGTTGGTTCATCTTAGTAAAACATATAAAATAGCGCAACAGAAACAAGGACAAGAAGTAAACAGGACAGGCGCTGTTAGTAACTCCGTTTGACCAATTAACCGTCCTTCTAACTGTCGGTGTCCCAAGCATGTTTTTAAACGAATTTTAAAGCGGTAGCTTTGTAGGCCCTACCACGCTCAAGGTCGTGTCCTCAAGGTCATGTAACGCCCGTTAGTGAAGCGGTGGTGCGTAAGCGTAAGTTCCTGTCGCGTAAGCTCGTAAGCGCCGGTTGCGTAAGCTCTGTTCGCGCGCGCGAAAGAGAGAGAGAAAGAAAGATAGAGAGAACCCAACCATGCTCGTGTTATCAAGGTAACGCAGCACCCGTGCCTGTAGTGAAGCAAGCTCGTAAGCGCCGGTAGGTGAAGCTGACGTGACATGACGTCCTTGACGTCTTCCTTGACGTCATCCTGGTGATCGTCCTTGAGATCGTCCTAAAGCTCGTCCTAGGAGTCGTCCTAGATGCCGTCCTTGACGTTGTCCTCGATGTGTGTACGACATATTACAACCATTTCGTCACCGTAACATTTCCTTTCCTGATTATTTTCTTCACTAACAATGTTCCTATAAAGCTACCGCATTTTATCGCGTTTGGTCGAATGAACAAAGCTGCATTAATTTTTGATAACCCGTACGGCTGGTTCACGACAAAATCACAATTAAGGAACAGAGTATCTTGTCGCTCCCTAGCCAAACTGGCAAATAAGAACGCCGAATAACGAATTACGAAGCCAAACATGTGAACATCATAGAACGCTTCCCGCGTCTCTTAAGCTGTCGCGACTATAATTTACTGCGACTGTATACACTGTATGTTGGTTTTATAACAAACAATGTGAGCCATAGTTACTCAATGACTCAAAGCACAGTATGACACTCGGGGCGTGGACTTTTATGATCATTCTTGATTCGTGAGTGGGTTCTCGGCGTTCCCAGCAGGCTGATGTTGCAATGAGAACGACTGTGGAAGGATAATAAAATTCCTCCCGGGACTCGCTGCAGGCCTTTGCGTCTTTGAAGCTGTCTTTGACCATAGACCGACTCGCGGCTCTGACGTACCACGGCTGCCGTGGCGCTGATGTCAGCACGCCGCATGCGCAGTAGCTTATATGGGCGAACGCGGCCTTGTTTGTAAAGCAGCCTGTTGGCATGTAGCCGTATAAAATGTGAACGAACATTTTGTGACGAACGAGGTCTCCGGCTTCTGCTCGCTCCCAAGGTTGTAGAGGCTGTTCTCCATGTCTTGGCCACCGTCGCTGCTGACTTCCACGATACCCGACTCTTGGGCATCTACCATGAGCTGGAGAAAGTCCTGATGCCTCTGAAATGTTTACGAAGCAATAACGTGGTAATCTGAGTCGTCAAGTATCAGACATATAATAAAACAATCTTGGAAATGCTTTTTTTTTTTTTAGATTAAGGATGTGCTCTGATACCAGCACCAGACAGATATCGACCGTGGTATTCTATGATACGTAAAGATGTACTTACGATATTAGCTTCTTTGCGCTTTTTGATAATGCTTGCGCAGGTATTCTTGAAATAATGAAATATCTCTCCCGGGAAAACTTTCGTGCCGAATACTTTGAATAGCCGTGGAAACAGGCTCATAAGGAAAACTGAAACGTAAGCGGAAAGTTCACAAAATAACTTTGGAAGTCACCTGAGGCGCTGGACCCGTCAAACACAAATGTGGGGTCGAAGTTTTGGGAGCGTGCAGATTGGACTCGTGTGAAGATGACGCCGCGCTTTTGCCGCACAAGTCCAAACGGCGCGCCCCGCCAACTTTCGGCTCTAACTTCGTGTTTGACAAATTTCTTAGATAGACGTATACTTACACAGAAACACTACATATGCATTAATTTTGGTCGCGAACGCCTTTCTTGCTTTCGTTACGAATTCATCGGTCTGATTGGTGTGCGAGTCCAGTTTTGTTCCAAACGCGCACCTGGCAATGACATCCAGTGTGTAGTGGCCGAAGAATCTATAAAAGGAAGCATCGTAGAAAACAAAAATGGTTGTATGAATAGCTCTCTTGAAATGCCTTTACATGTCTAGACTATATTGATAGATCTTAGGCTTATCCTTTTCTATGCACCCGCACCCTTCTGGACGGCAATCACGGGTAATCAACTCAAAGATGGAAAGTTTTTTTCAAACACTTGCAGTTTCGGTATATTTCCTATTCTTTTCGCGCATCATCCTTTCTTTCTTGGCTCGAGACAAATTTCTAAAATGTTTTAATCGATAAAGCTTCATAGATGATATGCTCTCGAAAATACCGCGAAACCTTTGCTCTAGTGAAGTACAGTTCCAGGACCACGTCATAGATGGCGCCAGCGTGCCAGTGCGTTCACTCGGCCTAAGGGATCACAAGATCTTGGTACTAAGCAAATGCAAGTGTGGGAACGGGTCTCAAGTCCCGTCATCCTCGTCCTCGCGCTTGAAGCAAACTCTGCAATACCTACTTCAATATAATGAGGGGTGTACTCATTTGCGTTAGAGTGTGCTCGAGGGCGGTGTTTTCCCTCACAACCACTTACGACATGAAAAAGCACTTAAAGGGATCTTAAACACGCTGGCACGCTCGCGCCATCTGCCAGCTAGCCCTTGAACTGCGTATAGCTAGACTAGAGGTTTTCGCAGACAAGCAAGATCAAATCTACAAGGTGTCTATCAAAAATGGTCGCCTATAACATCGTCATAACTATTTCAAGCCCGCGGTGAAAAAGGAATGCGTAAAAATGATAAAAATCTAGACGCAGAACGAAAGTTTCCACCTCATAGATGGCGCAAGCTGTGCAAATGTGTTCTCTTTTTGTTTTCTGCCCGCTCTGCCCCCAGTGAAGAGTGCCGGCGACATATGCCCTCACAGCATCTGGGGCTGCTACAGACATTCCATACACAGGACCGCACACCTAAATTCGTTTCCATCTTGGCCTACGAAAACTGGACAAGCCCTCACCCCAGACAGCCAACCAACCACCAAAACATAAGTTCGACTCGCTGCTTTCCTTCTTGCAAACAGCGAGCCTTCCCTTGCACGCACGACTATCTCTCCATCTCTAGCTCTCTGCCCTTCTTGTCCCATCTCCCTCTCCCCACGCTTCCGTCTCGGATGACTACAGTCGAGCGAGACGGCGGCTTATTTCATTGTTATGTAAATAAAACATGTCAACAACAACTTGGTGCTCTCTCGTTTCAAGCTGTTATAGGAAAAAGCAAGGCACTAGCACACTGAAACGCAAATGTGTGAGCCGGCCCATAGGGCGTATCCGCTGAACATTACAGTTTAGTGCGCTGTTCACTGCGCATGCTTGGAACGGGCTCACATTTATAGGCTGCTAAGACGAGCAGTCTTGATGATGGGAAATATACGCTGCAAAAGAACCATGGAAGTTTGCCATTAGCACTCGCTTAGCAGTCGCGGACTCAGGTATGACCGCCAGCGAATACTCCATCCTTAAATTTGCTTTTGCTCATTTTGTGCCCATCATCAGCGTCGTTGAGTTCGTGAGGTAGACTTCCACTTGTGCTTAGCGGTCAAGCCTGACTGCAATGTGAGTTTTGTTTTTTTGCAAATAGAGCCGCATACCGGTGTTAAGACAGTTATACTTCCAGTATAGTGGTGTTCGACGGAACTGGTCCCCATACTGTAGAACATGGGTCCGTACCGACAGTTATTGGTAATAGACAGTAAACGTTCTGCCGGTCGAAGACGTTCTCGGTTTTGACCGGCTGAAGGAAACCAAATCTGCTGTTCAACCGGATGAAGGAAACCAAATGCCTGAGGCATTTGGTCTCCTTCATCAGTATTAATATTTACAAAAGTTTCAATTAAACTAACAAGACTATAATGTTATCCATAATAAACCTGAGACGAAGGAAAAATAAAAAAACGGACAGTACAACGAAGTCTCTTCGTTGTACTGTCCGTTTTTTTATTTTGCCTTCGTCTCAGGTTTAATATGGATACCATTCACCAGCTCGCCTGTGTTTTTTACCTTTCAAGGCTATAATGACAGGTTTAATATATCGCCCCGTCCATCGTCGTTTTTTTTCTGTCTCAGGTATGGAACAGTCCAACATACTGTGTTCTTAAGGTCATCTTGTTTTCCCCTCATCTTGTTTTCAAGATGAGGGGTTTACAATCTGTTGCCGTACGGTTTATCAAAATCAAATCGCTCCCACTGCTTGTAGTTCACACTGTAAGAAGCGACATAAAACAAAAAAATGTCCTCAAAAGTATTGATTGCTGGCTTACCTGTCACACTGCACTGGCAGCGGGACTCCTAACATTTGGAGCCTTTGACTTGCAGAGAACAGGCGTGCGGCGTTTGGCTCTCGCATTCGAACGCGTACGACGAGTGCAGTGGAGACAAAGGCCATGCTAGCTTTAGGTCTACCCACTAATTTGAATCGCGGTACGGCGTCCTGATGTCCCCGCGCCGCTCTAGTCTCCTCCTCTCCATCAGTTGCTCGGCGCATAGTGGCAATAGAGGTAGGCTGTATTCGCAACTTTCACGACCTATAGGAGGCGCACTGGCGCCTATCAAAATGGCTGTCATCTGGATGATCGTCGTAGAACAGCAGTACGAGGCTGGCTCTGCGACGCGTCACTAATTCTAGTTTTGCTTTATACGAGCAGCATTAGAGCCTTGACTTTTTTTTGTTCACGTCGGGAAGGTCTAGGCAAGCCCCTTTATCGTGAAGCCGATCGCGATGCTCACACCGCGCGGTACCAGCAGGCAGGAGCAAAGCGGTCGGCTGAAAGGGCCCCTTCAGCGCCGTGATAATCACATAACCTTAGCACGCACTGCCAGTAAAAGGTCCAAACAGATGGGATTTCGACCGAAACCGAAGGCTCTTTTACGTAACCAAGCCTCGTAGAACAAATTGCGTTGAACTAATGCCTGTCCACTCGTCCCGCGCTTCCGAGTAAACAGGTGCATGCTATAGCCCGTTAACCATTTTGAGTTTTGGGGGAATTCCACACTCTGGAACTGCTTAATAGTTGTCTTCAATATAAAATTACATTTTTTGCCTTTAAAATCAAGTTTCAAGCCACAAGAGAAATGGAAGCGAGGCTGGTTCGACCAGAATTGTTGAGTGCACGAACCGAAAAAAGCAGACGAGCTATGTTCGTCTTGAGCGGATTGGGGGCGGCTCCACGTTGACGAGCTAGGCTCGCCCAAAACGGGGCTAGTTGAAAGGGATACTTTTCCTTTCACCATCGGCGCTCACCACGGTGCCAAGGGGGCAGCCCAAAACCGCGAGCAGTCTGCTCTTTCATCATACAAAAGACACGGCGCTCCCTCCAGACATGGTAGAATTATCTGCGGACTCACGAAGACACGTTGAAAACATTTTTCCTTGCGTTCGTATGCTTCGAACAGGTCTGCAAAAAGTGTTTGCAGGACCAATCTTGACAGGGCCGTCGTACGAGGAAGGATCGATGGATGTCAATGGCTATGCCCTTTGTAACGGGCGGTAGCTTGCGCCACCTATAGCCTAAGTCTAGAAAGACTAACACGCCTCAGACAGTGTCCGCAGACTGTCTTTTGCATGATGTATTAGAGCAGCGTTACCGCGGCTCGAGGAAAGTTGCCTTCCCATTTTGGAAAAAAATATTTTTTTTTTCCTCCGAGCTTAACTCTTATATTTATCGATACCTGAGATGACTACCGAAATCACAGACAGGGACCGAGGACTGCTTTATATATGAACACGGAATATCACATTCAAGAGGCAAGAGGCAAGAGGAATGCGGTATTATCTTATCAGATAATACCGCAGTCTTCTTGCTTGCGGAGCGATACAAAAAAAAAAAATGTTCGGGTCACGCCAGGCACTGCGTTTCTTACACTTGCCAGTGTCGATGTATATATATGTATATATAAACGTATACGGTCAACTGCATTTCATTCCCTATGGTATATATGAGTCAGTTCCTCTCCACGCTTACTGTTTAACGTCCAGATCTTCATTGTTCTCGGCCGCTTTGCGTAAGTGTTCGCAAGTCAGCTTCGCACAGTCTTGAATAAGGCCATTCATCTGCAATAGAAAACAATGCAGCGTCATTGAGAGAGAGAAAGAAAAAAAAAAGACGCGGTGGTGGATGCAGAGATTGTCTCTTGATATGAAATAATGAAATCTAAACGAATCAAGTTGAACGCAAACATTTCCGCCTTAGAGCCACATCGCATCGCATAGCGTATCGAGCAAGAGTGATACGCAGACCGAAAAGTGTAACTTTATGGCTACTGGCATTATAAGAAACGAAAGGAGTGGCAAGTCCTGGGGCTCTAAACTCGTCAAACACAAAGTTGGGGCCGAAGTGGACGGAGCGCAGAGATTGGACTATCGCGACGATAACTTCGCGCTTTTGTCGCCGTCGTCCAATCGGCGCACTACGCGAACTCTCGGCTCCAACTTTGCGTTTGACGAGTTTAGGGTCCCTGCACATCTCAGCATATGGCTGCGCAGCCAATGAATTTGTGGCATTAGCCGACAGGAAGGCCGAAGTACTTGTCGCAAAGCAGAAAGCGCAAACATTGTAAGCTACCAGGTGCACACGAAAGCCGCTGACATGTTGCTCGTCGATCGTATGCGGATTGCCAGTTCGTCTGCTTCTTTCTCAGGGGTTGCGATGATGTCAGAGCGTCGAGCTCTTATTGGCCGAGGAAAAAAAAAAAAAAAAACAAGCAAACAAACAACAAACAAACAAAAACAGTGGTTAGATTTTGAGGCTTCTATAGACGTTTGCAACTGTTATCACCCGGTCGAAAAATGCTGAGTCCCTGAACTGTGGGCGTATGCGCAGGGTTGGATACACCCCACAGCAGAGCAACAGCGCATGCTCAAAAGGCGTTCCGCAGCCCAGCCGACAAAGATGGCAGCGCGCAGATGACGCAGCTCCTCAGCTGCGTCTTCTGCAACGGGCTAGTGGGACCAATCAGACAGCATCAAAAGCGCACCATCATGGTGTTCGTTATGTTTCTGCACGTGTTCTATCATAACTTAACCAATCATAAACAGAAAAGCCAGTGACTCGCGCTTTTGACGCCGTTTGACTGTTTTTTCTAGCTCGTAGCGTCGCTTGCGTCTGGACTTTAAGGAACACCAATACCCCCCTCCCCCCCCCCCCCCCCCCCCCCTTCAAGAAAAAAAAATTATGTTTTGCTAGGCGATTTATTATGGTGTCAGAAGACTACCCAATCAATATTTTACTACAGCGTCACGTATATTTTTAATCAAGACAAAAAAACGCAACTGCTCGAAACCGAAACTAAAACTAGACTGGGAAGGAAGAAGGAATATAGAGGAAGAGAAAGTTACCCGATCTCGTGCCTGTGCTAATTTCCTTCTTTTTTTTTTTTCTTCAATGAACGTATTTGCAGCTTTTGTATAAGCCACAAAATGTGGGTATCCAATTTTTAGCTTATTTTTAGTATTGACGGTAGCTTCGATGACCCACGAGTTTGATTACCTTTGGTGGTTGTGTCCAAACCATAGAAAACGGCACGTAACTTCGGAGAAGAGAATGAGCACGACTCAAATGGGACAGTTCCCGATCGGCAGTGCTCGGGCGGAAAGCAAACAAATTTCGAGCCGCAAATTGTGTTCTGGGCAGTCTGGCGTTCATGTCATGTACAGGGTGTCACAAAAGAAAATTTACACGATCTTTTTTTACCGCAAAAATAAACTAGGCACCGCCGAACGCTCATTCTCCGCCCAAAGGTAGAGCTAGAGGTCACAACCAGATGCCAAAGTTTCAGCCCTATCCGATAACTTAATCAAAAGTTATAAGTGATTTTCTGAAAATTTCAATGGGAAAATGGAGCCCATTTTTTCCCGTTTTCGGTTTCTGTTGCCATAGAGCCGCATGTGTTCGAAAACGCCGTCGGACGCCATTTTCCCATTGAAATTTTCAGAAAATCATAACTTTTGATTAAGTTATCGGATCGGGCTGAAACTTTGCCATCTGGTTGTGACCTCTAGCGCTACCTTTGGGCGGAGAATGAGCGCTCGGCGATGCCTCGTTTATTTTTGCGGTAAAAAAGATCGTGTAAATTTTCTTTTGTGACACCCTGTATAAATGAAAACCTTGGCGAGCATAAATACCCTGTCAGTGTTTCTTGCCGAAACGAAGTACAGCATTGAGGTCTACCAACTATCCTTTCGATCAAAGCCAATCAGAGCTCGGCGTAGTTCTGACGTCACTCCTGCGCAAGAAGCAGACGACTTTGTCTCCCAATAAAAAAGACACAGTGTTCGCTGCTCGCGTTATGACCGAGTCCCACTAGAGCGAAAAACAGAAACAAACGACAGCGACAAGCCTCAAACCAAAGTCTTTCGCGATTTGACAAGCTTTGTAGAATAAAGAAGGTTTTGCTCAAACCCAAGCGTCATGCACGCGAGGGTACCTTTGGGAAGCTTGCAATCACTCGCGCTTACTTCACGAGCACCGAACGACTAAACGCCCGCCAAAGGTACCATCGCGAACATTCTGCATGTGTTTGAGGCTCGTCGCTGTCGCTTGTTTCTGTTTGTCGCTCTAGTGGGACTCGGGCTAACTATCCGCAGCGCGTTCGAAGCACGTTCGCTTCATACATGCTTCGAAGGTGTCCGCAGACAGTTTTTAAGGCGGAAGACCTACTTGTCCCATACGCGAAAAGGCGGCGGCGTTGTGCCCGAAATATGGTCACACCAACACGTCATCAAGCACGCGCCTCAGGAATGAAACACAAAGAGAAGCACAGCAAACGCAGATGCTTTGTCACAGAAGACGGCGGGGCCGCTCAAGGTCAAAGCGGACGCGCCTCAGGAATAAAACACAAAGAGAAGCACAGCAACGCGGATGCTTCGTCACGGAAGCCGTCGTGAAGCCGGCGGGGTTCACCGCGCCTGCGCAGAGGGGGAGCGAGATGTCACCGCCGTAGCTCCGTGAGAAAAAGGAAGACGTGGCGCGCTGCTTGTAGGAATGTGCTGCGTGTAGGAATGCTTTCGCATTCCTACAGTCTTAAGTGTCTCTGCCGAATTTTTTTGTACGACCCATCATACGAGAACAGCCTGCAGACTGTTCCCTGTATGATGTATTAGCAGTCTGACCGCTTCTTCGGAAGATTTTTGAGTTTCTACATTTCCGCAAAGTCCTCGAGAGAGAGAGCCAATCGATGCAGTCTAAGGAGAGAGCACGACGATACTGAAAACAAATTTGCTGAAAATACGCTAGTACTGAAACGAAGACGGACTGCGCTGTGGCACTAAATATAGGGTGAAACGTCACGTTCAGTGCCGGAGCGCAAACCGTTTTATTTAGGTTTAATCGGCAACAACGCTCTCCGCTCGTGCCGGTTGGCGCCGTCACAATATACATAATCAGCCTCGTCTTTCGCCACCAGCCCCCACCTCGCCCGCCCCCGTAAATAGCAGCGGTCGGTTCTTCCCGAGTGTTTTGCGGGAAAGTAGACGTTCCGGGTTTTTTAGAGCGCATGTTTTCTAAGCTGGCGGTAACATATAGCAATACACATAGGTGTACTTACTACGGTTATCCTACCTTCATCTGACATATGTATATATATGTATTTTTTTGTATAGAATGAAAATAGAGACGCTAGACCTGCAGTCCTAGACAGCTTAAGCAGGCGTAGCTTATTTTCACGCTTCTTGTTTCGTGATTGGTTGTTCGACGTTCTCATCTTCAAATTCTGCAATTTCATTGGCTGTGGGGCGATGTTAAGACCGCCCAGACTCGCCACGAGCTCCATGCTTAACGGTCGCAATGAGCTCGGCTTGCTGTCACTCTCTGCAATGAACTCGGCTTACCTTGCGCAACTTTCCGGTAGAGAATGCGGGGCTGACGGCGGGCCGAATCTTCCTCCACCGTTCCACGGTTGCGGAGGACATCATGTTGTCTAGAACGTCATCATTAAAACAAATTTCCTGTTGATAAAACGCATTGAGAGATTTATTGAAAAAATATTCGCCCCAACAGACATTTGATCAGATCCAATGAAGGTTCGATAGCACCCATATCTAATTCCTACTACGCAGCCCCTGTTCTTACGCAACGGAAAAGTGTAGGGGGTAGGGGGTCAGAGTGGAAGAGGAGGGACAGCACATCGCTCATCCGTGCACACCGCGCGGCGCAACGCCATTGGTCGTTTGCGCGATATGTTGTCAATCCACCAGCTGCGCTAACCGATCCTATAAATAAAAAGTCTGTACTGCTTTAGCATTCGGCTTAGACTCGCGCCCTCGCTAATTGGACACGAATCCGTGCCGAAGGCTGGCGCAGCACTGGTGCTTAATCCACGGTCCTTCTTCGCCTCCTTAGGGTGACGCCGAAAATTTTGCACTATGGTCTTTAGCTGGTGTTGGCTACGCGTCCCGTTGCAGGCTCTCCCTTTCTGTCCCTCATGGCCTTGCTACAGCGCGACTAACACCAGCATAGCAAGCATGGTACGTGCAGAGTTCGCATATAGATAGCTTTCACTGACATCACTTGGTCAGACATAATAGAGGGAAGGGCACGCGAGAACGTAGCTTTCCGCTGCATTATTCCGACGCTTCTGGTTAGCAGAAAGAAGGGCGTACTACTGACTGACGTCACGTGCAAGCTTACGGTATAAACTCTAGGCAATTACACGCGGCTTCGATGTAACGCAGCTGCAATGGCACTGCCGTCGGCACAGCGTGCGCGTGCATTCTTCACCTCACGTGAATCTGGTTTCTGCGTACGCGAAGTGACCACACCTGGCATGGGTATACGCGGCCCTATTTTCAAACAGCTGATTGACGTAAAAAAACGCAAAAGGAAACGAAAAAAAGAAAAAAAGAAACTAGGTAAGTCCGATTCACAAGGTGCACTTTTGCTTGCGAATTCGCAGGTGCGACGTAGAGGACCGCAGCTTCCCCAGTCTTTTTTTTTCCCCGCCCTAGCAACGTTAGAGCTGCAAAGTCGCAAGTAAAATCTCACCATGTGAATAAAGCCTCACAGCTGTAGTAATACGGTTGAACAGAAGACGCGGAGTGTCCGACCATTTTTCTATCACCTCAATATCAGCGAGGTAACAAAAATTATACGTAAGTCAACAACCAGATGAGCCTTTAATCCAGATGCGCCTTTCACTACGGCGCGTTTGTCGCAGTGTTTTTTCTCGGGGTTTTTGCGGCCCTAGCAAAAGTACAGTTGCCGCTGCGTGAAGAGCTGTTCACGCGCGAGAAACAAGTGAAAATCCTTTCGCACAGTTCATTGCTCTCGCGCCCGCGCCACTGCCAGTGTCATGGGGATTCGCGCGCGAGTTATTCGAGAATTTCAAACCATCGTGCACTGCAACGCCTATACAGTATTGTACACTTGTAGGAATTCGCAGCAATGAAAACGTAAGCAGCGTATTCCGTCACGACACGATGATCATGACAAAATCTGAAATTGAAACCAAAACTATAAGTGGCCAACTGCTACCCAGAATTCATTTCGTGCCACCATGCCTCCAGGGGCGCTTCGATTCAGGAAAAAGGCTATTGAAACGGGAGATATACGCACGTTTCTAGGAAATGAGACGTAATTCATATTGATCGATTACTTTGTTTGAAGGTTTTGATAGTTATAATTGCCTGTCTGTTTCTTCCATTCCAAATTGTGCAATTTGTTTTATTTATTAAAATTTTTTGAGCTTGAACACACAAAAAATCTCGAGAAATGAAAAAAAAAAAAAAAGAGGCCATACTAAGACAAATATTTACAAATAAATTAAACGCCAAATTTGCGTTTTGTTCAGTCCTACATTTGGGATATTAGGAGCGTCCATATCTCTCAGTAAGGCAATTGGAAGAGTCAATCGAAGCAATCGACGGACGCAGAAGGTAAAAATGTATTAAGAGCTAAGAAAGTAAAAAACAAGCACCTGCGCTGTGGCACCGAGCGTGACGTCTCAACATTGCACAGTGCCACGGCGCAAACTGTCTCTTTGGGTCTAAAAATATTATCAGCTTCGTGATTCGCCCAACTCCCTCCTTAGATAACAGTGCTTCGCGGGAAAGTAGACACTCCAGATTTCGCACAGTATAGAGCCGAATTAGAAACATTACACTCACGTGGGAAAAAAGATAAATAAAAGTGACCAGATTTTGCACTTACTCGTCTATTGGCGAGCTGGGAAAAGTCTTTGACAAGTATCTGCTTCACAATCTCCGGGTCGGAAACCATGAGCGCCGGCTTCAATCCTTCGAAAGCGCTGTAACCGTGTATGTTATCGAAAGTAATCAAGATACAGTGAAGCTTCCAGGTAGCACGCAGGAGAAACGCCCAACCTGACACAAGCTTGGCAATATGCTATGGGTTCCTAACTTGGGCCTAACGCGATTTCGCTCCAAGTCGTTAGTGAGTAATTTTCTTTGGCTCTTCTCTGGCTTCCCACTGACTCGCCACATCATTCCCGAAGTTCAATACTCGAGCCAAATATGCCGCGTTATGAACCGAGAAAAACCGAGCATTAAAGCCTAAATCTAGCACTTGTTTGACCATTGTCGAACAACCAGAAGGTAAGCCTACCCTTGCACTTGTTTGGCGGTTTAGACCGCAAGATGTCAGACGACAGTCAAAATACCCGCAGTGAAGCTTAACTTATTTGGCGAAATAGGCCCAATATATTTAGGCTCCAACCAAAGAAGGTCGAATGTGGCTCTATATACTTGGCTCGTTCGGGCTTTTCATTAAGACCCTAAATATCCCGGCGAAAACCACATTTCGGCCCGAAGAGCCGCGCGAACGCACGGACAGGTGGGCACATCTTTGCGTGGCGAACGGGTGCAATACCTACCCGAAGACCCTTCCGTAATCTTCCAGGTTTTCCATGTCCCACTGGGGAACAGGCTGCGCGTAAAACAGGAGAACGAACGAATGTCAGAACCTCTGTGGCGTCACCTTTCCCAAAATGAACATTGGCCACTGACAGCTTTAGAAACGCACGGCGTGGCTTGATACGTTAATACTAATATTATTCATTTTCACAACAAGAATATTACCCTTATCCGAGATACCAGGAACTGCGTTGCTCAAACTTATCCCCCGTAATTGTGCGTTGGCGACATTGGTCGTATACAAAGAATTATGCACCCCGAAGCCGCGCTCAGGCTGCTAATACATCGACAAAATACAGTCTTCAGGAACCGTCGGAGGCATATGTTCCTTCCTTGTGTGACACTTGTCATAAAAAAAAAAAAATGTTTGCATACATGTCCAAAGTAAACCCATGTTAATAGACCAACCCAACTCTCTGACATCACACCACTGCGGTGGCGCTGCTGTCGGTACTGCGCATGCGCATGCGCTTCCCTCCTTCCGAATTTGGTTTCTGCGCAAGCGCAATGCCCACACCTGGTGCGGGCAAGGCGGGCTTCTTTCTAAACACTTTGTTGGTGTATAGACCGTGCACTCGAGTCCTTTTGTAGGATGTGCAAGCAGTTTTGGGTAGGACAGCTTTGGGTAGGACACAAGGGCACTCTCGGGAAAACATGAGTTGTACTTGCCATGCGTAAAACCTTCAGCATTACTCGGATGCTCTGGAAGAATGGAATGTGTACGACATTTTGCTTCTTCCAGTAATCGGTGTTTCGGGTGAAGTACCTGATGCAAAAAAACATTGTACTATGAGAAAACAACAAACACAACAGGAAAAGAAAAAAACAAGAAAAAACAACAACAACATCGAGCACTGACACGTTGCGTGCTTTCATCTTTAATATGTATCAAAGTTTCATATACTATTACGCTACGTTCCACTTGAAAGGACAGCGAAGTAAAATTCACGGGAGAGCCATGCTTTCAGCCTGCCTGGGTCCCAAGTGGGCCCATGCAATTATATCAGCTTGAGTAAAACTACATATTTTCCAGGGTATAGTCCGCAAAAACAAATTAAGGTTCGCAAAAAGAAAAAAGTTTCTACTTGGACAGTTTGCACCCGGTGACTATATAGTCGGTGTGGTGTCTAGTTCGCACGTTAAACATTCCATACAAGGTACGCACGCGTTGATCCTGCTTTTCTAGTTCACACACACAAAAAAAAAACCTTTTCATACATAAATCATTATTGATATAATGTGTCATTCTCAAACTTAGTCACGTCTAATTAAAGGGACCGATTTAGGAAAAAAATATTATTGCATGAACCGCAACTGTAAATTGTCCGTGCTGCGTAAATTTTCAACTTTAAAACACGTAGAGTCCGCGGACCCTAGTTCCGAATCTATGATAAGTGCTTTTGATCGTAGCGTTTACTTAATTATCATGAATGGTTAAACGAGGTATTTATTGGTTGATTGATTTATTGATTCTACGTACTTTCAAGCGCCGAAGCATTATAAAGGGGGAAGGGTAAAGCAAACAAAAATAAACAACAAAACAAAAAGATGCGGCGAGAAATACAGGCATCAAAAATACTTTGATTGGCAAAACTTGAAGCAACATCTGCTACGAACAATATAAACAAAAGGAAACGTCTGATGTTGGCTCACGGGGAGAGCGGTGGCTCCGAAAACATTTACATGAAAATAATAAATTATGATTTCTTATGTTACGCTGACCATAATGCAAATTGTACTTTGGCTTTGTAATCGTGCATGAACCGTTCTTATCTATTGCTTATATTTGATTATAAAAACGACGCGTGCATCTCCTTTGACGAGGAGTCGGGATTATACAGCATGTTAACTAGCGTTCATAAAAAAGTGGTGAAGAGAATTTTCTACTTTCGCTAAAAACTACTTAGAATCACTCACTGACGTTACGAAGTGAATAAACTTGCCTTGGTTTCTCTCTATAAACAATGGCAATAGCAAAAAAAAAAAAAAAAAAAAGGACAAGTATGAGCATTGTTTATCCCCTCGACTCGGAGCCAGACCAAGCGGCCCCGTGGCCTGCATGGTTCCAATCCTATGCCGCTAACGTTTATCCCCACTCTGAGGTTGGCAAAGTAGAAAACACGCACTGAGCTCCAGGCATTGTTAGAGTTCGGCTATTCTCATCACCGTAGTGGTTGGACACAAAACACTATTCCAATGTCCGGAGGCACTCGTTGTTATGAACCGAAGTTGAGCGCTCACGCAGTTCTCGTGTCCAATCATGGCCTCCGAGATTTTTCGCGCGCTGGTTGCGCTCTTCAGGCTATTGGGGGCGTTTCGATCTGGATGAGCATCGTACCGGCGTGCGGTCGTGTATCACTACTGCGTGATGCACGTTAAAGATCACAGGCTAGGGGTTGCACTGCACTTGCTGTATTTCTCATCTATAGCTGGGAGACTCGTCGCCCGTTGGAGGCAGACTGTATACAGTCTGCCTCCGACGGTCGACTAGGCTGTATAAACGTACACACAACCCAACCCCAACCCCTCAGGCTACTGCAGTCTCCTGTAGAGACTATTGCTGCGGGGCGTTTGGTGGCGCTTGCAACCAAACCGAACAACACAAAGGTGCATTTTAGATTAAATGCATGCGTTATCTTATCAAGACGTACACGTTTCAAACGCCAAGAACACCGCTTCTTCATTCGACAAGCAAATCTCGTAAGAACTACTTGGCGCCACGTATGAACAATGCGCAAAACTTGCGTTTTTCTTGAGGTGAAAACGGTTATAGGTAGACACGGCACGTGCCTTCTTTATAAAGTTGGGCGCAGATGCGAGGGGGTGCCAGATAAAAAAGACCCCACCACAGAATACATTAAAACGCGAGATGTTACTGACGCAACGATGGTGGCTTTTGGGGGTGATCTACGCGCTAGCTATAAATTAGAACAGTGTTTGCTTGGTACTGAATGTAAAACGCCCGTGTGACATTTTTCTAACATCTAAATTTTTGTATGATCAGAGAATTGGGTATAGAGCCGCGAAAATGCTTGACTCTACCGTTATTAATATTGGCTGTTTATAATTCTTTTAAAAGAAACACAGTTTTTTTTTAAATAAAAGAAAGAAAAATAAACAGTGCTAGCTATACACTAATGCTGTCTGTGTCGGTGAGTTGTACGGCCAGAGGAACATAATATAGAAAATTAATCGTTACGATACGATGGATAATTAACTATAACGTGCTAATTAACGTTGAGTAGTTGAAAATATACGAATGGTTCAGTAATCAGAAACATGCTCAGCGTCATCAAAAACAACTAGATCAGCAATTAAAGAATACCTGCAGCACGTGGAAAGTACAGGGGTGTACTAAAGGTGTACCACTCGTGGAGCAGGTGCGAGGCTTTCCACACGAAAAAGCGCCCGCGCGGTTTTTCCGTCTCCTATCATCCACGTACCCTCTCGCGCCATGGCCTGCGCATTAAAGATAATATTGATATACGTACAGTCAAAACAAGCTCGCGCTCCATAATTCGTTCAAGCGAGGTACAGTTATGACTTGCGAAAGCCATCCGCGGCGCCGTGGTATGTTGGGCACAGAGCTGGCAGTAATGTAATTACTGTAATGAAATTACAGTAATTTAATTACTTGTTCCAGTAATTAGTAATGTAATTCATTACTTTTTGTTGCAGGTAATTTAGTAATGTAATGAATTACTACAGCGACGGTAATTGTAATTAAATTACCTAATTACTTTTTCGCACCAGGCATATTTTTTGTGTCCACAATACACAAGAGCGCTTTTCTTTTTATTTTACTTTTTTTTTCCTCTACACCTTTCCAAAAAACGCTCTTTGGCCGCTATGTTGCTGATGCTAATGCGGCTGGTGCGACTCCCGCGCCCGCTATCACCTAGACATTTTCTGCCACTCTCTTGAACTGTGAAAACCCGGTCAGCGCGATTCTCTACCTATGTTTTGCGGTTTTGCATTCGACGTTTTCTGGCCGCTCTTAAAAGTGTCCGCTTACTTTTTCTGATGCATGCTGCGTACCCTCTCTGTGTTATCTTCCACTGTGAGAAATAGGGCTGGTAAGTTTCTGCCATTCGAGCTTTTCTGCTCGACATTCTCGGGAAACGAAGGAGGGGAACTAGGTCGAACTAAGGCCCCTGGTGGAACGGTCCTCGACGCGATTTTGCGAACAATGACAATTGTTCTCCCCCGTCCCAGAGATAATCCGCATGGGGTCCTCAGTCATCTCCAAAAATAGTTGTCCGGGTTGGGGTGGGAAACGGATCAGTCGCGTGCGTTCCTCTGTCTATCGGTAAACATATTATTTGTGAGCGTGAAAAATGCATGCCTTTCGGCTATCTTCTGTTGTTAATTAATTTCGACAGCTAAACGCTTTGTCGTTTGACACGCGGCTAATCGAGCGGCGCCAAAAAAACTTCCCGCAAAAAAAAAAAAAAAAAAAAGCTACTAGCATTCTAGTCGCATTCGTTCTGTCACGCGCGTACCCAACAAAAATGGTTTACTGCTTTTTTTTTTTCAAATGTAGTACAATGCTTCCCAATGTCCTCGGGAAAATACATGCACCATGAAACACAAAATGCAGTGGGAAAACACGAGAATTTAGCCGCCAGCAGTGTTTGAAACTGCGCCTGTATAGGCGCAGCCTGTAAAAGTATACAAAAGTAATGCGAAAGTAATGTCATTACTTTTAAAAGTAATTTGTAATGGTAATTAATTACTTTCTGGCTGTGGTAATTCGTAATGTAATTTAATTACATTTCAGCAATTTTCAGCAAAGTAATTAGTAATGTAATTTAATTACAAAATATGAGTAATTTGGCCAGCTCTGGTTGTGCATGATGTGAAGGGGTCCCCCGTCGCGAGGGATGAAGATGACCACCGTTAGCCACAAATTCACGACGCAATTATTTTTTCGACACGCGAGCGATAAGCAGGATGTTGGTGCAGCTGCTATGATTAGACAGCGCGCATTCTTGAAGTCATCGCTGCAACAAAGTATCTTCGAGCTCGGCCGCCTCAAAGGGGAAAACTGCAACATCATCTTATAAAATATAAAAGCGCTAACAAAGACGAGGACAAAAAAGGAAGGCGAACAGGATGAGCGCTTACTCTCAACTAAACATTTATTTAAAAACAGCTAAAGCAAACAACTTCCGACAAAAATACACTGAATCACTCAGTGGCTTCACTCATCACCAGGTGTCAATAAAATCACTCTCTTTTTGGTGCAGAAAAATTGACGGCTTCAGTGCCCTCTTTCTTGATAGCATGCGCTTTAAACACTTCCCTCGCAGCTTTTTCACGAGACCTTCCCACAATCGTGGTATTTTGAAAGTTCGGCTGGCACTGACAGTCTCTGCAATAAAGAGGCAAGTGTCCTTCAGGTGTTGAGCGTAAAGCCAGGTCATGTTCGCGCATCCTCTCATTTACGCACCGTCCTGTCTGACCGGTGTACACTCTACCGCATGTCAGCGGTATTCTGTACACCACACCCACGTTACAATCTACAAATCTTTTGGCATGATTGACGATGCACAAGCGCACGTCGTTCTTTTTTTTTTCTGAATCCATGGGCATAATTGAGCCAACTTACATGGCGAAAACACAAGCGGCACATCAAATCTTTCTGCCACCTTTTTCAAGTTATGTGAAAATTTGTGCAAGTAGGGGACGACCTGAAGTCTTGTTTTTGTTTTTTCTTTTTTTACCCTCAAACTTGCCCTTGATCTTCTTCAGCAGCGT